TTCTTCGGTGCCCTTGGGAATACAGAATCTATTTACATGCACTGTTGGTGCTAGGAAATCATTAGATCATGAAATGTTTCCATTTCAAAAAGGTTCTTCAGGAACAACCTCATCTTGTCATATATGTCAAGGACAGGGTGAGGATTCTATTTCGAAAATAGTAACAGGAGGTTGTTGCCCATTCTCCTCCTGTATCAAAAATAAATAGTTTATGAACTCCTTCTACAAATACTTCTACATGTACAGTAGTTCCATTTAATATACTGATTGGCTACTAATACTAATTTTTAAACAATTAAATTATGAATTCCCCCTTAATTGGGTTTTTTCTTTCTTCTTCATAACTCCAGATTGAAAGGTGGAATGTTTGAATTAGGATCTTTGTTGAAGCTTTGATATATCACATTCTCAAGACACCTCATCGGGACAAATCAATTTCTCACATCCTTTACAAATTTGAAAACTTGGAATATCAATAATTAAGTTAACTATACACACACACACACACACACGCACACACATATTGATTACAAATTTAAAATTTTCCAATTCAAATAGGTTCTTGAGAAGCCTTGTTATCTCGTCGTATATATCAAGGACAGGGTAAGAGGAGCTTTTGAAAATATAGACAGCAGGTTGTTGCCCATTTATCCTCGTTTCCTCACGAAAATATTATTTGAAGGGGGAAGCCCACCATGATATTAATTTGGTTTTAACAGAAGCAGAAAAATAAGATGAACATGTCAATGAAAGTTTGAGCGAATTCTAATTACCAATAAGAAAGATTTGAATTTTTGAAGTTGCGATTAATCAAACACCAATTGGCAAATTGGTATAATATAATTTTTTTTAAATTTTCCTTCTAGAAATGATTCGGTCATACAAGCAGCTTAGATATGATAATTGCAAAGATGTTTCCATACAACCCACGTATGGACAAGAAATATTCCTTCTGCAATAACAATGACAATTAAATTTTATGAAATATATGTACGAAACGAATGGGAGGGGAGCTCGCAGGATGCGTCACAGAATTGCCAATTTGCGTTTGATTGGTCGCAACTAAAAAAAATTATAACTTTCCTATTTTTGATCAGAATTTGCTAAAAACTTCTCGTATTATTTTGATTTTATATTTCTGTTAAAAGTTCATTTCTATTAAAGGGATCCGGTAACTTTGTCTCAGATTCTGAAACAAAATTCTGGATTTAGCTCATGATGCAATGATAATTATAAACCTTTAGGTCAGTCAGGAGCCCCATGACTTTTACAAGCCGATCGCCTGTCTGATTATCAAGATATTTATGATTGGAATTACAAATTTTGAAAACCGTTCGCCTGACGGTTTTCATAACACTACAGTCTATTGGGGAAAACGAGTATGGTAAAACCGGTCACTCAAAGATTTTTACTTTTTTGAGGCACTTCTTGATCATTTTGAAGCGCAATTTTTTTAGGGCTTCAATATTACACCATATCACAGACACTGATAACACTTAGGACCGTGTATCTCAGATTTAACATTGTTAAACGATCCCTTTAAGGCATTTGTGCTTTTTAGGATCCAACCAATTATTGTTTAGAAAGGTGATAATTTGGCATGTAATTTTGTATGTGTTGTTTTACTGTTCTTTTAATACATAAAGAATAAACGATCTAGTGCGATTTAATTAATCTTGGTTTCTCCAGGCAGTTACAAAAGAAAAATCGCCCTTACATTGATTTCTGGAGAGTCTTCGGGATCTGTTTTAACTATTCCTTACTGTCTTCGAGGTCCAAGGTTAGATGTCATCAAAACTATTTTATTTAGCTACACCTCGGTACTTCTCATTTCACATTCGTACGTGTTACTTCGCATATAGCTCCAGGTAACATCCATTTGATCAATGGGTGAATCAGCTCGGCAGTAGACGTAGATGAATTGTTCAGGATGAATGAAGTACGTTACTTAAGCCAGAGGAAAGATTTTTTGATCGTAAGAAAACATCCTTTTTCCAGGAGCGTCGCTTCTTGATAAGGGGCATGATCACGATGATGCAACACTTGGAATCGGGACTTCCGAAATTATGATTTAATAAATGCCTTAGTACTTGCTTAAAAGTTTGTATAGCCTCGGGCATAACCTATTTCTATGAGGGGTGAAACGTATTCGAGGATGAAAACAACATGATCATTGAATATGGAATTATGTTAATAAACAAATTACAATGCTTTCGGTGTATTAAAAACAAAATGGCGTCCACGGTACCTAAAATACATTCAAACCTGTTTATTGAGGCCATGAAAAGGGAAACAGAACGAGTGGCCACTGCAGACAGCCTGAGACAGGTGACCTTCATAGATTAGTTCTACAGCACACAATTCTTTCTCTAGAAAGACAAGATACACGGCCACTATAGACAGGTGGCGTTTATAAAGAGGTAGCCAGTAAGGCAGGTCTGACTGTAGTTGATTTTATCCCCAGCTATATTGAATTGGCGGATTGGAAAAAATTAGAATACGTATTACAATGTTCGGAAAGATGTGCATGGACTTTACGTCATGAGAGAAAATATTTAAAAAAATCATTGATGTATCAAAGAATATGCTGAATCTTCTGTGGTATGATGGTGAACTTACGGAACCCCTTGCCTTTATTTTCAAGATATGGCTTACAAATGCATGGGATTGATGACTGGAGTTGTTCAGACATTAACCTTTACAATCAGTCAGCCTTTCTCTCAAAAGTCATGCACGAAAGGTTTCGTGACGATAGTTTTGGCCATTCGATATTCACTTGGAAGGGCTGGATAGAGCCTCATATCATCCAATTGCCCACAGTAAAGTAAATATCAAGTTAATTTATATTTCATGTTACAGTTGGCAACAAATTAGAAAATAGATTTGCAAAACAATCAAGACAGCTTTATATGGGTCATGATTTCCTAGGGTGTATCCATATTCAGACCAAACTTTTAAAGAGTATTCAACATTCCACATGGTTTGAGAAAACCCCGTTTTCACGCAACTCCGATGACGAGAGAAAGAGTCATTTGGCGGGCAGTCGAGGCTTCGTCTGGCGAGGTGTTAGTGAATACTATTAATACCGGAAGAGGAAGCGGCGGGTACATCCCTTTGGGAAACAATATAATCATTCCGCCACCGCTCATTCTCTTTTATTTGTGTACTGATGCTAAAAGGAAATAACTCATCATGCAGTGAAGATGTCTCTCGATTCGAGCATTGCATGATTGGATTTTGCCATGTTTCTGTTGGTTGAATCTATATTATTTTGACTTGAGACGGACAAGGTTGACCTAAAACTGTAATCGTTACCTGCTACATCAGTATATCATTTGAATTTCAACATGAAGTGTAATTAAAGAGCGGAAATGAGAAATAGGAATTAAAAGTAATGTAGTTGCTATGTTTGTTAGCGTGCAAGTGGAAGTGCGTTTAGTACGAGTGTGCGTGTGTGTGTGTGTTTATGCACACTAGTCGATCCAATAGGGAGCTGGAGGCGGAAAGAAATGTGTATCTAGTTTGTATTCTTAACAATTAAAACCAACAGTAAAATTCATACTCGCAGGAATAAAATAAAAGGATAAAGGGCTATGTTATTTTCAAGGAGATTTACATCAACCATTCTGATAGCATCATTTAGGTTTGTTTTGAATGTTAAAAGATATCATCATATTTCATTCTAGCTTGCGATACTTAGAGTGCAAGGGCCCATGCTGAAATTGAAACAAATAAAACAGCTACATGTATCTTTCATCTTTCCTATCTTTCAAGCTTTTGACGATATGATATAGTACCTTATGTCATGATAGTATGGTAGACTCTGCCGTAGGAAAGTCCTGCTCTGGATAGCTATATACTGGGAAACACATAATCCGTAGCTGATACCTAAGTCACACCAGACCGAACCATAACCAATAACAGACCAAGCAAAAGATCACGATACCCCCAAAAGCCAAGAATCTGTCAATGTGAAGCCGGAGTGGAGTCGATTGGGTGATGTGACTGGGGCATAAGGAAGGAAATTCCATAACTACCGCAAAATGATAATCGAAATTGATCTTGACACATCTCATTGATCGACCTGGTGGGGGTGCGTGAACCCCCTGCAGGGAAGGTTAGCCATGATGCTATTGAGTTGACACGTGTGGTTTGCCAAACGTGACGGCCAGGGTATCCCCGTTTAATGGGTCACGTCAGTTCAGTCTTGTTCCTTCAGGAAATGCATGGCTCGTTGTCCTAGACCTTGCCATGTATACGCTGAAAAAGTTTGATCGAAATTGCTTGAACGTAAACGAATGGCCTACCAAATCAAACAAACAATAAACGGCATACAAACTATCTGAAGAAAAAAAACGACACTACGTCTACGAATGATAGAAACAGAATTAAATCATTTTACCATTTTATTAATATATATATATTTTTACTATTCTGTAAAATAAGCTAGCGGCCGAATTCTAACAATTATTCCTTAAAACATATCGTCGCTCATCGGTCTATTGTAGTGTCATTGTAATCATTACATAAGCATTGGAAATTAATGTAGACCGATATAATTGAACGCGTTCAGCTCATACCAATAAATAGACCAAAATGTGCACTTTTCGTTTCGCTTACCACTCAAATATGAACAGATATGGCAGAGAAGCGTCTCAGTAAGTTAGACTTGGTAAATATGCTAACAGTTTGTAAGGTACGAATGAATCCGCTGGGATACTACGAGTGATGATTAACACAAACAATAAACACCAGTAAAAAAAGAAATATTTCACTGTATATTACAAAGCTGAGGTTAAACGTCAATTAATTTGTGATGTTTATTTCCTTCAAGAAAACATTTATTTCATTCGCATAAAATCATCCTGAAGCCTTTGGCAAAACAACTGCTTGAGTATTAAATGTAACAGAGTATGAAAATTAATTGTGAGTCGTACCCTTTAAGCATATGTGTGTTATCGGAATATGGCTGTGAACGTTAGAGGTGTACCTTTTTTCAGGCAACACCGAGATTAACCAGTGTAATGATGGGAGACATAATTGTAGAGAGAACGAGGCCTGTACGCAAACCAGAAAGTCATTCAGGTGCTCGTGTATTCACGGCTACAACCGGCAAGGAATCACATGTCGAGGTAAGTTGCGTAAAGCACCATGAAAAAAGGTCTAGGGTTCGACACCCCATCGGAAGATACATGAATCAAGGTGTTAAGTTGATATCGCGATTGTAATTTTGACATTGGGAAATTATCAGAACCAGTCATGTTTTTTGCAGCGCACAAAGTTTGTTTTTGTTCCTCGCACGCACTACAAAAGAAAACAATTCGGCTAGCGACGCAAGAGCAGCTTACAGGAAACTGTTGTCACTTTAATTATGTTTCTTTTTATTCTTTTTTCCTTATAATTCAAAATATTTACCATCATACATATTGTATTCATGAACGTAACTGTGTGAGTTATACATGTTGCCATACTTATCTTGTGAACTTCAATATGAACTATGACTTCATTTGCAATTTTGTATTTTATTTGTGAATTACATGCAATTACTGTATTACAGCATATTTATTTTGTAGTGAATTGATAGATAGTATTTCATGTATCCTTGAAAATTGTCAGCAGATATTTTGTTCCCAGTGTAGAACGTGACATTATAATGAATTAGGGTATAATGGTTCATTTCGATGAACATGTATATACTGAAAAATACGTGAATCATATATCAAAGTAAAGAATAACAACAAAGTTTAATTTAACTAATCTATGTTTAAGTATACTTTGAAAATGCTACATGTGAATGAAAAAGGGGAACTTTAACGCTAGTCTCTGCCGGTTCCTTCACGGTGACTCAGGAAGGCCTTCAAATGTTCATAGTATGCAATTACTTTTATGATATGGTTGCTTAACAGTAATATATTATTATTAATATATAGTAATACTTTCTGATTGTATAATATTCTTTTATGATATTCAACATTATTCATACAGATGTAGACGAATGTCAAGTAAAAAGCGGTGGCTGTGTTCACACTTGTATCAATACATTAGGAAGTTACCAATGTGGGTGCTATTTCGGGTTTACCTTACACATCGAAGGAAAAGATTGCTTAGGTAAGTGTGTGTATATGCTTTTGTGTGCGTGCGTGCGTGTTGTATCAATACATTTGGAAGTTACTTAAAGTAAGTGTGGGTGCTATTTCGGGTTTACCTTACACGGCGAAGGAAAAGATTACTTAGGTAAGTGTGTGTGTGTGTGTGTATGCTTTTGTGTGCGTGCGTGTTGTGTCAATACATTAGGAAGTTACCAGTGTGGGTGCTATTTCGGGTTTACCTTAGACAGCGAAGGAAAAGATTGCTTAGGTAAGTATGTGTGTATGATTTTGTGTGCGTGCGTGTTGTGTCAATACATTAGGAAGTTACCAGTGTGGGTGCTATTTCAGGTTTACCTTAGACAGCGAAGGAAAAGATTGCTTAGGTAAATGTTAGTGTGTGTGTGTGTATGCTTTTGTGTGCGTGCGTGTTGTGTTAATACATTTGGAAGTTACCAGTGTGGGTGCTATTTCGGGTTTACCTTAGACAGCGAAGGAAAAGATTGCTTAGGTAAGTGTGTGTGTGTGTGTATGCTTTTGTGTGCGTGCGTGTTGTGTTAATACATTTGGAAGTTACCAGTGTGGGTGCTATTTCGGGTTTACCTTACACAGTGAAGGAAAAGATTGCTTAGGTAAGTGTGTGTGTATGATTTTTTGTGCGTGCGTGTTGTGTCAATACATTAGGAAGTTACCAGTGTGGGTGCTGTTTCAGGTTTACCTTAGACAGCGAAGGAAAAGATTGCTTAGGTAAGTGTGTGTGTGTGTGTATGCTTTTGTGTGCGTGCGTGTTGTGTTAATACATTTGGAAGTTACCAGTGTGGGTGCTATTTCGGGTTTACCTTAGACGGCGAAGGAAAAGATTGCTTAGGTAAATGTTAGTGTGTGTGTGTATGTTTTTGTGGGTGTGCATGTTGTGTGTATGTTAGTCAAGGGAATAAGAACCAACGTCAGAAAATCCAAGAATGTACATCACCAGTTACGTTTTTTGTCTTTATTGCTATATTTGTCCATGTTATTTTCTTTTCCCCCTTTTGAATCACTTCGCTTTTATTTCTTATTTACATTTTAAATCGATAGTTTTTTAATATAATGCATTTTATGGTAATTTTAATGCTGTATATGTTGCAAATACATTCATCTGTTTTTCTGATAATATTTTAAATGCCTCATACATTAGGAAAACTCATTTGGTATTAGTTATAATTACTTCTCGTATTGCCATGCTAACTCAGTCACACAAAAGAGATCAAAACCGAACCAACACTAGATCAACGGAACACCGACATGAATTTGAATAGCGATGAATTAATCGGTTTTGGAATCGTTTCTTGCGGTGTAGCTGAGGTACGTGTAATAAAGAGTAACGAAGTCGCCTGTTTTCTTTCAGATAAAGACGAATGTGCATCTGGCGAGCATCGTTGTCAACATGAATGTATTAACACAATAGGCAGCTACGAGTGCGCATGTCCAAAAGGAATGTATTTAAATGAAGACGGAAGAACATGTTCAAGTGAGTATACAAGACGAATAAACGGCATAACAATATTTAAACCAATAATATATTCTTGATTGTTCTTTCGCAAGGTTTTTAACTAATATCAATTTACAGGGAGAAATAATAACCCGTAATCACATATAATTATATTCCGTAGTTTGTTTCCGTCATTAGTACATGTCCAAATATGCATAAGCATAACTTTATTCACCCGATTCCTATTTTCTGACCAATGCAAATATTTGAAAAATTTGAGGGTAAAAATCAATCGTTTTCGACACACGCATTCTTTTCTTTCATGGGAACTGAAAACAGAAAAAAGGAATAAATCAAAGAAAAATTACTAAATGGTTTTAAGATTATTTAAAAGTCAATATTTGTGTGTGTTAATTATTCATACTAGATGTGGGGGGGGGGGGGGGTTCACAAAGATCCAAAGGTAAACGTATCTCTAAGTTGGACTTAACAGTCATGGAATGCCGTTAGCATCTTTGAAAATATTTTGTAAAAGTTATTTTAAAAGTCATAAAATGTTGATTCAAATTATTCATATTTTCTATTTTCAGGGAGATTTCATGTTCTTGACGTAGAATTTATATTTTTTTTAAAAATCAAAATACTTGAATTTCACTTTTGAATGATTTTTTTGGAAGGCTACAAATGGCTCTCCATAATGTTTAAGTCTAACTTAGAGTTAAGTTCTACTTCCTTTTCTTTGTGAAGCATCCTCCTGGACTAGTGCAAGGTTCATGAGGTAACTCATCGAAACCAAAGAAGTTTTGTAATATCTGAACATTCTTTATTGTACTTGTGTGTTTTCTAGACGATGCCGGCTGCTTAAATCCTGACCTAGATTGTGCCCACTATTGTGTCGATGTAGCCAATGGTCAGTCTATATGTCAATGTAGACCTGGCTATCTTCTATCTGGCAGCAAGAATTGTATACGTAAGTAATTAACCCATTGCTTACTGGAACCTGGTGGTCTCTGTGTTAAGCCTATGGGTATAAGATTATTCAGTAGTCAAGTAATTAGGAGTTGATACTATCATAATTTCATCAAGGATGACAGGTAAATGTAAACGATTGAAACAAATTCACAGAAGTTGCTACCACTACCACTACCATTTTCCAACATGCATGCCAACAACATATAAACAAGTGGGAAGTTCAAAATATATTTCCGTCTTAGCCAGTTCTCGACTTTTATGTTTGTACGAGGTACACGTTACTGACCACTCCGACTTTTGCCGAAAAAATGAATGTCCGACATTATGGCGAAAGTTTCTGTTATATTTGGAATTATATGTTCTTTGAAGGTAGGGGTTTGCTCATCTGTAGGACGGATCATCAAGAAAGAATACTGCTTCTTCTCACTTGACTTATCTATCTTCATTACATTCAAGCCAACATTCCTTATCAGGACTACACGTACACATGGTGAAACATAAACCTAACCAGTGTATATTTAATTACTTGGATCATGACCTACAATAAATAATATACAATTGTTTTCTTCAGGAAAACAATATTTGTAATGATTACTTTTCTTACGGGTCGTTCCTGAAGTTGTTGAAGAATATGCGCATTATGTGACACCGATCGTTCGTAAAAGTAAAGTTAATTTCCTGTGATGTATATTTATACACTTGTTATTCAACAGATTCAATATTATTTTAATAAATGTAATGCTGCCTGGGAGAAATTTCAATTGTTTAAACATATTTGTGGATTACACCCAGTAAATAAGATCGATCGACCTGTAATTGAAAAACAAGTAAGAACAAATCTTGAACCAGCGGGTTTTGAACCTGCCATCTAATGCTTGCCGGACTTTACTGGGTGTGAGCCACAAATACTTTAAACAAAAGATGAAATAATGTTGTAAACTTCCTCATGAGGATGACATGATTGTGATTTAAATTCTTTATGATATTTCTTTTCAGCCACGTGTTTACTAGGGAATGGTGGATGTCAGCACGTGTGTACAGATTCACCCATTGGTCCCCTCTGTAGCTGCCATGAAAAGTACAACCTCCATACTGATGGGAGAACGTGTGTAGGTAGGCCCAGGCCGTCATTAGTTCTTTATTCACACCCCTTTTGGATGCCAATCCCATTCCCATCATCTATTCAATGGAATAACCCATTCACACCATCAGCTTAAATAAACTAACAACACGATAGCAACTACTTAAATGTATTAGGTAACTTCCTATTCCCACCATCAGCTTAAATTAACTTCCAACACGATAAAAACGAATTTTGCCTCTGAATCTAAATAAAATCCCGGATTTAGCTCATGCTGCAATCATAGTTATAAACCTTTAGGTCAGAAATGAATCTCATGACTGTTACAAGCCAACCGCATGTTTGATTACCAAGATTTTTATGACTGAAACTCGAAATTTCAAAAAACCCGTTTCCCCAACTGTTTTTATAACACTACAGTCCATTGGGGAAAATGAGCATGGTAAACCAGTTTTTACTTTTTTGAAGCACTTTATGATCAAACTGAAGCACCATTTGTTTTGGGCTTTTAGGGATTTTTCAAAACTTCATCATATCACATACACTGATAACACGTGGAGCAGTCATGCATCTCCGATTCGTAAAACTGGAAACATTGTTAAAAAAATTCGCCATCCATTTCTCGAAGAAATGTCATTTACAAATCCTGTTTAACTTATTATTCGTTCAAACCAATCATTCGCATGGATGAACCATTCACACTTTCCCTTTCAAAAAATAATGTATTCAAACCATCTTTCGAGTAGGGAAACTAACTCATCTGTTCACACATTTAAGCTATTCACACCATTTTTGCTTGCAGTAACTTATTCACACCATCATATTTTTCAAAATGGATAATTCGTTTCGTTCATTCCGTTAATGACTAGTTTTGCATTTAAAGCTCATTTAAATTCACCGTCTAATCTCCTTGCTATGTCAGACCCTTCAATCAAGATGCATCCCACAATTCGCCCTGTTGAATGTACAAAACGATCTTCTCCTCATACACCCTTCTCAACGATTCCCATACGATTCAGCATAAATGTAGGCTATGGACACATGTTAATATTATATACAAAGGCTTATTGAACGGTTTTTAACAACTGTTCAGTTGGAATTCTAATTTCTAAAATTAATCTTACACATTCTGATGGCAATCCTACTTATTCACAGTCTATCTGCATGCAGGTCAATTCATATCTAGCCAATAACCTTAGTCTACTGCATGATTAATATTTTATTTCTTTTAGCATCAGATACTCTTTTAGCGATTACAATAGAGCCACATCATGCCCCAGTTTACCCCTTATATGAAAACCATGTTTGATTTGTTAAAGTATCCGTATTTGATCATTTATAACCAACTTCATGATGATTTAGATCGCAAACATGTTCTTAAAAATGCACAGGAAAATGTCCAATATGTCTTTTGAAATATGTGAAAAAGACAATGGACATCGCTGAGAAAATATGCATTACTCTTTTCCGAATGTCTAAAATATGAAAATTGATCAGAAACTGTACCTTTCGTTTTCGGAATGTCTGAGTATTAATGCAGACATTCTTTTTTATTTGAGATAAAAACTAACACCAAAATTTATCAGATTTTGCTTCGTATCTGTTAGACGTAGATCCATGTTGGATGTGCGTGCATCTGCAAAGTTAAAAATCTCCCAATGCTAGTTATTATTTTGCTATTTTGTCGCATAGGGCCTAGTTTAGTTTGCTTCAGTAGATAGACGATACTTAAATGATAAATATTTGATAGAGCCCCATAGCAAATAACCTGTAATTATATGTTATTATACGTGTTTTAGTTGGTAGTGACCACAGTAAGTGTGGAATGGGAGAAAATTTCGTACCAACTTTGAAAATGATAAAAATATTCATATAGATATGAAGTGTCGTTTCAAATTCAGCTATGATAAAATGATATTTGCAAAGGGATATGTTTGCGAAGTTGGATAGCGGAGGTTTAACTTTCAGATGCGCGCGCATCCATGACGTAACTCTATTCTGATTCGTCAAAATCCAAACAACGTCCATGATGAAGATGTTTACCGACACTTTCTCGTATCTTTCTCAACCTAATGCTATCGCATGGAGAGGCGTACGACGATCCGGACGACTATTCCTCCACTTCAGGTACATATCACGCGTTTGTCACATGGTTTTCACGTGATTTCCACGCGGCAGTCACGTGGAAGTCACGTGAAAACATTGATTTGCAAATCATGTGACATTATGCATATGAAATTTATTCCATTTTCACTTCTAAGAACATTCCAAATGCTTGTGAAAAGTATGGAACGAAAGGTGTTCTTGCTGAAATGTTCAAAACTTTATGTCTACAAAAACTATTTCCTGATAATAATTTGCCTAGATTTTGGAATGTTCTGTTTTCATACATATTTTGTAAATTCATCCAAACCCTTTGCACAAAATATCGACGCCAGGTGCATCTCCATAACTAACCTATGACTAAAGTCGTAAAACTCCGCAAAACAACCACAGGCCGAGTTATTATGGTACATACATAGCAGAGCCATTTAAGAAAAACAATTTCAGGTAGCGCGATCCTTAAAATAGTTCGAAAGCCTGTGCGTCGGGATTTTGTGTTGTGGGTTGGAATAGAGCTAAACTTTCATATGCAAATGACGTGATTAAAAACCGGTCTTTTTCAGCGCTTCGCGCAGATGAGGTTCTCGGTCCGAGGCACAATGGGGCATCATTATCAGGGATAGGTACGAGAGCTTAAATGTGTAGAACTTTGCTTTGACACATTGATTTATGTGTATGTTCAATGTTAAGTTGTAAAACTTGTATCATTATGTTATCTTTGCCTTTTTGTACTCTTGCGTCCGTATTCCGGTAGTTCATTTAAACCCGACGCTAGGTCTGGAGTCGCGTTGAACGGAAGGGAAACTTAGACATCAGACTTTGTCGAGCCTGTTGTTGAAGATTAGCTTAAGCCCACTGTCGGGTTTAAATGTTATTAGAATACGGGCCTTAGAGTCGAGGAATTATAGCCCTTTACAGCTAGTTTATTTAATGTCATTCATAAGTTTGGGCGTCTCCCTGATTTGACATTGCTCATTTTGTTGGGTGTCCCGCCATTGAAATATAACTTTCAAAACTTCTTGATACTTTCACAACAAACAAGGAAGATGTTTTGGAAGTAAAAGTTACTCAAATATTTAATTTATATGTGAGTCTTTAAAGTTATATTTGTCCAAAGAGAAGAATGCATGGTCGAAGTTAATTTATGTTTTACGTTTGCATTTATTGAATGATGATTTCCACAGTCAACTGATCTGCAGATTAAACATTTACATGCTTTATTGCAAATAAGAAATATTCTGTCATTATTTCATACGAGCCAATTCCAGTAATGCAATCTTTCAAACACAGACCAAATGAGAGCTGCGATTACTCTCGAAGTTTCTTCAATTTTTTTGGGGGGCAATCATTCCTCATTTTGTTATTTGACTCAATAACTTTTGATTCAGAGCCCCATAACATATGTCAGATGCCTGCGTAGAAAAGAGAAATAGCAAACATTTCTGCGCCGATTGCATTCACTTTTGTTTCATGACTACATTTCGTTTCATATCAGGAATTTAAAAAGGAAAATAAACTTGAAAATCATTACATTGCAACACGTTGAAAGATAAGAAATCTCAGATTTTTGATGAAAATTGGCTTCGGTTTCAAAATTTCGATGACATTTTCGCCCATGTATATTCTTTTCGGAGACACCTCATTTCATTTTATCAATTTTGCAATAACAGTGAGACATTACTTTGAAAAACAACATGTGATCAATTTAGCTATAAAAATAAATCCTATCCCCAAAAGGGTTATGGGTAAAGTAGGGTAAGTGCGGTAAAACATCGATTAATAATCGAATGAAAAATGCATTTAAGTTTAAAAAGATTGAAGGATTTTTGTTATTGGCAAGAAAATATTCACCTCTGATTGCCATCGCTTGAAGAGGATAATGCCTCAGACCAGAGCCATTTATACACCGAGTTTGGCCAACTTGGTTTCACTGGGTCACAACATGGCGTACATTCTTTTGTTTTGTGCTTGCCCAACAAAGCAGTGGCCGTCATATTGTGTCCAACTCGAACAGGGTTGGCCAAACTCTGTGTATAGATGGCCCTGTCTCAGACTGGGGAGTATCTCCAGCTACGATTCAATGAATGCCATTTTGTTCGCAGAGACGTGTGGGCTGAATAACGGTGGGTGCGACAGAGAGTGTGAGGACACTCCTACAGGTGTCCAGTGCAGCTGTCCGGAAGGGTTCGATCTGCTGGCAGATGGGCGGACATGCAATGGTAAGTAGGCTTCGCCACAGTGTCCATTGAACTATGAGTCCATCATCACAGTACCTAGCAGCAGCTAGTCCACTATGAGTAGTAAAACTCGCTGCCAATGACTGTGAGTATGCCTCAAATACAACAGTTCCCCATCGTGCCCCACTTTTAATATGCCCCACTTTTAATATGCCTTGCCGGTTTCAAATTACTGCAAGTAGTGTACTTTGCAACAGTTTCCACTGTGAGAATGCCTCTCCTGAGTTCAACCCTTGTAGGTATCCCTCACCACAGTTCAAAATCTTTGAGCTCATGACTTTAATTTATTCATAGATCGAGACGAATTTCCACAGTTCTTCAATCCGAACTTTTATTTCTCTTAGAACGATACGCCTTTCTGTGATTCTTATTCAGAAATCGTTAATTTCCAATTTTTTTAAAAACGGAAATATTGCTTTCTTTTTAGATCGAGACGAGTGCATAGTGGATAATGGCGGTTGCTCTCATATGTGTACGAATCGATTAGGAACCTACGAATGTACCTGCCCCAGAGGCTACAAGCTGACATCAGAAGGACATACATGTGAAGGTAAAGTTAAATCATAGACCCTAACATGTTATTATTTGTTTATGTATACTGAGCAATTGCGAAGAACAACTTCTTCAAGTATAACAAGTAATCTTTGACAATCGGTCGGCGAAATTTGATACCTGACACTTTTTTCTTTGATAATAATTTCTATGTATATTTGCCTTTATATGATTAATTGTTAGAAAGTACATTTTAGTATTTTATTTTTGTTATGTTACTTAAAATTGTTGATATTTTATGGAATGAATAAGAAATTAATCAAATGAAATCGAGGATGGCTTCTTTCAAATACAGTAAAACCTGCTTTAGTGACCACCTGTCTACAAAGACCACCTGTCTACAAAGGCCATATTTGTTTTTTCCTTTGAAAATGTTTTCTCATTGAATCATGTACTAAATGAACCTGTCTACAAAGGCCACTTGTGTTTCCCTTGGGTGGTCGGCTGTCGCTGTAGACAGGTTTGACTGTACATTGAAGGTTTTTTTCTTGACATAATGAACGATTGATTTCTTTTTCTCTGACGTGTCTTCTAGATGTAAATGAATGTGCGATGAATGATACCTGTGATCATACATGCGTTAACCTGCCCGGGAGCTTCAGGTGTCTTTGCGATGCTGGATTCCAAGCCTATGGCATAACGCATTGCGGAGGTAGGTATCCACGTCATGGTGTCCCTTAAGTTATTCCTGTAAGATTGTTCACCCTCTAAATCCATGGCCAACATCGATCAGATGAAATACACCCAATACGCCAGTTACACACGATATTGTGATTCTTTTACGCATTAAGCCAGTTGATTCATAACATTCAAAGGAAGTCCTGTCAAAGTATTCAGCGATCAATAAATATGATGATGGCTACACACTGTCACTACGGCTGTGTTTCACAAAACTTTTGTTATCAATAACCAGTTACATTAACGGTTATAAACTTCTAAATTCATGGCATTTGATTGGTTGAGAGCAAATGTGTCATAGAAATTTAGCATTTGTTTTTGAAAACAGGGCCTAGGAGTCGCACAAACATTCTATATATATTCCTTGCTTGATTAAGTTTCAATGTTTTCGGACACAAAGATGTGACTCTTTTGCGTCAAAGGGTTGTGTCAGTACCTATTGTTTGCGTCTCGATCTGAGATGGTGGAGACCGTTTGCAACCTCTGGGGTGGTGTTATTACCGTCTGTTTTAATACAGCCGAAACCACACGTTCTTTCTTCTGGACACAAGGGTGGATTAATAGTCTATAGCCACGATGACAGCCAATGTTAATCGTCACGCTCGGGCGTAGTTGAACTTGTTTTTATTATCATATTGCGTCATTTGAAAACAATATTTCTTACTATTATTTTCATTGACCTCTTCATGTAGACGTTGACGAATGCTCCATCAACAACGGTGGATGCCAACATGGCTGCCATAACACACAGGGGAGCTATGAATGCTACTGCAGAGAAGGTTTCAAGCTCCATCCAAACAAAAAGGATTGCATAGGTATCGCTTGCCCTCTCCTTTTCTTCTCCTGATCCTGTTTTGCCAAATTGTATGGGATACAGTCATTTATACCAGTTAATAAAGTGTTAGAGTAAAAGTAGAAGTGATACTAAACCGTAAATGTTATGTTGAGAAACAGTTCACCAAGAATTTATTTAGACTTGTATACTGTTTTTTTTTGTATAGCTCAAGTACAAAATTACGGAAAGAACTATTCCTATCCGATTTAGATCTTGAGATATCTAGGGTTAAGTAGAGAGGAATAATACGTTATGTAATGACTTAGAATTTTGTTGCGAGAGGTGACAAAGAGGGATAATGGGACTTGCAATTCTTAGAAAATTTCTTGGAAGATTTCGAATGAGCTATGGCCCCTTGTAAAATTAAAAGATACTCCTAGTCTGTATTTCGGTATGACCACTATCTGCCTGTGCCTTCCACTTCTGTTCCAATATCTGTTGGTGGTATTCCCGAAAGCGGACTAACTTTAGTCCACGGTTTAATCCTCGACTAAGTATGGAATGCCAAGTGTCCATATTAATATATTTTTGAATAATTTGATATGTCCCTAAATTACCATGATAACATAATTATTTCTTAGTTATATTGTTGTTCATTAATTATGTTATTACATTTTGTTTTAATTTAGTGACAGATTAAATTATTTAAAAACATATTCATATAGACACTTGGCATTCCATACTTAGTCGGAGGATAAACCATGAACTAAAGTTAGTCCACTTTCGAGAATACCACCCTATGACTTTTTGTATCTTAATCTGCCTTTATCATCGCTCAAGCAGCCATAAGATGTCTTCCGCTACGGACACCTGCCCGTGCCATCCTCCAGTGCGAAACGGAAGGTACGGACGAGGTGTGTTCTCTCCTATGCGAGTCCAACTCGCACTTCACGGCTTCGGGACAGGGAACCTTCAACTACCAGTGCGGCGAGAGTACGCATTTCGAATGGACGCATGGCGCCACTAACGATACACTTCCCAGCTGTTCTGGTAAGATAGGGGACTCCTTTCGGGGACTGGGCACACTTTAGCCCATTCTATCATCCTTAATAAAATCCTATCAATTATGGAAAGTTATATAGGAAGTTTATCAAGGGCCATTATGTAGATTCTGAGTCGAAGGCGCTGATGAAACTTTAAAATACTTTACTTTTAACGCATTCCATGATTCAGTGATTTGTTAAATGAAATTTTAAATATTGTTACTATCATTGGACAACTTCAATACGATTCCTGCCGAGGGTTACTTATTAAGAACTATTACTTAACGCAGTCTCTCTGAACCAAACTCTGCATGGAATTGTTCTGTAATTGTAATTTACATATTTGTGTTTTCTTCCGTTTCAGCTTCTGTCGATGTTCCAATGGTAAGTCGGAAGGCACGCTTATTCTTCTCCACCAGCCGTTGCGAACTTCAGAGGCGGGTCACACGCCAACTCTCCAAGACCATCAATCAGAAGTTATCAGGTACGGATGGGCTGTCCGAAGAGTCTAACACTGAGTCGACCTTTGACCCTGCTGACCCACCAGCTCCCTCATCGGCGGCATGGGAGAGCCGCGGCTTCAATTCTACATCCCTCGCCAGTGACGGTAAAAGACCGTTTCTGCACCGCAACCACTGCCAGCCAAAGCTCCACCTAAAACGCTTCCATCTTTTTTTCTTTACCTATGACATTCACAAATACATTGGCACCAGAAATAAATAGAATGCAACGCATCACTCATTCACGAAACATTTTGTAATGCGCACATCTTCACCAAACACACACACATTTACATTTGTGAATGAAACTTGGCTTGGCACATTATTGGTGATGCATTCATAGGTTAACCGCCAATTTTATTTGAAGCTTTTTCGCTGTTGAAAGACAATTCAATGAAATTCGCCACAACATCATGCTTCTTGAATTACTTTTTTTTAAGTGCACGTTGAAAGTTAAAGGCCTTGCACCATAGCTCCCACGATCAGATAAAGTTCTGACAAATCCTTTCTTCAGGGAACCTATGGTCACAGTTAAATAGGATTTAAAGCCCTTATTAATGCGCCCTTATTCCAAGAAGTACCATGACACCTCCCTCCCATGCCCCGGAAGTGGTGTGTCAACAGGGTCGGGTCGGGTCAAACGCCATACCGTGAGTTCCATGTTTATTGTTTTCCCTGTAACGTGAACGTTTGTGACCTGATTTCCCCCCGAATATTATTGTCCTATTTCTTGACACCTGGTTAAAGCACCGTCCCTATCCCTTCCCTTTCAAGAGAGGGCGCTTTTAAAGGTTTTTGCTAGGGAACATTGAGTGATTTATAGTAGCGTTTTGAACATGTGGCCGATCTAAAACCTGAACTCTCGTGATACCACAGTTATGGGAGTAAAGCTATTACATCAGTTATCAAACCAACAAAATGCAATCAAAGTATTAAATGGAATTAGATTTAAAAAAAATAATGGGGATATAAAAGAAAATATACTCCAAAAGCGCCCTTGTAATAGAATGTTGTTCTTTACAATCTCCTCTTTTCCCTCAATAAGTATGTGCATGTTGCTTTATAACACTCGCTGCAATGCACTAATACCGCTCTAACTTTCTCCACTCTTACATGTCAAAATTCAAATATCATCCCCGACCTGTAATGTCCTCTCTTGCATGAAAACAGAATGTGACAAGATTTTTCTATCAAATATTTGTTTGTCTTAGTTCCAAAAGGTATTCTTATGCTATGGTGATACGGCTTGCATCTATTTTTTTAAGAAGTTTATTTCAAGTACATTTCTATTGTTTCTATGAGAACTCTTTTTATTCATTACCATTAGGCATGTCTTGTTGTTTCCTACAAAGCATTGAAATTGGTGAGCATAGATGTTCTAAACTAAAATCTTGTATTTGAAAGTATGCTGTCGTAAATTTGCCTTCATCTGTTTTCTACACCAGTAATAGTAGTAGCTGCTTAGATATTCACTATAAAGTGTGTGCCTTTTAAAATTTCAAATAAGTATATTCCTCATGCACTTTCTCCTTCCGAATGCAACCGTACTGCATATTCTATTACTAACTAGCTATAAATATATATTTGTATTGTTTAATTCCAATTTGTAAAAACAAATCAGTCTCCCTAATCTCTGTTTTTCTGGAGAAGGGTATATTATGTTTCAATAATTCACATGTATACAAATTATATCAGCCATCGTTCTGTTTCTTTTTTTTCTACCACGTTATAGATGAATAGTGTTGTCACTGTTTGAGAATCATTCTTTAGTTAAGACTATTGGTATGAATGAAAAAGAAGCGTAGCACTGATTCTGATTCGGGGGAGGAGGGGGAGAGGGCCCTGGACTTTTCGGATATACATGAACATTGTACTGTGAGACAGAGCAAAGGGACTGATAAAAAAGATAAAACTGTTTTTGGAATATTGAACCTCGATAATTTCATGCATTACGAAACATATCCAGATTAAGAATAGTATTATTTGTTTGCACTAATTCAAATATATTCTGTAAGGGCTCCAGATATTGGGATGGGGCACGCACTTTAGGCATCGTTTGGCTTCCCCGCTGGAATGGTTTAAACGTGTATTAAATGCCCCAGTCACACACGAACAAGACAACAGACCAAGCAAAAACGAAAGGACAAAAATCGGTTGATTTGGAGTCGGTTTGTAATCGATCTGGCGTTGTGACTGAAATACGAATAACTTAATTTTCTTGACGGTATTGTTAGTTTAATATAACCTATGACCTTTGACCTCCTATAGCCGGAGGATGTCGACGAGATTGCGAGGTGAGTTTCCTCAATCTAAGCTGTGACCAACAACCCGTCGCCAGGAGAAAACGACAGGCGGGTCGGTTGTCGTCGTCGTCGTCTTCGATCACAGATGTTGCGGGAAGCGGATCATTGATCACGGCTTATGTCGAGATCGTCATTAAAGCCCGACTCAATGGAGTGACATGTAAGGATCATTTTCACTTTCATAAGGCTTATTTAGGAGTTCAGAAGGGATGGCGGAGAGAGGATGAGAGAATGTAGTGTTGGTTGGTGTGGGTGTGAGAAAGAGAAATGGCGAGGGATGAAGTGGTGGCATAAGTTTGGTTCCTAGGTGCAGAGATATAGAAGGAATAACATCAAACCTGGCGTCAAAGTTGATCTAAGTTAAAACATTGTAGTTGGGAGTAAAGCTCGTGAGAGTGAGAGAGAGAGAGAAACTTCATAGAAAAAAACAGTTATTATTCAGATATAATTTTAGTCCAGATACTTGGGGTCAAATTATGCCATACCCCCTTCATATTCGCCAGTTCAGCATTAATATATCAACCAGGTCACACTGACAAGATCGACACCAGACCGTCAACAAACCTGCCAACATTATTAACTACCGCTATTGGTGAAAACTCGGTCAGTTTGGAGTCGAGTTGGGAATCGTTTGGCGGTGTGACTGAGGTAGAAATCGGGACTACTGTTACTTTGATTAATATCACATTATTCGTGTGTATGATTGTGGAGCGCCAGGAGTGGCAATCCTGACAGACATGAGCGCTATACAAGAACCCACTCTTAAACAAATAATAAACGAAAGTGGAGGGCATTAGTAAGACTTCCCACACAAGGTACCTTTGGAACAGTCTAACAGGCTCGATGCGATAGCCGAGGGTGCTTGGACCGTTTCGAAGGCACGGAGTGTAGGTAATATTACTATTAAATGCCTGAACAAAATGATGTGTATTATTTGTTTTATAGGATGATGTTTTATAAGATGATGTGTTAATGACCGGTCATTAGTGAAATTACGTGTTGGGCAAAATGAATGCCTTTTCACGTCTACGCTCTCAACCAATCATTTGATTATGATTCGCTTCATCATCTTGTAATACTTACGAATTTTATTGTGACTCTTCCAGCTCGATGTGATCTGGAATGCGTGCGGAAGAAGTCGGAGCGGAAGATGAAACGGCTGATCACGAAGTTGCGGAAGGCCATCGAGAGAGACCACTTCGTCGTCCAGATCGACGGCAACGAGTACGAGATGAGCCGGAACCTCAACGTGACTGACGTCTCCGAAGCAAGCTGTCCACTCGGCCATGTCATGATAGATGCTGGACGATGCGGTAAGTGAGTGGAAGAAACAGGGCAGCGTCTCACGAAACCGTCATAAGTACAAGTTCACCGAAATCCCATTGAAATGCTTGCATTAAGTTTAACACGCGTTTCAATCGGATGTCGGTAAACTTGTACTTATGACGGTTTCGTGAGACGCAGCCCCAAAGATACTTTCACAAAGAACGTTCGTTTTTAATCTTGTGCAAAAGGAATTCAAAATTTAAACTCTAAAATCCGTCGCACACTATACGGTATGACCGCGATTCGATTTTGGAAGAATTTGCAATCGCATTTGAAAATGAACTTCACATCAAGTAAGCGAACTAAAAATAATAAAAGCGACTTTCTAAGGTATTTGCAAGCCTCATACCTGAACCAGACATTCCCCTCTTTATACAAAGTATAAAGTCACAATTATTTACCCCACAATCTTTACTACTATGGTCATATGGTTACAGGGCCTTAAGGGAGAACGGCATTAAATGCGGATAAGGCTTCCCTGGGTAACGAAGACATGTTATTAGTATTAGTATTGTTATTATTATTAATAATATTATTATACTGTTTTCATACAGTGGCGTGCAGCATGGGTACCTACTACCATGCTAGCAGTGGGGGCTGCCTCCCCTGTGAAGCGGGCTCTTACCAGGATGAAGAGGGGCAGTTAGAATGCCGAAGGTGCCCACAACAGGATCAACAGTATGACGTGACTGGGGCACGTCATATAACAGAATGCGGAGGTAAGATGAATCGTAGTATGCTGTAAAATTGTCTACCATTCGCCTTTCCCTTTTAACGCCTCCATCTATTTTCATCGTATATATATCACCGTCTTTATATGATCCGTTAGTATCAATTCGCATTTCACTTCTTAAGTAAGACATTAATGATGTATGTTTAGTATGTTTGAATGAAAATGGAGAAAAAAAATTGAAATTGTGGAAATCTTCTGTCCATACATCCGAAAATCTGAAATCGAAAAATCTTTCAATCTTTAAACCCTCCGTTCTTCCGATCCTGAAAACTTGAAATCTTCAAGCCTTCAAACTTTCCAATCTCCCAATCTTCACAATGTTAAACCTTTAAATCTACACACCTGAACTCTTCAAATCTTTTTTTTTTATCTTCGAATCCGCACATCTTCACATCTTAGGACAATGTCGTCCCGGTGAATACTCTGTAGATGGTTTTCAACCATGTGATTCCTGTCCGGTCGGGTCCTACCAGCCCGAGTCTGGCCGCACACACTGTCTACCATGCAAAGGTGGCTTGCTCACTAGATCACATGGTTCGACTTCATTCGCAGACTGCCTAGCGAAAGGTAAGAAAATTAACCATGAAGGTCATATCAGCTCGAGTTTGCCAAATAACCCGCTATTTTAACTATCCCTATCGCAACTTATCCATCTAATTTGTGTCTTCATCAGCCTACAGTTGATATAAATATATCCCGAGATATCTCGGTCTTGTTTCCTAAATATCCCGCTATTTGGGAAATAGTAGGCTAATTTGCGCCCGTCCGAGCTAGTTTGTGATGAGCGTATATCGGTCTGGTGAAGACGCAGTTTCGAGCTTCGGGATAATATCCCGAGTCTGAAAAGAGTCTGAAAATAGAGGGTTATTTGGCAAACTCGAGCAGATGAAGACAAACATGGGGTAAACCGCCAAAAAAGAAGAAAACCCCACCGCTGTTCTTTTAACTTGTTAATAAATGGAAAATGCGTCCTGCACGTATTTGCTGAACTCTATATGTAGTAACATACATAAATGTGACGAGTAACACACTTTACTCATGGCAGACAAAATTTCAGAGATTTTGGACTCTTATTCCTTACCTATTTTTCTTTGTGCGTCTCTGAATAGAAGTTCAAGGTAGAAAGCGCAATATAAATGCCTTAATATGATTATTATCATTATTATCATTATTGCTTAAAGATATCAAATAAAGATGTGACTACCCTCTACGTGTCAAGAAAATCACTCCAAACCATATTTATTTTCCGCAGAACATTGTGGACCCGGCACGTATTATAACGTCACCACCCACTCCTGCGAGAGATGCCCAAGGGGCTGGTATCAGCCACACCCTGCTATGAACTACTGCATCCGTTGTCCTGGCAACACCACCACAGATGAAAATGGAGTAGCAGACGGAGATCAATGCAAAGGTACGTTCGGGACTCCAGTCACACCTGACGAAATCGATCCCCATCCTCTGGAACTCTCTCCCCCAGAGCCATCTATACACAGAGTTTGGCCAACTCCGGTTCACTGCGTCACAACGTGGCGTATATTCTCTTGTTTTGTGCTTGCCCAACAAAGCAGAAGTCGCAATATTGTGTCCAACTCGAACCGGGTTGGTCAAACTCTCCCAATCAATGACACTGCTCTCCCCCTCCATGTCCCGCCATCTGTACTGCAACCAACCTGACATACCTTCAAGTCTGCACCCGAAACCTACTTATCTAAGAATTTACTTAGTTATATTGATTCGCTGTATATAGTTTGATATTGTAAGTCTTTTCATTTTGATGTACTTTAAATGAGTAAGACGTTTGAACTATTATTTGTAGCAATTGTATGCTAAACATAATGTAGTTTTCTATTCATTCTTAACAAATGTTCTTGCTTCTTAAGTAAAACAATGCAATATACTGTAATTTGTACCATAATCACTTTTTGTAATTAACTGCTTTGCCGTTAAGTTTCTCTTTTCTTTACTAGTATAATGATTTTTTACAGCAGAACAATAAACTTTCTTTATAAAGTATCATATTTTTGAAGCGCATAGAGACTTTCCAGTGTCAAGCCCTTTAAAAATAAATTATTATTATTATTATACCCGCCCGCCAGCAGAAAAAACTATTTTATCGCAAATGGCCTAGAACCCAAAGATATCTTGCACTCAAACTCCGACATTTAAACGCAGCCCGAGGTAAATGCATAAGAGACATACACAAATATGGTATTCTCACAAATAATAAAGCAGAAAGTATATCACAAATGTGTGATTGTATTTACTATCACAACGACCGCAAAGGTATGCACTCTATCATTCGTCATGTGACCTCACTTTCGGCCAATCATGTTGCAAGATTCATAGAATGTGGGATATGATGTTTACTAATTTTTGACCGCATCGTGGTGAACTATCGAAACGTAGGACCACTTCGAAGATGAAATTCATCCCTGTCTTTTCCTTTATCCAGACACAACATGCAGAGCTCAGATCGGTCAGTACGTAGGGTACATCGAAACGCCGAACTTTCCCGGTGATTATCCCGCTAATGTGGACTGCACATGGCATATCAAACCACCCAGAGGTCGGAAGGTCATCTTTGTAGTTTCAGAGATCTTTCTGCGCAAGGAGGATCAATGTGGGGACATCGTGGTCATTAGAAAAACAGGTAAAAGTTTTGAAATGTGTGTGCCATTGTCTTATGAATCTACGGAAGCTTATAGTTTCCTACGAGATGACGAGATGATTTGAGACAAGAAAATGAATTAAAAGACGAGAATACTTGCTGAGTTTGAACATTCCGCCATTTCGTGTTCTTCGTCCTAAACAAGACGACTTGTGAGTTTTAATAATCCATCCCATCCTCTTGTCCCCACAAAATTGATGTTCCGAGTTCCAAGAGCTCGTCTTCTCGTCTTCTTGTCTCAAACAAGTCGACCCGCAGAGGTAGAAAAATACGTCACCTCGTCTTCTCTTCTGAAATAAGTGCCAAACAACCTGTTTTTTAAACTATTCTTTTCGTCTACTTGTCCTAAATCATCTCGTCGTCTCATCGGCATTTTTAAGCTTTCGTGTGAATCAATCATGCCCTTTGAATGCGAGGTCTTAATCGATGCGCAATGCGAGAGTGACATTGGACTAAAAGGGGATTGTAAAATGAAAATGGCTACTGTCTTTTTAATTGTTAGTCCGTCGGATTTATATTTTAAGTCCGAGATATTTTTAAAACTTTAAGACATGGCTATCATAACTCTTCAAACTTATAATCCCCAAAAAAGAAATACTTCAAATTTAAGTCTACTGGAATTAATTTTTAAGTCGAGTAAGATTTAATTTTGGCTGCGCGCATGCTCCAAACGATCTGATTGGCGAGAAGTTTTACCGCAACATAGCTAAACAAGCATTACCCAATGTATTAGTACCAATGCCTATAAACTCATCTTCTTTTTTTTACAGCGTCGCCGTACTCCACAACGTCTTTTGAAACATGTGAGAACGTGACGCGGCCCATAGCGTTCCTTGCACAGTCAAAGAGAGTGTGGATACGGTTCACAACAGATGCTGCACATGCAGCTAAAGGCTTTAGAATACACTACTCAATGTATGATGGTAAGTTATATACCAAGACGTTGTGACCCGAATTCACAAAGAAGGTTTGTCGACAAACCTAGCTTTATGTGCGTCATATGACGCGTTTCGATGCGTTTCAGACCAAGGTTCAGACAAGGTTCAGACAAACCCTGGTCTGAAACGCATCAAAACGCGTCATATGACGCACATAATCCTAGGTTTGGCGACAAATCTCCTTTGTGAATTCCGACAGGTTATGTATCCGGACAGTTGAATTAAAACAGTAATGTTAGGAAGTTTGCCGCCAAAATTTCATAAATACCTCCAGACTTCTGATTGAAAATATTGTACAAGACAAAGGGCGCGTTCATGCTTGATTTTGACGGCCAGAATCAGGCATCTGTTACGCGTTTAGTTTAAAACACGATTGCGTTCATGCTCACTTTTGTAGAATCACCGAAAAACGGCGATCACGATCGCCGATCGTAAACTCACAAAAAGATGCGTTTACAATTTGTAAACGCGTTTAAATGGGGTCAACGCACTGACCTCTAGTGGGTCTACTAGCATGCACAGTGAAGGTTTGCGAATCCAGCTGGAAGACCAATTAAGGCCACACACGGAGAATTGCCTGGGGGAGCCAGAGAAGTAAGCATGAACAGTACATCGTGGAACTGCGATCACGATGAGCGTTTACGATGAGCGTTTCAGATCGCTCATTCTGCCTTCAAAATTTAAGCATGAACGCAGCCAAATATGTATAATGCTTAGTACTAATTCGTGCATCCTTTCTACACGCACAACTCCCTGTTATTAGTATTAATAACTATCATTGTCCTTTTGTTTTAGAAACATATGAAGATCTAATGAAAGACATTGTAGGTGATGGAAGACTATACGAATCCGAGTACCATCAAGAAATTCTGAAGGTTTGTATCATTGTGATATGACTATCTTTGTAATTTGTATGTGACTAATTTTTCCATTTTGTTATTGCATTTGGTGAAAGATAGTATTTAATTTGAGCAATACGTCTAGCTTATGATTACAATGGCCTTCATGCCAAATAATAATGTTTAAACTTGGAGAATAAAAAAACTCTAAGCCTAACTAAAAACAACAAATCTTTATGTTGCTTTGAAGGGTACATGTTCTGATAACCTAATGACCCAATATTTAACAGAAAACGTGAATTTACAATATTATGTAGGTGATTCTTTTGGAACGGAATTAAACGTTAGGTTCGATTTTGTCTCTTTTAAAGTCCTTGAACGTGAAATCACCTGATTCATTAAAAACACTTTTCATAAATTTTAGATATGAGAAATTTTACTATAAAAATGTTGAATAGTACATTTTTAGGCGTTGTGCACATTCATCTTTTTCTTGAGTCACTACACAAGCCCGGGTCAGGACGCAGGATCAGGGCCCCGTTGCACAAAATTTACCATTGATGGTAACTTTGCCATCAATAGTAACTACCATGGAAACCTTGGTTTGGATTGGCTGTTCAGTCCTGTTACCATTGTAGTTGCCATTGATGGCAAAGTGACCATCAATGGTAAGATTTATGCAACTGGCCATGGCCTTGAAACACTCTAGGTATGTGAGGGTACGTGGTTGTGGGAGGAGAGGTCTTTCAACGTCTGTTCCTCCTCCCCGCAGTCGCACATCTGCCCTAAGCTTTCCTATGCTCATTGGTCACAAGTCATTACAGTTTACATCTCAATCAAAATTATTTTACTCTTTCATTTTTGTTTTGCTTTGTAGAATAAAGAGGTCCTAGCAGCGTTACTAGAAATTATAGCACATCCTGAGATATACGACAATTACAGACTAGAAGAATCGAGGTCCATCCTACCGCGTTCCTTCATCAAACTCCTACGGAACAAGGTGGCCCGGTTCCTTTACCCCGAAGAAATGTATCCTAACGGCTACAAGGATCCTCTAGTTACTGCTAGCACATGGGATTAACTTGTCACCCCTCTGTTCCTGTCCTGCCATCCCTTGTACTTCACGAGTAGCTTCGTTGTACCCATTCGTAGAACCAAGACGCCCGTTACAGAATCGACCACTTTTATCCATGCCTGCAATCGCTTCAACACCGTTTCTGTCACAATGCAATAGCATGAACAGAACTCAACTTATCTTTAAAAAAACGTTAGCTAGGTTTCTCCCCTATCTAGTACCCCTTCTTTGAACAAATCCCTTTTCTCTTCTTACGTTTTTGGATGAAGATCTGTTACTTTTAGCAGCTCCAATTCATTTTCTACCTTATTGTCCCTGTCGGGCTAACAATCATGTCCCTGCACAATATACAGTTGTATAATTCTCTCGCCAAATACTGGAACTCACTAGATGTATCTCTTTCTGTTATAATAATAAACTTTGCTTTTATAGCGAATATCACCAGTAAACACAATCGCAACTACCTTCGAAAAATCAACTCAAAGGCAATTTCAATACCCAATTGTATATCTCGTAGGAATCATGTTCGGTTTACGTAATCTGACATTTTAATGTTTGCACGTTTTAAAGACCGTCAATACTAATGGGCCAGAAGGAATTAGACCACACAGCGAGGTCACTGACAGGTGGCTATCTCATTAACTCAGCTCTCAACTAACATAAGAAAAAGAGGATCATGGGGACCAACAGGCACCGATTTGGGAGGTTTGCTATATAGAGGGAGCAAGTAGCTACAACTAGGACAGTGGGGCTATAAAGGGTGATGAGAGTGGCTATTGTAATTGCCTTAAGTTGATTTTCCAATATATTTGTGATCGTGTTATATAAGATATCGCCTCTTTTACCCTTGGAAACCCAGATCTACCCTCTTTTGTTACCCAGAATACCCATTTCTAAACCACTCCCTTGTGTCCACTTTTATGATCGAGGGCACGTCTAAATGACATGTAATGTGTTACTCGTCTGTATATCTGCATGTTGAACAAGTATGACGGTTTCGTCACTAAATTATTGATTTTCCGTGACAATATCGTCCGTGTATCATCATATTTATTCATGTTATGGAGGGAATGACGTGTGTTTTGTTTTCCATAAAAAGTTATTAAGTCCTAGTCATTTACGAGACATGAGAGTGAAAATCGAAAAGCAGAGGTAGTACATAAAAAGACTTTATTATGTGTGAAACTATCGCAGATGAAGATTACTTGACCGACTTAATGTCAAATATTGAGAACGTATTTTTCTTTATGTGCCAATGATAGTTATTCAGTACCTTCAAATTATATTTAAGTCATGCACTAATATGTACTAGTTATATTGTTCGTACTTCTCTCGAAGTTGCATTGAAGAGAGGGGAATTGTATTTTAAAGAGAAAAGATATATAATTATCCTGTACATTTTCATTGTTAATGTTTATTTTTCATGTGTTTTGGTGGTTTAGTGTTTTCCGCCTGCGCTGAGCCTAAGGCTTGTATTGTTAATGTATGATGTATTGGGCTGTGTTCAAACTCATCTACCGTAACCTTTCCATGCCTTCAGACTGGTATCCGACCCCTTACGCTTAGAAGTGTGTGTGTCACACGCATATGGGTTGGGAGATAGATTTGTCACCAGTCTGCCATGCTAAGTCAGGTACTGTAGACGCTTGTGAACACGGCTGAAGTGGTACTGCAAGTGTAGGCCTAACATTTTGTATTGAATTCCGTGTTGCGACTTGACGTAACGTTAGTGACATTCAAATATTGATAAAATGTGAATTCAAATGTGAATGCGGCATGTAGCCTGATTTACATTATGCCAGTTTTGCATGAACATGCCCCGTAAAATGATGTTCAATATAAAATATCCTAGTATCGTATTTCAGAATGTGATGGTTTATCAACAGTAAACTTTATATGATGCTTAATATTGCTTTGGAACTATACTGAATATTGATTGCTGCTATTCAGTGATAATGTCGTGGACTTAAGAATCATAACTGACAGAAATTGTATAATGACATACACAATGTATTTCATTGAATAAATGTATGCTAGCAATTGCCATTTAGGTATTGAGCTCACTTACAATTTTGTGAAATACACCCGATGATTCAAGGTTCGTTCAGATTCGACGCGGTAATCCGCGGCACAGGGAAATAACCGCTTTTTGTGTGTGTGCTGTTCATGGCAATTAATGACAACTGCATAATGAAGTTCCTGCGCGTATTCATGGAGCTTTGCGTTAAAGGATACAGAAATGTGATGGTGTTTACGTCATCATAAAAAACCGCAGCGGCTTTACCGCGTCATACCTGAAAGGAACCAACCGGTAAATATTATAGTGCCATGTCGTTTAGTAGTAGGTAAATGTAACAATCCTTCTAAATAGCTACTGTGTCTTGAAGAAGTAAGCTTTTCACCGTCAATGATCAATGGCAAAGTGTATTCAAGATTGATAATAATATGTGAATGGCCTTTATTGTTACTAATATTTCATAATTTTATCATATGTTCAGTCTATACTCTTGTTGCAAAAACGTCTCATGTCTGTACAAGAAACGTAAAGCATTGTGTGATTGCGACTGTACAGAAACAAAAAGAGTTGAGTTTGCACCAAGTACAATATGTAATGATCTAAATAAGATGATGTTGTAGTATTATAGCTTGTGCAAAATATATGATAGGTGGGCTATTCTGTAGTGTCATAAATATATATCTATAGTTATGCTCTGCACGAATATATTGGTATATGCTATGCAATCTCTCGTCTCCCACCGTCATGCTTTTGTCAATGAGATACCAAAAACAAATGAAAATTGCATATTGACTGAATATAAAAACTGATTATTGTTTCTTTGCTTATTATAATGAGTGCGATTCTGGCTCTAAAAATTCCCAGATTAAAGCACATGAACTTATATCAAACATGAATATGGTAGATGTAATGGGGAGATATTTGTCAGATTTTAACATGTCAAGATCATGCGCCAAATTCTGTTGAAATGAAGTTATGAACACATAATAATGCTATCTTTTTTTTGTCTTCTTCAGAGCTCAAATTTCTAGTCTTTGCCATTTAGTGTTTCATCAAAGTGGCATGAAAATAAATAATTACTTCTTTCCGGCTTTGAACGACCATTTGTATGGGACGAAAATTGTGGAGACTAATATCAATTCTGTTTATTTCTTTGTTTTTTATGATTATTATTATTATTATTGTCATGATTTTTATTATTATTATTATTATTATTATTATTATTATTATTATTAATATTATTTTTATTATTATTATTGATAATAACGTCATTATTGCTTTTCTTCTCAATATTAGTAAACAATTGTATTTATTATTATTGTCATTATTATTTATTCATTTTTTTTATTAGTAGTATTATCATTATAATATTTTACTATTATTGTTAATAAACCATGCACTCTTCATAATCAAACACTAAATCTTTCGGTAAAATATACTATTGCAATCACTCAACTACCAATGTGGTGCAAGAAGTGGTAATTCTTAGGAATATCATTTGAGTTTTAGAGCCAGAAGGGCGTTAACTCTGTGTTAAAGCTAATAAGTTAACACCCTCCTCGCTCCAGACAGGATTATGACGAAAAAATTAAATCTGTCACCTAAACTTGTTTTCATTTAATAGATATGTAATGCAAGGTATAAGCATAATGATAACTCGTAGCTAAAAATTGATTTTATTTTGTTTGTTTGCCATATGAATGTAAATAATTGTTGATGCGCTAACGTAATCTACGACAAATTAAAACAAGGGCCAAAGAATGAACTATAAACCATTTTCTCGACTCTTTTTATGGGGCTTCGCCTTTATTATAATAAAAATATAATTTATTATTAAGAAATATTATAGTATCACACAAAAAAAGTTTTTATATCAATCGCAAATTAGTTGTGGGCAATCGCAATTGTTTATAAGACAAGGCCCAAGTGTTCACGGTTATTTTGACAGAAAGGATATGTCCATGGATTTGACCACGGTGGCTGAATATCCCAGTTTATGATTACGAAATAAAATAGAAACATGTCCCGCTGGATCATTTTGAGTGTGGGTGGAGTGTTGTATAATGGACCCATATATGCTCGGAGGAAACACGTTTTCCATCAAGCAAAAACATAAAACGTTCAAAGGTTTAAACTTTTGCCTGCAAATAAGCTTAGAAAAAGTGAGAAAAGGTGAGATTGATGTGTAAAAAGTAAATGGGATACAGTGGTTTATGTGAATACATAGGACAAATCATATATCTACAGTGAAGATTTATGACACGATATGTTTTTTTAAGACAGAAAATAATGCTATCACAAGGATTATGGTGAATTTAGGACGGATCGGTAGAGACATCGGTAAATGGAACTAACATAATAACAAAATACTAACAAAATCAATTTTAAAGTCATGATTATATTGAGTTAATATTGAAAATATGGCATGCATATAAAACAAATACCACATTATGAATTTGCGACCATATCCACCAAAACTTCTAAACGAGTAAAACAAACTATAACAAATTCGACGCCTTCGCTTTATATAAAGTTCTGGATGGCAAAGGATGTTAAAAGAAGATCTGTATGAAACTTGATGCATATGTCCAAATCAGTGGCGTACGCAGGATTTTTTTCAAGGGGGGGAGGGGGTTAACATTTTGAAATCGGGCCGAAAATTTCGCAACGACTCAGCCAGCCGCTAAATAAGAGGGTGGGGGGGGGGGGGGGGGGGGGGGTAAGAGGACATTTTCTTTTCTTTTTTGGTCCCTAAAATTTCGCAACGACTCAGCCAGCCGCAGGAGGGGTGGGGGGGGGGGGTAAGAGGACACTTTAGGTCAGCCATGGGAATAATTTTTTTATTTCTTTATTTTTTTTTAAATTAAACAAAAAAAAAAACTCAAAGGGGGGGGGGGGGGGGGGGTAGAAGGGTTTTCCTCAAAAATACACACATTTAAATACCAAGGGGGAGGGGGGGGGGGGTTAACCCCCCCCCCCTCCTCCCTCCCCCCTGCGTACGCGCCTGGTCCGAATAATGAAATTAAACATGTACCAAAGGTGAAACTTTCATGGTATTGGATGAATTCTCGAGTATATATTATTTCAAAATAATTACATCTTTTTCTAGTACAAAGCACATGGGTAGTTATGATATGACGTCCGTTGTACTGTATCTCGTAGAAATATTCCCATCACCAGCTCATTTATGAAGCTGCACTCGGAAGAACTTCATACCCTGTGTGCTTCGCGGAAGAGCTTTGGGGTAAGTACAAAAGGCTTTCACATCGTATTAGCGTTTACGCAAACTAGGAAAGACCAGCCAAATCATTTACCTTTCAAAGAAATTCTAAAAGAGGTCATCACGGGCTTGCGATCTCTTCAACGGTTTCCAAGGTGTCATTCTCTGCAATCTCCTCAATTTTGTCCGCAACTGTTTTCTTAGATTTCTTCAGAGACCATTTCAGCTTCCTAATTTCGTTTGGATTTGTGAACTTTTGGGTCCAAGACGTTTTCTTCCGCGTTTTGTCTCCATCAGAAGCCTCATCCGAACCGGTTCGTTCTATGACATCACTTTCAAGCTTCTTCCTCAGTTTTTCCTGCGCTGTGAGTTGTTCCTCGGGACGTACCTCTGGCAGGCACATGATAGCCCGCGCAACTTCAACATTTCCCGATGCGCAGGCAGCGGCGAGCGGTGTCTGCCCCGCCTGGTTGAGTGACATCTTGGCTCCCGACTCTACAAGCGTGTCGATGATCTGAGGAAGCGGTCCGTTCTTAAGGACATACATCCGTTGCTTCAACGCTAGCCTATGCAGTGCGGAGTTCCCATCCATGTCCTCTAACCTCGGATCGGCCGTGTTGTTTAACAACAGGCGTACAACGTACAGCGAATAGCGCTCACACGCCACCATTAAGGGTGTGACGCCCTCTTTGTTGACCGGGGCGTTGACGTTCGCGCCCTTCTTCACCAAGAACCGCATCGCTGTGAAATCACCGCGGTAGCAGGCCACGGATAGAGGTGAACAGTGGTTGATGTTGGCGCCCCGCTCGAGCAGGTGGGTAGCCATCTCAAAGTTCTCTTGTCGGATGGCGGCACAAAGAGCGGTGATCTCATGTTTCTTTCCTTCCACAGAGATATTACCAATCTGATTAACGTCAACCTGAAATCAGTGAATGTTATCAATAGAAACATTTTTAGATACTGGGGTAGAATAAACGAAAACCTTATTGACTAATAACCAAAAGTAAACAAGCGAAATGAATGGAAGATGAGGGAGGATGAGGGATGATGACCAAGGGCGTATATATATTTGATAGGGCGGGAGAGGGGGGTGGTCGAGGTCCGGATAACCATCTTCTTTTGGCACGTCCGTGATTTAGGGCGAATTACAGTTCCCTTTCCCTTTAATGTTCGATTTTGTTTCTCTCTCTCTTTGGGGATGTCAGACTGAGGACTTTGACCCCCTTCTGACACTATTTATTTATTTTTGCCCTAGAAAATGGGAAAATCGCACCCCCCCCCCCCCGAGCACCAGAGGAGGGGGCCCGTCTCCAAAGAAAGATGAAATTTACGTGGATTTATCTGGGTTTTTTCCCAGGGGAAAAGGCCTGAAGACCCGGAGGTCCGGGCCCCCTGGATCCGCCACTGGTTCTAGGACACCTACCTCCTGACCAACCACCCTCCGGATAACCACCCCTAGCTAGATAACCACCCTCTACGACAAGTACCCCCCCTAGGGCAACTAACCCCTAGGATGATTACTCCCCCCCCCCCCCCCAGCTTACTACCAGGTAGAACAACCTTCCCCTCGGACAACTACCCCCGGACAACTACCTCTAGGACAACCACCCTCTAGAACAATTCCCCCGGACAACTAACCCCGGACAAGTACCCCCACAAAACTACCCCCTAGGATAACCATCCTGATACGATTTATTTGTAATAAATTTACCTTGTACTCGTCCAGGAGTTCATCTATAACATCGCTGTGCCCATGCCAAGCACCGGCGATGAGAGGGGTGAAACGAACCTGACAAAAAGAGAGACAGAAAGAACAACATGGATTAAAATATTGTATCATATCTTCGTAGCAATGGCAATACTGATTATGATGTCATAAAAATAGTAGTAGTAGAAGTAGTAGTAGTAGTAACAGTATTATTCTTATTATTATTATTATTAGTAGTAGTAGTAGTAGTAGTAGTTGTAGTAGTAGTAGTAGTAGTAGTAGTAGTAGTAGTAGTAGTCGTCGTCGTAGTAATAGTAGTATTAGTAGAAGTAGTAGTAGTAGTAGTAGTAGTAGTAGTTGTTGTAGTAGTAGTAGTAGTAGTAGTAGTAGTAGTAGTAGTAGTAACAATAACAATGATGATAATAATAATAAGACAATATTTTTTTCTACGGATAAACAAGAGGTATTCTAAAATAATATTGGGTAAAAATAAAGAGTGATCAGTTAATATGAAAATGCACACATTATAGAGAAGGAAATTTATAAGTTGATACGAAAATTATTAAACGTATTAAAACGTATTATCATATGCATTCAATAAACAATGAGTATTTAAACACCTTTGAGCAAAGAAGAGGAAATAATTGTTGACATTCGATATGTGTTATTGAGGGATTTCCGCTGGACATAAATACCAACGTGACAGGATATAAGGTTTTAAGAAGCTCTATTTCCTCCTTCGGAAATCACTTTACGTAGAAACCAATCCAAAAGAGAGCTTTAATGCGAGATAAATTCCATAATTACAAAATATGGTTTCGTATGAGTTCCCTAACAATGCTAGTCTGGAAGAACAGACTCTAATTTGACACTTTATCACAATTCCTAGAACAGTCAGTAGAACCTATAGATCTATCAGTTCCTGGCTGCGTCGATGGTCAAACTATGAGCAACTCAAGTAAAGAGCCTACTGTAGTCTCATAATGCAGACCTTGTTACACACAACGAATGGCATATAATTTTGCCCTTGAATCTATAACGAAGCCGCGCGAAGGGCAAAGGTCTAATAGACTCATATATAATAGGTTCATATGGAGCTCCTTGTTACCTGTTAAAAAAGGCAATATTTTTGTTTAGTACTGATTGACACGTAAATAATGTCGACATATATTTATTTTTTTCTATTCTTTCTTCCCTATCCCTTTCTCTCTCTCTGTTAATCTTTATTTTCCCCTCGCTTGATTTCTCTTTCATTTCTCCACATGCCCCTTATTATAAATATTTATACTTTTTAGCCGCAGGTCCTTTATTTTACCAGCGTGTTTTTTTGTTCTACACCGTATCCATACTCAATTTAATATCGGATTATCTCTACATTTTGTGTAATTGCTTATTGAGGAAGTTAACTTAATTGAAGTAAACAGTCGCCTGCATATTGTATATACAATATTTATATAAGTTTATATCTTCTCAGAACTTTAGTGATCTATTTTTAGAGTCAGAGAGTTTGATAAATACAGTTCTGACAAGATATGAACTCTATACCTATCAAGAACAAACAATATTTGACAATCATTTCATGGAAGAGGTTTATTATTATGACACAGGATGGAACGTCATCACGCTGTGGTATTTCCATGTCAAAGGATTTACGACGTACCACTTTGGTTATGTGCCAGTAGACAACGAACTGAAGTCTAATCGCCTTCCTTTTTTATACCACATCTATCAATGATTAACCATTCTTATGTAACCGCTATATCCACATACTATGCACACAATCACAAGGATATACACACTTTTGCTCATACCGCAGTCACTCTGCCAAACCGATTCCGAACCGACGTCGAAAATGATTACTTATAGTACTCGGAAATTCGAAAACCAACTCTGACTGTTTTCAGATGACTTTTTTCTCATCGAATGTACTTTGACATTATTTCAGATTTTCCTTGCCTACTGTAAGTAAATGGACGCTAGAACCGATAAACGCTCTCTCTCTCTCTCTCTCTCTCGCCATCTCTCTCGCTCCCATCCCCCTCTGTTTCTCAAATAAACAAGAAACAAAATCAAGTTCGAAGAGTCACCTCCCTTTCAAATAAAAAAAATATATATCTCAGTCATTTGTACACAGGTTCATATGGTGAGTATTGCTCACGTATAGCTCCATCTCTGATTGTTCTATTTGATATTATTGTCCGTGTTGTCAAAACACAAACTTTTAGTTAGGATTCAGGAATAAAGGAACCACTGAGTCACAAACGTTCAAGAGTCAACGCGCGGCCACCGAACAATAGTTGAACTCATGGCATATCTTGGCTACCTCAAAACACTCGTAATCTTTGCATACCCATCGCTCATAATTTCTTACAACAAATACTTGAACAAAAGTCAGTGAGGTTCATACACAATAACAGTTTTATGACTCTATATGTCTTTCTCCCTTTCACAGATATATGCATTATTTTATAGTCAAAAGAAGTTCATAAATAAGGGGTCAATGTGTCCTGTAATGGGGCAGATCGAAATGGCCCATTTTCTTTTTGTTTACGTTGTCGAACACTAATTGTGCGCAGACTCAACAGTTCATAAAAGTTGGTCAGCTAATGATAATAGAGTCGATGCCCTATCCTGAAACTGATACCTACGTTTGATTTCTTAATAATTATTTTGATAAATGGGCTATAATAAAACATTATAATGAAAAAGAAGTTCACTTATATTAGATATAGGCTTATATAAAGACATGCCACAATATTTCGGCATCTCCTTGTAACTCCGAATGCATTGTTGTATATTGACACTATTGCCTTATTAGCATGCAGAGACCAAATTGTTTATACACATAAGGTTAAGTCTATAGAGTACCGAAGTGTTGACGTCGTATTCACTCGTCGTCGAGGTTTCTGGCTCCAAACGACATAGTCTGCGCATGAGGTGCACCGAGAAATCATTCAAGCAACGGACCGGAGCAGGTGCAATTGCAATTGTGTGATTTACACACCATCATTAAGTAGAAAGTTTTTTGGAACCAGTAACAACGTGGCCAGTATGACGTCACATTTCGGTGCTCTTACCTTCACTCTGATACTTATAGAGAAAACAGATTGTTCACACTACTCGTCTACACCAATTTACTCATAACCGAGTGATTTTGTTTGTCCTGTTTATCCCGTTCTAGTGATTTAAGGGGAAATTAGGATCAGGCCTAGATGGCAAATGAAGCATGGCTATTTGATTAGGATTATTTCCGTTTCATGAAAACAACTAAATAACCCATCGTTTTTGTATTCCGGACCAAAATATGTTGCTATTGGCTTGTGAAAAATGAAAAGTGCTGATGGTAGTAAGATTAAAGCAAATCATGGTGAGCAGTTGTAATATTATTAATTTAATTATATTAAAGACATGGTCACTGTTGTTGATATTCGCTACATTATAGATATGTTTTCAGATTCTTCAGGGATTGTTTTCACATTACAATGCCATGAAAATGTACCCATTAATCATATATCAGTATAATGTAAGGCTTCAGCTAATAATCATAGCCATTGTGTCTGTTTTCAGGATAAGATGTTGATCACCGTGTACTATATGTAAAACAAAGAAAATAATACCAGCAAACACGTCGACCACATTTTCCTGAAATATAAGGACGAGACTGCCATTGTGGTTCTCGTGGCAGGACCTTCCTGTCGGCTGTCGGAAAGTGTGGTTCTACAAGAATAATGGGGGGGGGGGGGGCTATGGGGTTCTTGATTAAGTGACTTCATGCGCCTCGCTGAAACTCACTCAGAATACTGATTTTTAGGGGTTGGGGGCTGGACGCCCCAAAGCGCACTCTAGAATTGCTATTGTCTGTTTATCTCCTAAGCCAGTTGCCCCCAAGTTAACATTTGGTTACTGGATCCGGGTACTTATGCTAAACAAGTTAGCTGACAAGTCTACTACTGCTCCTACTACTTCTACTACTACTACTACTACTACTACTACTAGTACTACTACTACTACTACTACTACTACTACTACTACTACTACTACTACTACTACTTCTACTACTACTACTAGTACTACTACACGTTAATTAGGTGGGGACAGTTTTACTAGAAATAGCTGAAACAATATTACTAGATTTTAAAAAAATCACAATGTTTTGGAATGTATAATACTTACATTCCCAAGGACATCATTATATCTTTCCTGTGACACATCATTCAAAGCCTCAGTGACCTCCTCGGGTTGTCGTCCTTTGAACAACCCTTTAAACTTCTCCGATTCACCCGACTCCGCCGCGATCAAAACCTTCCTCGCTAACGCGTTGTATTGTGACGTCAGTTTATCCATACTGAGGCCTCCTCCTCCTCGTCGTCTTGTATCGTTCGATCAAAATATCCTTCAGAAAATTGTTCACAAATTTGTCCAGTTATGATCTCTGTCCAGAAAAACTCTGTAAATAATTGACACAACATTATTATTTAGTATCAAAGTTGAAAAGGCAAAAGTAAAAGAAGAAACAGAAGAAGAAGACAAAAAAAGAAGAGGGAGAAATCACGATAGAAACTTTCCTCCGCAGCACATTGCATTGTGACGTCAGTTAATCCATATACAGACCTTCTTCTTTCCTCTTTCAAAATTTGTCCTTCACCATTCGTCCAGTGTTGCTCCTTTTAACCACTCAAACAGAATGTGAACAATATATTCAGGTTGGAGAAAAGGTTGAAAAGGTAATAAAAGATAACAAGGGGAGACACACCAATAAAAGCAAAGCATAAAACCGAAGTGAAAAAAGAACGAAGAAACAAACACAAATACAAACTGAAGTTTGACCCTCCTATTAAAATGACAAGAACAAAAATGTATTGGCTTCACTTATTGGCATCGTATACGTACAACGGTGTCGGGTTCTTCAGAAAAAAATTGGCACGGTTTTACACCCTACTGTCCAAGTCACAACAGAAGACCTTGAAAGTCACAAGTGTACGTTAACTCTAGTTAAAATCAGTAGGAATATAGAGTCGATTTAAATTATATCTAACTTTAGCGAAATCGATGATAAATTCGTTTGGTAGCGAAGCCGGATTCTCTCTCCATTACGAATTAAATCCACGAAGAACAGCTAGTAGTACCTTTCTGCATTGCGAGACTGGAAAGGAGACGCTGGTCATGAAAATGCGCAACATTAAATACCTTCACATCCTGTATGATAATATCAACATGCATATTGCTACGGGGAATACCACGTAAGGATTACGAAACTTATAAAGCGATATGACACAAAGGCGAATGGAATATGCGTCAGTCACTTGACTGGCATGCTGCTTGATCAACGTATACAGCACAAAGGTGAACATTTTTACAGGATATAAATAGGTAATATAATACACACTCTATAGTCAGTGCCAAGAGGAGGAAGGGGAAGTGTTTTTGATTAAAAATATAGGAGAGGCGGTGTATATATATATATATATATATAGTTCCTTTATCACGAGTGTGAGGCTTATCACTGAACTAAATTACACTGAGAGTCAAAGAAATAAGGCTATAACAAATATTAATGAACGTATTATTACGGTCATGAAATAAATGGCATTGTTATATGTTTATGAATATAGTAAATGATTTATTAATTTTTTTTTAACACATCAAGTATATTATAATTATTTCCTTCCACGGCTTTGCTACATGATTTCTTACGCCTCTCCCTCCCTCTCCCTTAATGTAAATATTTCTTGCAAAAATGAAATTAAAAAAACATGTTTGGTTAATTATTGGCTATTCCTCTCTACAAGGAAACTCTTTCTGTTACAAGTAAAACTGATGTATAATCCGATTCCACAGTAGTATACAAGGCGCGATTAAACATGGTCCATGGATTAATCATACTAATCTGTACTCGCCTCAAAAACCCTGCACAAGGTGACGGATACGTTCAACAGATCAGTTTGTTACCCCAAATTATTCTCTTTGCTTTCCTAACATCATGTATGCGGCAGCGGTGGGCTTATTAATCTGAGACCAAGTTCCTTCCTCTTCCTGCTATGTTGAATCCATGAATTTTCACTCCAAAATATTCTTGAAACTCTGCATCCGTATATGTTATACAGAACTATCCTGTTTATATCATGTACCGTGGTGTACTGATTAATCTCAACAAAATTTGACTAGCGACGGTGTTATTCTGATCATGTATCAATTATGAAAGCTCGTGTGCTCATGAATCGAAGCGAAACTGAAGTAACTTGGCCCAATCTCAAAATAATTATTGCCAAGTGACTGAACAATGTCCATGTATCAAAGGTTAGGAGTTTAGTATCGTTATATTTGCTAAACACAAACTTGATTGATAAGCTGTGTTGGATATAGGAGATTGTAATCATGATTATGCGCATGCGCAGGGGAGTCTTTAAAGGTCTATGAATATTCGAGTCTGTTTTGAAGGGACATTCACACTCCAAAGTAAAGCGTTTGGAGTGGATGTGAGTATCACAGAAAAAAAAGTAATATCAGCTGATGTATATGAACTCCGTATTATCTATACTGGTCTGCCAATTTACGATTGGAATACATGACATATTAATATGAAGAGGTTTTTGGAAGCATCTATCGCTTTTCTCCGTCTTCGGTAATTTAACATTGTTATGGCCATAACAAAAACCAAGAAAACTGAACCAGATATAACTAATTTTCTTCAATTGTTTATTTTCCTTTCTCTCCATATTAGTTTTGCTTTCTCCTCTTAATCTTTCTTTCCCTTCTTTCCTTTTCTATCATTAACAAAAATAGAATCTTTCTCTTCCTTTTCTTCAAATTCACTCTAAGAAATCACCAGCCTTATCTGTTTTGCAATGCACTGTCTCCTTCTTAATGCGACTTGCAAATTCGGACTATATTCTGACCGGCTTAACTTTAGGTTGTAGACGGGTCAAATGTTGTGCGATATACCACCCGCCCTTCTTTAGAGAATGCTTCCTTTGTTGACATCATGTGGCCTTGATACAAAGGCCCCAATGCTAATCCTCGCTGCTACCAACAACCTATACAAAATTTCTATTTTAACAGACGAGTCAGCCAACCCATTCACAATACGAAATTGTGGATTTATTATTTTAATGGCGTAGCGATGAATGCACACCAACCTCGGGTAAAACCCAACCGAGTGTTATTTAGATATTGTCCTTATTCGTAAGCCATGCAAGTACGTTTTGTCATCCATGAATACAAATGTGTGTCGGGAGAGAGATAGAGAGAGAGTGAGAGAGATAGAGAGAGAGAGAGAGAGAGAGAGAGAGGGGGGGGGGTCGGGAAGGGGGTTAGGCTGGGGAGGAGAGAAATAGAATGAAAGAGATATTGGGGGAAAACAGTGAAAACAAACACGAAAAAAGTGGATAGAGAGACGTAGAAAGAGAGGGGCAGCGAGGAGAGAGAGAAGGAGAGAGGAGAGAGGAGAGAGAGAGAGAGAGAGAGAGGGGGAGAGAGAGAGAGAAAGAGAGGGAGAGAGAGAGAGAGAGAGAAGGAAGAGGAAATGGGGGGGGGGGGGAGAGAGGCAGAGATGAGGAGAGGAACAACAAGAGATAGAGAGGGATAGAGAGGAAGAGACAATCTGTCAATTAAACAGTGAATAAAATCACTAACAATCTAAATAAAATGATAACACAACCATTCGTCATTATTTACACAAACAATCAAACCATCGATAAATCATTTTATCAATCAATCAAGGCAGCCATTAATCAACCAACCAAAGACAAAAGACAAAAAAAGAAAGTGATCAGTTCGCCACTCATACAGACAAACAGTTACTCCGCCATACACACTTCACACCCTCAATCAATCAATCAATCAATCAATCAATCAATCACTCAGTCAATCAATCATTCAATCAATTAACCCACCCAACTTCAATCATAAAAAACAAAAAAGATAAAGTGCTCAATTTTCCAGTCACTTCGACACACATCATTATATTAATCAACCAATCAATCACCCAACCAATCAATCAATCATTCAATCAAACATTCAATCAAACAAACATCGAAACAAACAAACATTCAATCAGTTAATCAAAAGACTAAGTCGGTAACCAGTCAATCAATCAACCAATCAACCAATCAATCAGCCAAGCACTTCATTAATCAAACAAACAAACGCGCAATCCTTCAAACACATCATCATCAGCATAAAATCTCCCTCGTCATGATCATTACATGTTCTGACAGAGTGTCAGCTGAAGTCCTTCAAAGTCACATTGATGTATACAAGAACTCCGAGAAAAGATAGAAAGGGAAACCAGTTTCGATTTTCATAGAAATTTATCAGTTGCATGATCATAATAATAATGGTTTGACATGAAGGAAATCAACTATTGATTGATTATCATAAGAAACTACAATCCCGAACTCAAATAAGAAATGTCTATTTCTTGTAATATATCCAAGTGAAAAAATTGGGGACCTATTCGGAGTGTTTTCCGCTATCAAATCTCGGTATAGGCCTACTTCATAGGTGCTAAAACCAATCGGAATGAGCCAAAAATACAAAAATCCGTTTAATACTATGGATCAATTGGCACGATAAAATGGCAATAAATATACGCTAAGAATGATCCTATTCGTAAAATGAGGTTAACATAATTAAATTTTGGCAGTATATGATTAACAACAAAATATGCATATTTTAGAACTCTCTTTTTCAGAAAAGCTATCACAGAGCCCTGTGAAGGAAATTAAAAATCAAATAGAGACATAATATTTAACACCTTTTCCCTAAAAACTAAGCCACGCCATGAAAAGAGTTGGGATTGATCTGAAGCAATTTTTTTTAATTTGTCAATTTTCAACTTTATCTCTGTTTCCAACAAAACATTACAAATCAATTATAATCTTTTACACAAATTAAGAAATATATATTGGAAACAATCGCAAATCCTTTACGACTCCTTTGTCAAGACGGGGCCCGAAGGTGAATTATTTATCGAAATTAAATGATGAAGATAAAATTTATGATACATACAGGATAGCGCATTTGATCAGAATAATGAAGTACTCTAATGAAATGGAACTTTCCAGGGAGGTACATAGTTATTAACCTAACCGCCTTCAATTAAAAACATGAATATCGGTAGCTGATCAGAGAGGTAATTAAAGTATTGGCAAGAATCATGGTATCAACCTAAATCAAAAAACAATTATACAAAGAAAGCATTCCTATAATATTGACAACACGAAAGATTTGTGATTAGACGTTAAATCTATTTGAAAACATAATCAACAAATAATAATTGGAGCGAATTGCTGAACAAAAAAAAAAAAATCATATTTCTTTAAAAAAAAAAAAAAGGGAAAGAGGGGGGGGGGGGGAAGAGATGCGACGAAATTGACAACAAAAGTAAAAGTTTACTAATTGCCATTTTACCAAACGAAGAAGAAGAAGAAAGTTCTTTTCCGGAAGGAGGCAAAGAGGAAACTTTCCGAACTGTTTTGGACTTCTACAAATGACGTTCTGTTTGTCAGTTGTTTAGTTCTACGGACCTTTTGGTGTCTTTTTAGGCGGTGGAGAACCGTGACTTTCCACTGGAGTCCTTATCACAGATGTAGCTGATTTTGTCTTCGCTGGAGAATTTACAGTTGAACTTCTGAAAGTGAAGTCTTGCTTGTTCGATGATCGACTTAACTTTGAACCAGTTGGTGTCGTCTATGGCAATGAAGAGCTCTGGTCTTCCACGGGAGTCTTCATCATAGATGAAGGTGTTACAGTCTTTGCTTTAGATTTCAAAGAACTTTTGGAAGCGATGTCTTGTCTGTTTGCCGTTTGACTTGGTTGTGAATCAGTTGGTGTCTTCTTTAACAATGGTGAACCTTGTGTTTCTACAGGCGTCTTTGAAACAGATGCGGGAGACTCCGTCTTTATGTGAGACTTAACGGTCGGACTTCTAAAATCGACATCATGTGAAACATTTGGGGTATCCTTTGAAATTGGGAAATCCTTTTCTTTCTCTGGGGTCCGTGTCATAGATTCTGTCTTTGAACGAGATTTGACAGTACTTCTAGAAGTAATGTCTTGTCTCTTTGATGTTTGGCTCGGAAGTGAAACAGTTGGTGTCTCCTTCAGCAATGGAGAAGTCTTCATCAATGTTGTTTGTGATTCCGCCTTTGCCTGAGATTTCACAGAAGAACTTCTGGAAGTGACATCTTTTTTGTTTGATAGTTGACTCTGTTCTGACCCAGCTGATGATTTGATCGGCAATGGTGAACCTTGATCTTGAACTGCTGTCTTTGAAATAGATATAGGTGATGCAAAATTTGTCTGGGTTTTCCCAGTAGAACCTCGGGAAGCGATGTCTGACTTTTGGCTTAACTGTAAATCAGATGGTGTCCTTTTCTGCAATGACGAGCCCTGGTCTTTTACCGGGGTTCTTGCAAAAGATGCTTGCGATTCGGTTTTGGCTTGAGACTTTACAGAACTTCTGGAAGTGACGTTTCGTCTTTTTGATGTTTGACTCAACTGTGAATTAGGATGTGTCTTCTCTGGCGATGGCGAGTCCTGGTCTTTAACTGGGGTCTCTGTAATATATGAGGGTGACTTGGTCTTTGTCCGTGATTTGATAGTGGACGTTCTCGAAGTGACGTCTTCTCTGTTTGATGTTTGACTCGGCTGTGAATTCATTGGTGTCTTTAGCAACGGGGAGACTTGGTCACCCACCGGAGTCTTCATCATAGATGCTGGTGATGCTTTCTTTACCTGAGATTTCACAGAAGACTTTCTGGAAGTAACGTCGTTTCTGTTCGATGTTCGACTTTGCTGTGACCCAGTTGGTGATATGTTTGGTAACGGAGAACCTTGATCTTGAACTGCTGTCTTTGAAATAGATATAGGTGATGCAGTAGGAATGGAATGCTGCTCAACACTTTGAGTAGAACTTCGGAAAGCGATGTCTGACTTTTGGCTTAACTGTAAATCAGGTGGTGTCATTTTCTGCAATGCCAAGTCCTGGTCTTTCGCTGGGGTTCTTGCAAAAGATGCTTGCGATTCGGTTTTGGCCTGAGACTGTACAGAACTTCTGGAAGTGACGTTTCGTCTTTTTGATGTTTGACTCAACTGTGAATTAAGATGTGTCTTCTCTGGCAATGGCGAGTCCTGGTTTTTAACTGGGGTCTCTGTAATATATGAGGGTGACTTGGTCTTTGTCCGTGATTTGATAGTGGACGTTCTCGAAGTGACGTCTTTTCTGTTTGATGTTTGACTCGGCTGTGAATTCATTGGTGTCTTTAGCAACGGGGAGACTTGGTCACCCACCGGAGTCTTCATCATAGATGCTGGTGATTCTTTCTTTACCTGAGATTTCACAGAAGACTTTCTGGAAGTAACGTCGTTTCTGTTTGATGTTCGACTATGTGGTGACCCACTTGGTGACATGTTCGGTAACGGAGAGCCTTGATCTTGAACTGCTGTCTTAGTAATGGATGTAGGTGATTCGTTCTTTGTCTGCGATTTAAAAGAATGAGGTGGAGTCTCCTTAAGCAATGGGGATCCTTGGCCTCCAACGGGTGTCCATGTCAGAACTGAAAGTGTTTCAGGCTTTGCTTTAGATTTCATTGAATTTCTGGAAGTAATGTCTTGTCTTTTTGATGACTGACTCAACTGCGAATCAGATGAAGGGTTGTTCGGCAATGTGAAACTGTGGTCTTCCATTGGAGACGGGATCAAGGTTGCTGGTGATATAACCTTGGTCTGAGATTTTAGTGAAGAACTTCTGGTAGCAACGTCTCGTATGTTTGATGTTTGATTCAGCTGCGACGCACTAAGCGTCTTCTCCCGAAGTGGAGAATCCTCTCCTTCCACTGGAGACCGTATCCCAGATGAAGGTGATTTAACTTTGGATCTCACAGAAGAACTTCTGGAAACGACTTCTAAATCGCTTGGAGCCTTATGTTGCAGTGAATCGTTTTGGTTGTCCAGGGAGGTCTCCTTCACAGATGAAGGTGATTCTGTCTTTGCCTGTGATTTCAAAGATCGTTTGGAAGTGATGTCTTGTCTGTTTGATGATCGACTCGGATGTGAACCACTTGGTGTCTCGTTAGGCGGCAGAGAACCTTGGTCTTGAGCTGTTGTTCTCGAAATAGATACGGGTAATTCAGTCTTTATCTGAGATTTAGCTATAGAATTTCTAGACACTACCTCATGTCTGGTTGATATTTGACTCAACTGTGATTCAGTTGGTGACTTCTTCGGCAATGGAGGATCTTGATCATGTTGTTCTCCCACTGGCGAACTTTGTAATAATGTAGGTGATTCAGGCTTTTCTTGAGACTTCATCGTAGAACTTCTGGTAACATCTTGTATGTTCGCTTTCTGACTCGACTGTGAACCGGATGGTGTATTCTTCAGGAATATAGGATCTTGGTCCCCAAATGGTGTCCTTGTCTTACCTGAAGGTGAATCGGTTGGTGTCTTCTTCGGCATTCGACTTTTGGCTGACGACGTGTGAGAAATAGTGCGTCGATCACTAGCAAGATTAAGACCAAGCGGGGATCTAGTTTGTTCATCAAGTAATGTTTTTGATTCATCGCCTTCATTCTGAGAACCATGTGAGTGATGCATGTCATCATTTTCTTCACCAGGCATACTCATATGGTCCAGCTGGTTAATGTCTTTCAGGTGCTCATAGTTTTTCCACATGTTTTCTAAATCATGGTATATCTGTCCATTTTGTTTGGGAGTTCCTCTTTCGCTTCCACTTCCAATTGTAACACTTTCATGTATGGAACCTACCGACTGCCTCGATCCACTAGTGATGCGTTCATATTGCAATGCACCAGTTGATGAAGATAAAGACTTCTTCCCTGCAGCGGGTATTGTTTTGCTGACCATTTTTGAAGATTCTCCAGCACTCTTTGTTTTACGTGATAAGTTTGATTTATTTGGATTTGTTTCTAATTTTTGTGAAGAACTCTGAAATTTATCAAGCTTCTTGGTCGGAGTAAAAATCTGTTTAGAACTTCCCCGCGGAATGCTATTGTCTTTAAGTGATTGAATAGGTGCTCCGACTATATTTTCTGTCACCTTTGAAGCTCTAGAACCTAAGTTTGACTTCGGGTTTATTATATTTTCCAGTATATCCTTTGAGCTTCCGTCTATTGAAGAGCCTAAAGAACGGGATACAAGGTCATGCCCATCGCTTGACTTGATGACTCTGGACGATCTTCTAACCGAAGAATGTTTTGGTCCAGTTGGTGGTCGAGGCGATTTGATGTCTAGAGCTGATGCCTGGCTGTAGATGGTAGGTACGGAATCTGTAGGAGTGCCCGATTGGTCACCACCTTCAACTTCTGAATGGTCCGGTTTGTTATAAGCTGAGTTTGGTCCTCTGGGACTACAACCATCTGGATCAGAAACAGCCCCTCTAAATGAAGGAGTAGGGCTACGATTGAGAATGTTCTGATAAACACTGGAGAGACTTGGGGAGGTTTGACCAAGGAGCTGTGCTTCTTCATGAACATGAGTACTATCACCATGTGACTCCGACCCCCTTGGTCTGACACCATCCTGATCGGAAACAGACCCTCTAAATGAAGGAGTAGGGCTACGAGCTGTGTTATGCAGTGAGATAGGCGATAAATTGCCTTCCGGTGTTTGCTGATCTGCTTCTGTCAAAGGATTATTGTGCTCCGTCTTGCTGTTAGTGCTACCCACCGGAGAGGTAGTCAAGTTTTGTTTTACATATACCTTAGGTGTTTCCTGGATAGAGCTTCTGTCTCTTTTATCGCCGTAAAAAGATCCTTCAACAGTAGTTGCGACTTCATTTGAAGATTTTACGCTATTCCTATCCTGTCTAATTGGTTGGTCTGGCTCTCGTTCAGATCCGCCCCTTGACGTAGGTTGTTTCCCTTCTGAATGCTTGGCAACATTGATACTTGCTGTAAAATCAGGTAGGCTCTGCGAAATATGTTTTCCTGGACTCGTTTTATTTCCCCCGACACTATTATCAATAGAGTACTCAATGGCAGTTGCAGATCGAACTGAAGACATGGGTACAAGAGTTTCTCTTTGACTGGGTGTAAGATGCTGTTTTGTGATATTGGAGGTCTCTCTAGACATCTTTGAAATAATATTCCCTGGTGTATCCTCTCGAATTTGTGTTGGCGCAACTCGATCACTTGTAACAAATTCTCTTGTGCTTTCACTCTCAACCGATGGTGCTTTCCGTTCAAAAGGAGGGCTAGTTCTTTCCGCTGGGGTTACTTTGGTAAACTCTTCTGCCTGTGGAGCTGCATCTTGTACGCCATGTGTCACACCAGAGTCAGCCGAACTTGTTACGGATCTGCGATCAACATCTCTCGACATCGTCTTACAATGTGAACTTCGTCGGTTAGAATCCTTCGTCGATTTTCGAGATTCTGGTAACTGAAGGGTTATATTCTCTTCTGATGTAGTACTACGAACTATAGGAGTGCGTTTGTCATCAGATAGTGATACGTCTTTACTTGCATTCGAAGTAGCGCTTTGCCGTGTATCCTTCTTTGACCAGCAGGCCACAGCATGATTTGTTGCACCTGTCACAGAACTTTCTTCCTTGCGCTCGCTTCCTGCTTCATTAACGACGGGAGTTTGACTGCTAGATATTTCTCCTGACCCAATCGATCTGATAGATTTATTGTGAGCCCTGGAAATTTTCCTTTCTGTAGATGAAGACTTGTTGGATGCCGCTCTTTCTTTCCTAAATGACGAGGCTAAAGACTCTGGTCGTTCAGTGGAACTTGATAGCTTAGATTCGGGCTCTTTTAAAACAGAAATTTGCTCTTCAAGATCAGACATCTGTTGGGGTGTATCACTTGTGGAAGTGACACTTGATGACTTCTCTCGTGTAACAGGGGCGCTAATAGGTTCCGCTCGACTAGACCCTTTTCTTAATTCTTCTTGGCCGCTTGACCTTGTCTGAACATTACCAGCCCCTTGCTTATTTACAGATCCTCTTGAAGGCGATTTTATCGAAGTTGCACTTCTAGACGATGAAGGTGTTTTAAGCTCAGTCGCAAGAACTGCAGGTTGTCCGGCAATCTGACTTACTTCCGATTTTGCTGATTTGCCTGAAGTTTTTCGAGCCCTGTCACTCGAGACGACACTGCGCTTCGATTCAGCTGTAAGAGGTATTGCATTCCTTGCAGCAGAAGAATGTTGGTCTGGAAAGGTTGATGACTGTTTACTAGCTACTTGCTGTCCAGGTGGAGCACTGGCTCTATCTCCATCGAATGTATCACTTTTATGAGTCCCTATTCTCGAAACAATTTGTGGCGTTTGGGACTTTACGTGAGACTTGTCTACGTCGCTAATTGTTGTTGCTCCGAGATACCCTTCCTCTGGCGTCTTTCTAGAGGATTTCGTGGACATTGATGACTTTCCATGGTTTGAATCTTTTTCGTCATTTTCAGATCTACTGGGAGGTTTCATGGCATCTTCATCTTTATCTTCTAGTCTGACTGATGTTTCTTCCTGGTCTGATCTATCTCGGAGTTCATCAGTGTTGTTTTCATTTCTATGAAAATTTCCCTTATCATCTGGGGATACTGCATCTAACTCTGAACCTCTACTGTCAGGTCTCTGGAGTTTATTTTGATTCTGAAGGTTTCCGTATTTCTTCCACATATTCTCCAAGTCTTTATAGATTCTTCCAGTGTTTTGGGGCGTCTGTGAAGAGCTACCGCTGTGGCTTGATGGGAGGTCATTGTTGTCTTCAGTCGAATCTTTTTCCTTCTGTTTTACAGATTTCTTTGATGATACTTGGCTTGCGGATGGTATAGTTGCTGTAGTGTCAGCTGTACTTGATCGTGCCATCTTTTTATGATCCGGTGGTATTGGTTTCATCCTGCTGTCGCTTATCATAACCCCACTCTTTACTGTTGCTGGTGTATGAGGGCTCGTTCTTTGGCCATGTTTGATTGATGAATTCTTGGAAAATATTGATTTCTGACTGCCAGCACTTTCTTCTCGCTGGGAATCATTCACAGATGCAGCACCACTTCTCTTCTCTAAATTGCTGTGTATGATCCTGTCAGTCGATTGAACAGATTGCTTTTGATTCGAAACAGCGTTATTGTTACTGGCGTCCATGGTTTTTTCTTGCATTCCGTTTTCATCATCATCTACATCAATAATGACGCCTCTCTTTTCTTTTAAAGGCGTAGTTGATGTTTCATGAGACTGTCTGGAATCATTTGTCTGTTTTGAAGGATCCCTTTCAGATATGGGTGTTACCCGACCAAATTCAGTTGACTCCTTTCTTTTACCTTTCTGGGATTCGGTAGACTTGAGCCTGGCTGTGACTGTAGTATTGGTAGCTCGGAGGATGGATGATTTGTGTGATTTAAGTGTTGATTTTTCCATTAGAGTGTCCGTATACGAATACTCTGAATACGTAGAATGGTCTCCAAACCCTGCGGTAGAGCCATCGTTTTCGCTTTCTCCGTCACTGGCGATTTTGATTGAGATATCCACCGTCGATGCAAAATAGGACTTGTTATCAAAAAATGTTCCAGTTAAGGCTTTTTGAGTTATTGTGGAGGCCTTCCCTTCAGTTTTCTTTGTACTTTGTTCACCGTCGTCTTCGCCACTGTCACTGTTGTTACCCTTTGACCAGGGGACAGAACCAGCGTAACTTTTGCCAATTAGCTTCCCTGATTTGTCAAAGCTTGTTGGAGGTTTTCCAGTAGGTGAAGCGGGTTTTACACCTTGTTTTTTCATATCCCGAAGTTGTTTCGATCTTTCTATGATTTTTGCTAGATTTTTCAAAAATTTCTTCGGCTTGGGAGGCAACTCTGAGACATCGTCGTTTTCATGGGTGATACTATCGTCCGGTATGTCTTCAATTTGACTTTCCGTATCCTTAAAAGAAGAGCTTGACTCACTTATCGGACCGAGCGATTCTGCTCCGGGGGAATCTCCTTTGGGACCGAAGCCAAGGTAACTGTTCACCTTTTCAAATGCAGTCGGCGTGACTCCAGGGCTAAACCAAGTCCAAGGTTTAAGAATCTTTGATTCATTTGACTCTGCCGACTCGATTGGGCTTTCAAACATAATTTCCTTGTGGTATACGGAAGACTCGGAAGATTCCGGCACAGATGACTCCATGTCAATATCTGTCGTGACTGTAAGATCTTGTTTCTCTAAGTTCTGGAGATGTTTGGACCTTTCTTTGATTTTGTCAAGATTCATCAACATCCCTAAGTTTTGAGGCACTGATTCGGTGCTGTCCGTTCTATCAGAAGTAGCCTCCGGTTGAAGGATTGATGCCTGTTCTTCCTCTTTCTTTTGTATTTTGATGCGAAAACTAGTAGACAAGCTGTCGGTTGCAGTTTCTTTCTTCTTTCTAAGTACAGCAATGCGGGATGGCTTTTCCTTTTTCTTCGGAGCTTCATCTTTTTGGGAAGGGATTTCCTCCTTTTCTTCCTCTTCCTTTGTTTTGCGATGATCATTTTCGAGTTTCTGCAGCTGTTTGGACCTTTGCATGATTTTCAATAAGTTCTTCTTGATACTTGTTATTTCTTTTGGCGTTTGTCCACTGCTGTCGCTTTGCCTGGATTGTTTCAGTTTTGACGAAGTCAGTGATTCGAGGGGTGTGTCTCCTACATCTTTTGAAGGATGGCTCAGCTGTAAGGAAGATTCTTTTGTGCCAGACTTATCACTTCTATCAGTTCTTTTCTTCTTACGGGCCTCTTTTCTACGTTTCTTCTTTTTAAGGACACTCTCACCAAGTACCTCCTTCTTTTGTATTTTTTCATCTTTGGTCACTTGTGAGGATGAATCTTTCGGCTGTTTTTCGTCATCGAATTTTGAACGAGTTGTGCTATTCTCTTTCTCCTTTTCGCTCAGTTTATCTTGTAGATGTACCTCCGTATCGGCCTTGTCGGAAACATTTAACTCTGAGCCATCTTCTTTTGACGGTGTAGTGTCCTTCTTAGAGGAAACCTCTGGCTGTATCAAGTCATCAGAACGCAATGGAGTTTGAACGTCCTTTTCCAGAGAAACGCCTTTACTTTCGGGGAGTTCCGTGGATATTCCTTTGTCCTTATCAACCACCTTTCCATCCGATTTTACTGAACTAGGTTTTTGCTCTGAAGAACGCAGTGACTTCGAATCTTCAATCTCACTTGTACGTCCTTGTCGCAAAGAGACTATGCTTCCTTTGTCAGAAGCAACCTTGACGGTGGAAGGTGGGAGATCATCTTTCATGCTTGTGCTCAATCGTTCGTCCGGGTGTACATCGGCATCAGGTTTTTTTGTCGATACTTTCTCTCCATTAGAACTTATTGATGTGGTTTTGCCGTCGTCCACCTGGCTTGAAATTTTCGTTTGCTCTGGATCTCGGGAACGTGCCGACGAACCTTTATGTGAAGACGAGACCCTAGTCTTTGCAGATGCGTCTTCAGGTTTGGGACTCACTGATTCTGATGAATGAACACGATGAACACTAGCATCAGCTTCAGGCATTCGATCACTTCCACTTTCCTTTGAGTCGGCTCTTCCTTTGATTTCTTTGCCATGTGTTTCGACATCCTTCTTCGACGCCTTGATTTCTTCACTTATTTCAGCACTTCCAATTTTCTGCGATTCTTTTCCTCCTTTGATTTCTTTCTCACCTGCTTCAATATTGCCTTCTGACGGCTTACTTTCCTCTCTCGTTTTAACACTTCGACTTTCCTGAGATTCTGTTCTTTCTTTGATGTCTTTGTCATCTGTTCCGATATCTCCCTTTGTAGTTTTGCCCTTTTCTGTTTCTGATACATTCTCTCTATCCGTCACCTTCTCTTCCACAACAGACACATCAGCTGAATGAGTGATTTTCTGACCTTCCTCTCCTTTAGGTTGTTTCTTTAATTCGCTTTCGTCCACTATTGCAGGAATGTCGCCTTCTCGAGGATGGTCGTCAACATTATCTGGCACTTGACCCCTCCCTCTTCCACGACCACGCCCTCTGCCACGCCCACGTGCTCTTCGTCCACGCCCCCTACCTCGCTGCTCAACCTGATCTCCTTCTTGCGGCTGAACTTCTTCCCCATCCTGTACCACGCCTCTACCTCGTCCTCTTCCTCGACCACGCCCTCTTCCACGCCCTCTTCCTCTTCCTCTTCCGCGCCCCCTTTCAGCTGTTAGCTGCTCCTTGCCTATAAGTGGGTTTTCTAGCAGGGCAATTTTGTCTCCACCTTTCTCTCTAGATTTTGCATCCGTATCGTCAGTGGGATTAATTTTCTGACTCACAAGAACCAAATCTGCAACCATCAAACCAGCATCAACGCCACCTTCTTCAGATTTAGAACGATCAGTTGCTGGTTCCCCTGGTTTTACTCTTGGGATCTTACCAATAGCCGCTGAACCTTCTGAAATGACATCCGTGGGCACTTTGGTGTCTCTTTGAGCCTCATCCAGTTTTGCACTTTGCGGAAGAGTTTTCTCACCCGGCAGGATTTTCACAGAATCCGCCTCTTTAGGATCAGGCAATCGGGTGTCAGTTGGTAATGTAACTTCATCGGCATCTGCAATTGTATTGGCTGATTTATCCCTAGAGCTAGGAATTTCTGACGAGACTTTGACTTCACTTTTCTCAGAAAGTTGACTTGTCGACCGCTTCTTGTCAGTATGATCCCCGGACGTTGTTCTTATCCCTGAATGTATCCTTTCTGATGATGTTCTTGATTTCGTTTTACGAGAGAGTTGACTTTGAGAAACAACGGTTTCTACGGTGTCAATTGGAGTCTTTCTGATTTTCGGAGAAGATGCTTCTGCTGCCTCTTTTGCAGGGGACCCAGTGGGGAGGACATTCACTACTGCAAGCTCATCACCTTTCGTGTCATCTTTTGCCTGACTCGGCAACGATTGTTTATCTTCGTTATCTTCCGTCTCAGGTTTGGGTGGTGACGTGTGCTCCTGTGGTTCTTTTGAATCGCGTGACTGGCCATCTACCTCTTCTTTTGGTTTAGTCGCCCTTGCAAACTCTGCTACAGATCTTGGCGTTTGTTCTCGGGATTTGGTTTCTGCACTTTTACTTGGAGATGCATCTTCTCTATCTTCCAGTACTATGGTATCCTTTTCAATTGGATACAGCCAAGGATAGTAAAAATCTTCAGTCATATTAATTAAAGTAGCTTCGGTCTCATCTTTTACACTACTCGGAGGTCTAGACGTTTCAATTTCTTCTTTTCCATCACTTAACTTAGTCAGTGATCTCGAGGTCTCTTTTATGCTCTGTGTATCTTCGACATCCTTCTGTTTTTCTTCTTTTCCATCATTTGATATACTTGAAGGCCTCGAATCCGACTTACTACTGACCAAATCCTTTTCATGTTCTACATCTCCATCACTTAACTTAGTCGGCAGTTTCGATGTTTCTCTTGTGCTGTCTCTATCTTTAATACCCTCTACTTCTTCTTTTCCCTCACTTGCCTTATTCGGTGGTACAGAAGACTCTTTTAAGCTGTCAGTATCTTTGGCATCCTTTAATTTCTCCTTTGCCCCATCACTCGATTTAGTTGGTGGCCTTAAGGTTTCTTTTCTGTTATCTCTATATCTTATATCCTTTTCTTTTTCTTCCTCGCCATCACTTAACTGAGTAGGCGCTGTCGAGGCTTCTGTTCTACTTTCTCTATCTTGGACGCTCTGTTTCTCTTCTTTGCCATCACTTAACTTAGTCGGTGGTCTGGGAGTTTCTTTTATGTTCTCTGTATCTTTGACGTCCTTTGCATTGTCTTTTTCTTCTCTCCCCTCACTTAACTTACTTGATGCCCTCGAGGCTTCTTGTTTGCTCTCTCTATCTTGGATGTCCTCTTTCTCTTCTTTGCCATCACTTAAATTAGTCGGCGGTCTGGGAGTCTCTTTACCGCTATGAGTATCTTTGACATCCTTTTCCTTTTCTTCTTCACCATCACTTAACTTAGTCGGTGGTCTGGATGTCTCTTTACTGCTGTCTCTATCTTGGATGTTCTCTTTCTCTTCTTTGCCATCACTTAACTTAGTTGGTGCTCTCGAAATCGTTTTACCGCTATCAGTATCTTTGTCATTCTTTTCCTTTTCTGCTCCGTCAACAGTAAACTTAGTCGGTGGTCTGGAATCATCCTTACTGCTGTCTATATCTTTCACGTCCCTTTCTTGCTCTAATTTTCCATCACTTAACTTACATGATGCCCTCGAGACCTCCTTTCTGCTCTCTCTATCTTGGATGTCCTCTTTCTCTTCTTTGCCATCACTTAACTTAGATGATGACCTAGAAATCTCCTTTACAGTCTCTGTATCTTTGACATCTTTTTTCTTTTCTTCTTCGCCATCATTTAACTTAGTCGGTGGTCTGGACGTCTCCTTACTGCTCTCTTTATCTTTCACGTCCCTTTCTTGTTCTAATTTTCCATCACTTAACTTACTTGATGCCCTCGAGACCTCCTTTCTGCTCTCTCTATCGTGGATGTCCTCTTTCTCTTCTTTGCCAACACTTAACTTAGTTGGTGTCATCGAAATCTCTTTACCGCTATCAGCATCTTTGACATCCTTTTCATTTCCTTCTTTGCCATTACTTAACTTAGTCGGTGGTCTGGAATTCTCCTTACTGCTGTCTTTATCTTTCACGTCCCTTGCTTGCTCTAATTTTCCATCACCTATCTTACTTGAGGCCCTTGAGGCTTCTTTTCTACTTTCTCTTTCTTGGAGGTCCTCTTTCTCTTCTTTGCCATCACTTAACCTAGTTGGTGCCCTCGAAATCTGTCTACCGCTTTCATTATCTTTGACATCTTTGACATTTTCTTCTTTGCCATCACTTAACTTAGATGATGACCTAGAAATCTCCTTAACAGTCTCCATGTCTTTGGCTTCCTTGTCTTTTTCTTCCTCGTCACTTAACTTAGTTGGAGGTCTGGAGGTCTCCTTATTTGGTGGCCTCAATGTTTCCTTAGTGGTGTCCTTATCTTTATCTTTTTGTTCGTCTCCTTCACTTAACTTACTCGGCGGTCTCGAAGTCTCTTTTATGCTCTTAGCATCGTTTACATCCGTTACTTTTTCTTCTTCTTCACCTTTTGAAATTTCGTCTTCAATAACATCGTTGTCAATTTCTATTGGTTGTTCCTTGGGTAAATCTCTTTCTGCGTTCGGTGTTGACTTTCCAGAAAATGGTTTTAGTTTCTCTGGAGATTCGCAATCTGATTTACCAGGAGTTGTTTTCCGGTCATGGTCCTCTGGATCGGAGGTACACTCTTCCTTGATTACTAGATCATCATCACTGAGAGTTGTTCCCCCATCTCCTACCAAAGCATTTCCCTCCGCTCCATCAGATGGTTTGGATTCTGCGTCCAACTCCAACACACCCATCATATCGATCTGTACAGACTCGAGAAGTGACAGGGCATGTTTTCGTTGAATATTTGAAGGTAATACTGCTATCTGAGTTATATTTATCTCTATATCTGTCATGGCGCTTTTAGGAGATTTCTTTTCTGATGACTTTGCTCCATCTTCTCCTGAGAGTTGGCTTGGGTCTTTGGCTGTTGGAGATGATGTATCTTCTGGCGTTTCGGTTTCCTCTTGCCCTGTCTCTATGTTTTCGGTGGAGTTTGTTTCTGGTGACTTCCCTCCGTCTTTTCCCGAAGGTTGTCTTTCTTCACTTCCTGACGGAGACGATATGTCCTTTTCAGTTTTAGAATCCTCTTTAACCGCCTCAACACCTTCGGAAGATTTCGTTTTTGGTGACTTCGATCCATCTTTTTCTGAAAGTTTAGTAACTTCACTGGCTGTTGGAGACGATGTATCTGTTTTAGGTTGAGTTTTCTCGTCCTCTTCCACGACGTTTTCAGGAGATTTCGTTTCTGATGACATCGTTCCATCCTTTTCTGAAAGTTGGCTTGCTTTGATGGCTGTCGGAGACGATATATCCTTTTCACTTTTAGATTCTTCTATGCCTGTCCCATTCCTTTGGGGAGATTCAAGTTTTGGTGACTTCGTTCCATCTTTGCCTGAAAGCTGACTTGCTTTGCCAGATGGTGGAGACGATGCATCTGTTGAAACTTCCTCAACTGGTGTTCCTGGTCTTGATTCGTCCTTCGTAGGTAAGTGATCCTCAGTAGGTGCTCCAAAATCTTCATCAATATTATCTGTTTCCTGCGGCTCTCTACCTATGGTATAGTCTATGTTTTCAGGGGTGGAGGAACTTTCTATCTGTTTTGCACCAGGTTCTTTCTTTTTAGGTGGAGTTTGGAGTTTCCTTTCCTCGTTTACCAAAGAAGTTAATATCTTTTCGAAACCCCTGTGGTGTCTTTCAGTCTCGAACACCTCAAGAGGAAGTACCTTGGATCCTTCTAGTACCAGATCAAGAAGAGAACCCATTTCTGTTTTTCGGAACTTCTCAAGTTTTCGCTGCTCAGCAATCCTGTCTTTCCTTGCAAACAGCTGCAATTCTAAGTAGTCTGAATTATCTTCGAATTTCCAAGTTCTTTTAGGTAGCCTCCCTGCTAAATAGTATTCATCATCAATTTCAATATCAATCAATTTCGGATGTATTTCAGTGGGGATCGGATTATCGGGTCTCGGGTCTAATTTTGGCACGGTTACCTTCTTCATATCGGGTATTGGGTTAGCCGGTCGATCCAAGTCTGCAACAATGTTATCAAAGATATCGACCATTTGACTGTCATCTGTTGTTAGGTCTTCTTTGAGTACACTTTCTTTATATTCGTCATTTTGCTCACTTGAAGCTTTCGAAGGACTACGATCCATACCCGACCCAGGTTTCGGTGTTGAGTCGCTTCGTCTTTCCTCGTCTTCTTCTTTCGTAATCTGCTCACTTGATGCCCTTGAAGGAGAGGGCTCTAAGCTCGACTCAGGTTTTGGGGAGGCGTCAGAATCTTTCTCATTTATTTTGTCGTTTACTTCATCTTCTACTTTTTCCTCACCTGACTTTCGCGAAAGAGAGGGTTCTTGGCCTGACTCAGGTCTTGGTGTGGTGTCGACTTTCTTTTCACTCATGTCCTCTCTGTCTTTTTCCTCATGCGGAAATGTAGGTGTAACAAAGTCATGGGGTGTCCACTGGGTTGATCGAGAGTCAACCATTATCTTCACTTGCACAGTCACAATCTCTTTCCCCTCAACGGAAGGCACAATCAGGCCTGCACTTACGTCGGTGTCGGGTTTTAAATCACCCTCAGCCTGTTCAATAGGCACTCCTGGGCTCTTGTCCGAGGTTGACTTCACTTCTGAGGAGACTCTTTCCTTTTCTTCAGCACCGTCACTTTCTGATGGAGATACCTTGTCTATTGCTACCTCCTTTCTTTGATCATTCTCTGATGAATCCTTTTCACTATCTCCAGAACCGGCACTTCTGTCACCTTCAGCTGGGGACTTCCCCTCTTTAGCCTCACTTCCAACAGATTTCGTTTCTTCAACTATTGATCCCTTTCTCTCTTTTTCGGGTTCCTCCACTGGAGTGAGCCGGTGCTCATCAGACAGACCATCGTGGAAAGTGGTTTGGCGTTTTAATTTTGATTTGGCACGATCTGGTTCCTCTACCTCATCTTCGGTTTTAGGTCTTGGAGATAAATCGTCAACTATCTTGTTGTCATCAGCCTCTTTTTGGATGTCTTTCGTTCCTTCAGATCCAGTTGGTGGGACTGCTGCTTTATTTTTTGCCTTTATCATTCTGGCAACAAAACCAGCCACTTTGGAGAACTTGATATTCTTACGAGGAGGTGGTTGGGTTTCATCTACGTCTTTTGCACTCCCTTCTTTCTCGTCGTCGTCTTTCGCCCCTTCAATATCTTGCAATTCTCCTTCATCATCCGTTTTAGAAAAACGTCTCTTCTTGACCAAAGCTTCAGGAATATCTGAAGGTTGCGCTTTATGACCAGGTTCAGTCCAGGCCTGACGTGGAACGCTATCCTTTTCACCTTCATCACCTTCCTCGTCAACAGTTTTCCCTTCTGGGACTTCTTTCTGTTTTGCTTTAAGCATTCTAGCAACAAAACCGGCTACCTTCGAGAACTTTTTACTCTTTCTTGGAGGTGGTTCTACCTGGTCTCCATCTGTTTTAACTTCCTCTTGCTTTTCATCTTTCGTTTCATCTGCGGTATCATCGACTCGAGACAGACTTCTTTTCTGGGTTGAGACTTCAGGAGCATCTGGATGATGTGAGTCCTTAGAAGCTTCGGTCCACGCCTGACGTGAGAGTTTATCTCCTTCTTGCTCTTCGATGATGGCTTCCATTGTTGGTTGCTTCCCAAGGGTGCCCGGCCTACGACCCCCGCGCCCCAGCGGAGGGGGTTGTTTCCTGCCTGGGGGTGGTAATCCTCTCCCCCTTCCTCTCCCTCGACCACGACCTCTGCCACGCCCTCTAAATTGGCCACGCCCTCTTCCTGGAGGAGGTGGGCGTGGCGCTGCTTGAGCATCACCAGTGCCATCACCGACCAGGCCTCTTGCTTTACGAATCTCTGCCAGACGGGCTTTCCTCTTCAGCCATTCCTTCTCCTCCGCCTCATTCTCCTTCTTTCGTTTGATAGCTTCTTCCCTTTGTCTTATTACCTCCTCCTTCTTCCTCTTCTTGTCCAATTTCCTTTGGTTCTTCCTCTGAGTGAGAAGCTCAAATTGCTTCAGCGATTCCTCTCGTCTTTTCTTCTGTGCTAACCATTCCTCATCCTCTTCCTCTTCCTCCTGAACTTTTTCTTTCTCCACCTCAGCATCATCCTGTTCTCCCTTTTTCTTCTTCTTTTTCTTTTGTACACTGTAGCTGAGCGATTTGACTTCAACGGGGCCTTGGATCTGGCGCGCGAACACTTGTGGAGGAGACTTCGACCCTGATACATTGGATTGAGCTTGTACATTTTGGCCCCCTACGGGACGCTTTCTTCGCATAGGACGAGGCATAGTGGCAGTTAGACCGGACCTTCTTGATTGCCAAAGGAACAAACTTCACGTAAAGATTCTGGGCTCACTGTTTTATTATTTCTCTCAGGATAAGCCCATGGAATGTATTCCTTCCCCAACCATTTGAGATCCGGAATCGGACGACTAGCTCGGTCGAGTTTTGGGGGGACCTGTATTAAACACACATAAAAGAAAAGAAAAACACTAGTTAGGATTGGAAATATAAGGTCATGAACATGGATAAAGGAATTATTTCCAAATTCATCATTGTTATCATTTCATAATATTAATTCAGGGTCATGTTCCATACTTTAACACGATTATTACTTTCATTGTGTGTTGAACTTTGCCATATTAGAGGTTCGTTAAAATTCTATAGCAAAATGAGAAATTTATTTCACAATGGATTGATTTCCACGTACTAATTTCGTTTTTTTTTTACAGGGCATACTAACTCACAATTGGCGCTTATTTGGGATTAAATCTGTATTAAATTATGGTTTGTTCAATTTCTGAAAAAGTAACATTTATATATTTCCGAGTTACAGTGTCAAGAACAATCGATATAGGATATCAATAATTTTGCAAAGGGTGGCACAATTATACCAACAATCCCTTTAAAAAATAACATGAGAGAAAAGCAAAGCAAAGAACACAATAAAAAGAAGAGCATATATTCCTCAAGTGCCTTTAGGTATCATATTTGAACGTGGGGTTACAAAATTTCAATATGTTATGTGGATGATTTCCCCTCGGATACTTAGCTATGCACAATTTGGATTGAAAAGTACCCACCGGTTGGTTCCCCGCCCCCCCCCCCCCAAAAAAAAAAAGTGGTATCTGCTGATATAGGCTATCCAATATACTCCAGTGTTACCGCTTTAAAAAATATTTAAAAAATATAAAAGATATTTGTCGAATGAGTTTTTACATTTAGAAAGATCAGTCGTATGGATATTTGTTAATGTCTACGGACTTCTGTGCTCCTTAGGCATCTATTATCAGTTTTGGCAGCTTATCTGTTCATAGTGATAATCCTAACCCGCTGACTTTTAGATTCTCTCATTCCCATAGAATGAATACAGGAGCCAACTGGTTACAGTAGGCAATGGGTTAAGGTAATTATTTACCTCTGGATTATGTTTCCTAGCCGTTAGACGTAATTTAGGAGCACCATTCTGAGACCAGCTTGCTTCTGAGGTGGCTTCATTTCCGATAATGATGATGCTATAAATGAAAATGAAACAAGAAACATTATTACGTCATAATATATACATAATTCGGGCTTGGGGATTTTGATTTTTAGATAGAGGTCTACAGATAATTTTGAATAATGTAACGTTAATTTGTTACAGGAATAAAGTTTTGAATCCGATGAGTATTAGACAAGAGTGCTTGGGGCATAGGCATTATGTCATACGGTCAATACAACTGATAACTACGATAATAATTACAGTAAAATCAATGATAACGATTAAATTATTCATAGTAATGATAACAATAACAACAATAATACTAATGAGAAGAAGATAATAACAAGAATGATATATCTGATAACATTAACACTAATATCATAATTTGTATTATTATCAATATTATTAGTATGATTATTATTGTAATATAATCATCATCATGATCATATCATCAATTGAATGTTCGTTGTTATTAATGTTATCATTATCAATAATAATGACAATGATGATAATAATTATAATAATCATCATGATAATAATAAATATGATGATGGAAATAGTAATTATCAAAATAACTGTATTAAGAAATAAGAAGCAATCGATTTAATAGTAGAATAGCATTTCATGAAATATAATTCGTATTCCCCTTCAATTGTAAAAGCTCATGATTTAGGGATAATAAACACAGCCATAGCTAAGTAGTGGATATGTATTCAAACAAACACGTGATAGAAAATACTGAGTAAACTACATGTAGTTCGTTAACTTATTACCTTCTTTCACTTTTAACTTACAATGCAGCTAAATTATAACGAAAACAAAATTGGTTTTATTTGCTTACCTTTCATATGTGATTCATTCTCTCTAAACCATTTTGAAATCTATCCAGGATTTAAGTCTTGTCATGCTCTGTGGAATAGAAAAGCTGTACGACCTTGGAATGCTTAATATCTTCGATTTCGGTTCCTCATTAAAAGTCCAAATTGCCTCCTACAACATGAGTTTCTTCATAAATGAGCTTATTCTGAAATAAACATCATCTTCACATTCTCCTATTGCAGTCCTGGTATGCAGTAATGATCTGAATACATTTCCAAATGGGCCACTTCACCTTGCATACATTTGATGGCGATAATAACAATCTTCCACTTTTAGAGTGTGTTTTCTTGAATCCTCCCCCAGCCCCGCGCGAAGAAAAGAAAACGATCCAATCGATAACAATCCTTTGTACTATCAGTTATCTGTTTTAAGAAAAGGCGTGTATTGATTAAGCCCCCGATGGAACACGATAGTGGATGGTTCTTGTATTGTTGTAGCGACGAACGTTCACTTTATGATAGAATAGTCAGCTTCTAAATTATTCTTGGCCAACATGTGTGACTAGTCTAAATTCCAGCGAAATAATATTTATTAGTTACACTTACACTGAATTATCAATTTAAACAAAAAATGGCAAGAAATGTAATGTGTGACTTTAAAGATGGAAGCTATAGATTGTAATGTAAAATTGAAACTGAAATCACAAAAAGATTCCCATTTCCAGACAAGTTATGTCAAAGACTATAATTTTTTGTCCTAGTTTGATTTAATTCATGGAAAGAGATGCAAATAAAAAAAAAGTAAAGAGAGGGAGAAAAGGGGAGAAAGAAATACAAAAAAAGATATGGAAGAGAGGGAGAAAAAGGAGAGGGGAGAGAGGGGGAAGAGAAGGAAAGAAAGAGAGAGAGATAACAAAAGGGGGATTCTGGAGAGGGGGAGAGGGGAGATAGGGAGAGTGGGAGGGGAAGGGTATGTGACTATATAGAGACAGAGGAAGGCACGAAGAACAAACATAATCATGTATGGATGGTACAATAAAATAAAATTAAAATAGAAACACACAATCATTTTAAAATTCACCAAATATGAATAAATTTCGTGTTCATTCTCTTCTTTCATGTATTGTTTTGCATTTCTTCATGTTCATCACTTTACAATGATCGATACTTTTTTAGAAAAGAAAATATAGCGCCCGCAGGCGTTTAACTGAGTCATAATGGCAAAGATGTTTATTGATTAGTAGTACCTTATATTACAATAGTAAGCACTACAAGACACCCCCTATATGTGATACCAATGAGGAACAGAACCGCCTCTCGTGTAACCCATTGAGTCAGCAGACGATAATACAGAAATATAGCTATATTGAGGAACCAAAGGTAAGCGCTATATGTCTTATTCTCATGGTATGAACATATCCCCCCCCCCCTATTGGATATATGATTTTGCCCTTGAATCACAATGATAGTTGGTTACTTTTCTTAAACAAAACTATTCACAGCAATCTTTGCATTTGTAACTACAGTGAGTAAATATGCCCTCTATAATAATAGCATATCTCTCGAATACTACAAGTAGGTTTTTCAATGTAATTTATACTACATGCTAATGAGTATGTGCTTCCAATGACCATGGTGTCAACAGAACTTATAAATTATGTAGGTTTGTTTATATTAGGACTATCTCTCTTAATACAGATTGTATAATTTTCTTTTAGTCTCGTTAAACTATCCATTGTGTGCTTACACTGTCTTTCGTTTGACACATTGTGTTTGTTCTGTTGATGTATTATGTATATGTTTTTATTTGTTGTTGTTGTTGTTGTTGTAATTTTTTACCATGTAATTTGTCACTCGCCTACAGGGCTCCTTTGTAAAGCAGGCCTTGTGGCTCTGAAAGGACTACCCTGTATTTTAAAGAAGACCGAATAAATAAATAAATAAATAAATACGGTTGCAACAGCAAAAACATCAATAACTGCAACAACCACAACAACCACTACTTCTACCCCTCCTCCTTCCCCTCCTGCTACTAGTGCTAGGCCTACTACGAATACTACTATATTACTACTTCAAAAACAACAACTACTACTACTTATATTACTTTTACTTCTACTACTACTTCTACTGATACTACTACTACTACTACTACTACTCTCTTTAAAAAAAAGAGTGAATTTTCAAAATCACGGACGTCACTCCTCTGGAGAGTGAAAATGTAGTGAAAATAGAGTGAACATTCACTCTTTTCTTCTTAGAGAGACCATAAAATCAATCGATTTTCACTCCTAAACAAGTGATCACGGACGTCACTCCCAAAAAAGTGAAAATAGAGTGAAAATTCACTCTCTTTTTTTTAAGAGAGTACTACTACTACTACTACTACTTCTACTACTACTACTACTACTACTACTATTACTATTACTACTACTACTATTACTACTGCTACTACTGCCACCACTACTACTACTACTACCACCACTACTTCTACTACTTCTACTAACACTACTATTGATACTACTACTACTACTTCTAATACTAATACCACTACAACTGCCACCACCACTATTATTGCTACTACTACCACCAGCACCACCAGCACCACCAGCACCACCACCATCACCACCTCCATATATACGATTACTACTACTACTGCTTACATTCGTCTTCTACAAATACCATTACAAAAATTGAGTACAGAAATGAATTAAATTAGATTATGACTGAAGCAACTATCACCTTTCGTCACGATAATTACATTGTATTGATGAACATGATGCTATAACAGCTTGCCACTATGAGAACCAATTGGGATTACGATAATTAGAATCTAAAGAAATAAGTATAAAGTGCATCTTCGACTTAAATTCTCATATCTTTTTGTCTTTCTCTCTCATTTTAATTCAGGTGTATCTTCAGGATAAATATGGCAGTCACCAGAGATGCAAATAGGATAGCTATTACTTCACCAATTTTATGAGGTAAGTCGCAATGGATATGGCAATAACGTTATGCTACTTAACAAGGATAAATGAATACATGCCTTTTTTGTCATGTGTTATTATTTCTCTTTTAAGACTCAAGTTATGGTATAAGGATAGATTATTTAACTTATGATGAGAATATCATAAAAACACGAAGATAATATTTATCCTTTTAATTTTTGTGTGGCCAACCTTTATAAGATCAGCCCTCTTTAACTACACTTTGTCAGAAGTGGGGCTGTTGTCACCCTTGAAATAACAGTATGATGTTTTTGTTTAAATGTCAATAATACATCCACAAGATGCAATTCATAATTTAATTCACATAATAAAACTTATTTTGTTATAATCAATAACAGTATACCCCCTAGCTCCCCGCCCCATCATGACAAAATATGAATGCATGTACTAAATAATGTTTATCGTGATTATGGTAAAGAGCAAAGATTTCTTTTTTCTTCAATGCTTCAAAGTCATAGGGAGTATTGATCGATAATATATGTTATCATCACTCTTTTTGTATTGCAGTGACTTGAAGCGGGGAAGGAATGATATAGCTCTACGAAATTACAGACTCAGATAATTCGCCGAGACATCTAGCGCAATGGCTACAGACTACGAGACTTTCGCTTACAAGGGAAAGACTAAGAAAAAGAAGAAGAAAATAGATGAAAAGCCGGAAGAAGAAGAAGAGGAAGAGGAAGATGATGAGTTGGCAGCAGAGCGAAGGAGGAGGGAGGAATCGTTAAGGAGAGTAGACCAGATGAACGAACTCAAGAAGCAGAAGAAGCTGGAAAAGAAAAGACAGAAGGAAGAAGCCGCAAGGCGAAAGGAAGAGGAGGCGAGGCAGAGGGAGAAATATTTAAGAGAGAGGGAAGCTGCGGAAAAGGCGATTGAAAGACAGAAACGGGAGGCTGAATCGAAAAGGATTGAGGAAGAAAAATTAGCATCTCAACCCGAAAGACAGCCAGACTCAAGCGGACGAGGAACGGGAAGGGGTGGTGTTCGAGGAAGAGGGCGTGGTAGGGGTAGGGGGAGAGGAAGAGGTCGACCTCCTCCATCATCGAAGAAATCGTCAGCTCCAGCAGGAAGAGGCAGTCGAAAGGTTGGTGTCGTTGCTAAGCAACCGAAGATGGAGGCTATACAAGAGGAACTGGAGAGCGCTAGGAATTCCCGCCAAGCTTGGAGCAGGGAATCGAACACCAAACCAATAGCCAAAGGTCAGATAACCGAGGAGAACAAAAATGAGATTACTAAAGATGAAGGAGTCAAGCCGGAAAAGATATCTGAAGAAAAGGATGGAAATAAAGATAAAGAACGCAAGTCAATCACACCAGACAGGAAAACACCCCCTACGCAGAAGAGCACAAAGTTTACCAAAGTTGGTGGTTTTATGTCGAAAATGTTCAAAGGAAAAAATAAAACCACAGAGGATCCCAAATTAGATCTGCAAGAAAGCCCTGCAAGTGACGCCATCAAGAATCAAAGCGAAGAAGAGAAAAACGAAATTCCCGAAGAACCACCATCAAAGGGTTCGGTTGAGGAGGTGAACAGTGGAGTAGAGGACGAACCAAATGAGGACAAGGCTGATGGAGAAGAGAACGTTGATAAAACTGATGGTTCGAAAGCAGATGTTACAGATGGAACTAAAGAAAGTGATGTCCCAAAAGATAAAGGCCTAAGCCCTGACAATGAAAAGACTCAAACGAAAGACGACGAACGTGAAGTGCCGGTTGATCAAGAAAAGGATATCGACGAAGAGGCACGTCAAAAGAAAGAGGACGAAGCCGAAGTGTTAGAAGATGAGGGCAAAAGTCCAAACGAAGGAAGTCCCCACAAGGATGAAGATGGGAAGCCACCGAAGGATGAAAACACCGAGTCACATGATACCGTCGAAGATCCAGTAGTACAGACATCCAAGACAATGGAGATTGGCATTCAAACTGAGAATGAGACGGAAATTAGGGAGACAACGGAAGAGTCTGAGAGAGGACCACCTAATGATGAAAACAAAGATGAGATCGAAACTAAGGAAACTGAATCAGAAGAACCATCAAAACTGTATGCGACCCATTCCAGATTATCGAAGCCAAGCCCGTATGACGACCAAGTAGATGAGAATCGGGTTGGTTTGAGATATGAAGAAGCTTACGATTCCTCAAGTGAAGTCGAAAGACCATCTAATCCTGAACCAGGGGGTAAGAAAGTACCCAAACTCGATCCGAGACCGGTGAATCCTTCACCGCCTGCGAAGGATCCTGAACTACCCGACATCGGAATCGATGACGAGTTCCATGTTGCAAAGAGTAAACGCCGCGCAGGTCCGGACTATCTAGAACTACAACTCCTTGCAAACAGAGACATAATCCTGGAGGCAAGAAGGTTAAGGAAACTGAGAAAATCGGGTACGACTGCTTTGTTGGAAATGGTTTATGAAGGTACGAAGGCAGATCCGGTGGATTTGTTCAAGCAGCCGAAACGCCATGACGATTTCGAAAGGCTCCTGAAGTATTTGAAAAAAGAAGATGGTGATCACGGCGATCCTTCAAAGGACGGGCAGTCATCGGAAGTTGGTGATATAGGATCAGGTGATGGTGCTTTAACGCCTGCTCCAGAGGAGAGAACAAAGTCAGAAGGAGATGCGTCACCAGGAGGAGAACAACACCTATCTAGAGCTTCAAAACTATCTGCGGCTCATTCCAGATTGGCTCAAGCAAGCTCAGGTGACAACAAAGGAAGTGAAAGTCCAGGAGAGGGCGCTGTACTTCACGTCACAACGCCTGTAGGAGAGACTGAACAACTCAATGATGCAAGCCAGGAAGAATCATTGAATGAACCTAGCGACGACATGACTGGAAGGGGAGGGACTGCATCGGCAGAAAATGATAATCCTGAAACTCAACACCCCGAACATTCCCAGGCAACCCCAAGCGTCAATCTTCAAGAATCATCTACTGGAGAAGCTGCGATCAAAAACAACTCAGAACATGTCCCGATGGTAAAAGAGGAGGGCTCTGAAAGTCCATCCAAACCACCTGGACTGGCCGCTTATCCTGTCAATGGCTCAACGTCAAGGACAGACCTCAGAGACTCATCGTTATCTGATGTGGCAAAGACCACTTCTCGAAATGGCAGCATATCTCGCGGCCGGGGACCATCGCGAAACGGGTCATCTCGACTGACACCTCCATCTCGTTCCAGCGGCCAAGAGCGGGCATCACCGGTTAATACACCAACAAATGCGGGTCATATTAGGCCTGAGACGGGGCAAGAGACGAGGGAAGGTGGGATTGCAAGTCGGACATCTGGTCGGTTGTCCATCAAATCGAACAGAGGATCCCCTACGGGTCGGGTCTCCGTCACTTCTCATAAAAGAGCATCACCAAACAGATTGGTTCCTACTCCGAACAATGGAGGGCGCTCGTCTGTTGCCTCCCAAAAGAGAAATAAGTCGGGAAGGCTCTCGGTTGCATCTCGAAGGAGTAACAAATCAGGAAGGGTTTCCGTAGCATCGAATAAGAGGAAACCTAACTCTAAAAACAACTCTCCGCTCCCCGGACAAACTGTCGCCGACGACGAACATCAGTCGGAATCAAATACGGAAGCTGGTGTACGAGACACAATTAACCATCACAGTATACAGGATAATGATCTTGAAGGCGCAGATGAAGCGCCGGTTAGTGACAATGGACAAGTTATTGCTGATAAACAATCAACGACTAGTAATAATTCCCAACCGGGGAGTACATCTCAAAATGAAACTTTGGCTGATGAAAATTCAAAGAGTAAAGAGGATTCAAAAGCAAAAACCAAAAAGAAGTCCAAACACTGGTTGTTTTGAGCATCTGACATTAGTCTTTATCCTCATCCGTTAGTACACATTAAAAAATTTAAAAAATATGGTAAGGGCCATAGTACTGTAGTTCATCATGCAAACTTAATGATAGGCCTAAATTACTTTTTTGAAATCAAAGATTTTTTTTCGGGAAGGTTTCGTCGCATTATCACTGTTAATACCTCGGTCATGCCAACGAGACCGGCCCCAGAACGAACAAAATATTTCATTACCTCCAAAGGCCAAGAATCGGTCGGTTTGGGGTCGGTGTGGAGTCGGATCGACGGTGTGACTGAGGTAATAGTCACAAATCGACCACTACAACTGTGTGCAGAACATCAGCACCGTAGATTCTCCGCTATAAAAACGTTAATATTACTTATATGATATACTTATAATCAATGAATAAACACAAATAACTCGGATAATAATAGCGATCTTTTGTTTCATTCTACCTATCTATGAAATTAGCTGTCAAGTCAATCAAGTAACATGAAATGAAGATAATTGTTTAAAGGATAACCTTTTTGTTAACGGGGTGATAATAATGACTGCATGAGCGTACGCAGGGGGGGGGGGGGGGGGGGTCGGGACGAATCCCCCCTCATTTTTTGTAGTTGTATTTTTTAATATAAAAAAATAATAATACAAAAAATATGCTAATGGGTGACGATTACCCCCCCCCCCCCCTAACAGAACGAAAAGTCGATCGGTCAAATTTCGGGACAACAAAAAACAAAAACAAAAATGTGCCCTTCACTCCCCCCCCCCCCCCCCTCAAGGGAATACAGAAAGGGGGATGAAGACATGATGAAGAGAGAGAGAGAGAGAGAGCGTAGAGAGAGAAAGAGAGAGAGAGAGAGGGAGAGGAAGGAAGCGAGAGCGGGTAGAGAGGTATATGGGAGAGAAGGGCGTGGGGTTTTGAGGGAGCAAGGGGAGAGGGCCAGAAAAGGGTGTGGTGCTTTCTTTTTCTTTTTCTTTTATACCTGTGCCATCCACTGAGCGGTTTAGCGTAAACCGGAAGATTCAGTCTCTAATATCTTCCACTACTACGTCTGGCTTCACTGACCGCCTATACTCACAAGTCACAAGTGTCATTTTAATTAAAGAATTCCCCATATCAGACGGTTATTTCCAAGTAAGTCCGTACGTATGGTGCCAACGCGTCGATGACGTCATCCTCGAGTTTATTGATCCGGAAATCCACGATCGTGGTTCCGAAAATTCCCGAAAGTAATTTTGTTCCGTCTCCTCAATGAAAAGTCACGAACAAGCTGTGCAATTTCTCGTATAGCACTCCGTAAGTCGCTCATATCCTTGACTAACGTCTAACATGGACTTTCAGAAGATACTTGAGCTTGCATCCACTAATCAGAAAAGTGCAGAGAAAAGGGTAAGTATTATTAAATCAAATAATTGTCGTATGTTCACTTGTTATGCGTTCCCATCTGCTCATTTTGGTGTTGTGTTTTTGGTAAGGATTGAATGGGAGCTTTACTTTGCCAGCCAGCCGGCTAAGATTTCATTTTAAATTGATTCTGTAACAAGAAATATTGCTGTATTCATGCCGTGATGAGGCTTAAAGCGTAATTGATATTCTGAAAAGGCTTTTTGCCGAAAATCTCTTCAAAATTTGAAGGAGAAACAATTTGTCATCAACAAACGGATCAAATGAATTGAACAATATTTATTTGGGACTTTGGGGTCTCACATTTCAAACACCACTGTACAAAACTCAACTGAGTTCACTAAAAATGGGAGAATTGATGACACCTAAATAGTAGTAAAATGCAATCTTTTCAACTTACAGTAGGGGTGCTGGTCCCAGAATGAGGAATGTCTGCATAAACAAGAATAGGGTCTATCTTCATAAATGCAGACAAATTGCGTCCTAAACAACAGAGGCTCGTGTGTATTTTTGCGCACTGGCGATGCGAAAAATGGATTCTGATTAAGAAAATAAACCCAGTCACCGTCTACTTTTATGGGTTGTCCGTCTTCCCAAGGATTTATCGCTCATAACGTGAAAGTCTCTGTTCAAAGTCCATGTAAAAATAAAATGCATCAAGAAAATAATTGTGGAATCCGTTTTTCACATCACCAATGCATGGATCGGCAAACGATCCTTATTTTTGCGGATGTGTCTGTCCGAGTTTACATAGACGATACTCGTTTATGCGGACGATCCTTATTCTCGGACCAGCGCCCCTACTTACTTACCAATTCTTAGAAAATTAAAATCGTGAGTCTGTCAAACTTGCCGATCAGCCACTTCGTATTCATTGTGTGCATTAGTGTGCAATTGTGTGCAAGTGACCCCTCTCAGCGTGTATACAGCGCTAGAGGTCTATACGCATTAGCATTGACTACTATGCTTTGCTGGAATGACTCTCAGTGAGTGATTGACCGAGTTGCTCGTAATATTACAGCGTTACTATAGTTTTTGTGTAATACAAAAATTAAGACGCTGTGTATTGATTCTCCAAACTCCAAAATACACCACTAGACTCTAGACAAAACTCGGAAGAATTTAATTTAAAAATTGGCACTGTAGTGACAATTGATGTCGCCTATAGTACAAGCAGCAGCCAAATACAATCAATTCAACTCGCTGAAAAAGTACTTTGCCCATCATCTCTGTGAGTTGTTATATTCATCATTCATGTCAGACGTGCCATGTGAGTACACTAACAATATTGTTCTTTCAACAATCTTTCTCTATAGCTCGGAGAGACCAAGAGGTACAGCTCCAAGGTCCCGCCTCCCAAGAAAGAGCCAAGACCCAACGTTGATCCTGATGCAATAAGGGCCAGGATCGATCAGAAAGAGAAAGAAAGACAACAAAAATGTAAGTGGTGCACAGACAGGAATATTTTTGATAATGTCCACCCCCTCTGTTCATTTAGAATGTCAATGCTTAAAATTTATTTATTTGGGAATTCATGTTCATTTCCCAGAAACAAACTTAATTTGTAACTATAATTTTGAAAAGGAAAGCTTGTGTTCTAAAAATGTCAGTTCTTAGTATAATCTGTTCCTCTCTTCATTTGTTGATTATTTTTGCAATCACACAACTGCTGTAAAGCCTTACCTTGAGTTCAGATACATGTAAATACCAACTGTGTGAATACCATATAACATTCCTTATCAACAAGTTATGATTATTAAACATGTTTTTGAAAACTGAAGCTGATTCTGTAACTCTAGGAAATCCTGCAAAATTGGTTTCTTGCAGGCTTACTTGAGAATGTCATTTCCTATCCCTTGTGAACCAAAACTAACAACTGTTTATATTCTCTCACCTGTGTTCTTTCTGTCTTCCTGTCTCCCTCTCTCTTCTTGTCCCTCCGTTCTGCTCCCCCTCTCTATCACTTTCCCTTTCTTTCTTTCTCTCTCTCTCTCTCTCCATTTTGGACCTTCTAGTGATAGATGATGAACGTGCAAAGAGGGAAGGAGCCGTAAGACAGGTACAGCTTGATCGAAAACTAGCTGAAGAGAAGCGGAACAATCGGAGGTCATCTAAAAGAGCTAGAACTTCCACGGATCCTAAGACCAAAAGGAATTCTTCTGCGTCTTCCGGAGAATCCTCGAGAAGAGCAGAGCCATCAGGATACCGGGATAAGGAGCATGAGGTCGTCCATAAAAATTTCATGCATAAAGTGGAGAAAAATTCTGAGAGACATAGAGAGAAAGTAGCAAAGAAAGAGAAGAAAGAAACGGAAGTGAGGCCTTTGAAACGTAAGCCCACCAAGAAGCCTCGGCCTGCTGCGAAGAAGCCAATGAGCTACGAGGAGCTTATGAAGTTTGCGGAACAGCAGAAGGCAGGCATTTCTTCAAAGAGAGATGGAAGGATGGAAGAAGAGGAGGAGGATTCGGAAGAAGAGGAATATTCAGAAGAGGAGCAGGATTCAGAGGAGGAAGAATATGAAAGCAGACCTAGGGGAAGAGATAACAGACCTCTAGACAGGAACAGGGAACAGAGTAGGGATCAACAAATAAAGGAGAGATTAAAAGAGGAGAGGATTAAGAAAATGGCAAATGGAAATAGTCGACATAATATACCAGAGAAACATGGTAGACCCCCACAAAACTACAACAATGATAGGAAAAGACAATCACAGGGTGTTGGTAAAGACAGCAAAGGCCACAGACATTCTAGCGAAACTGAGAGAAGCGTTGTGAAAAAAGCGAATGGGCAAATGAATACAGGCGGAGTGAGGAAAGAAGGGAGAGGCGATAGTTCTAGGAAACCTGCAGGGGATAGATTTGGTGGTGGGGATGACAGGAGGAAAATGAGTAGCGGTAGTAATGTGCCTTCGAGATCGGGTGAGAAACAATTGAACAGGACAGGGGAGCGTCCAGTATCTAAGATTAGAGGAAGTGGTGACAAACGACCGGTGAGACCGAGTGAAACACACGCAGGGAGATCAAGCGATAAACTACCTCAAAGGCCAAATGGAAAATTACCCTCCAGGCCAGGAGAGAGACCAAGAGAGAGACCAATGGGAAAAACTGAGTCCAGACCTGAATCTAGACCTGATTCCAGAGCAGTTTCTGGCAATTCTTCTAGACCCGATTCCAGAGCGGTTCCTGGCAAGTCATCTAGACCCGATTCCAGAGTGGTTCCTGGTAAGTCATCTAGACCTGACTCCAGAGCGGCTCCTGGCAAGTCATCCAGACCCGATTCCAGAGCGGATCCTGGCAAGTCATCCAGACCTGATTCCAGAGCAGTTCCTAGCAAGTCATCTAGACCTGTTCCTGGTAAACAATCTGGACCTGCTCCCAGCAAGCCATCCAGACCAGTCCAGCGCCAAGATGAAAGAGCTAGAGACCGTCCCAGACCGGCGAATCATGACAGGGAGAGACCAAGGCCGTCAGGCATGGGACCACCGAGGGGGCAAGAAGTCACAAGAAAAAGACCAGGTAATACTTTGTGCTCCACATTACATATTACTCCAATAACAATTGCTTCAGGATATATTTCATCAAGAATATAGGGCTAGGGTTAAAATTGCATTGGGAATTGGGTTAGGTTAAGGTATTGAAAGGTTAAGGTTATATATATACATTTACGTTATTATTGTTGTTGTTATTAGTATTCATTATAATTACTATGTAGTACAGTAGTCGTAGTAGTAGTAGTAGTAGTAGTAGTATAGTTTTCTTTTGTCAGCACATATAGGGTTAAGTTTGGGATTGCAAGTAGGTTTTGTGCTAGGTCTAGGTTTGGGTTTAGGGTAAGGGTTAGGTAAATAGTGTTTGATCTAAGATTGAAGTTAGATGGTAGAGTTGCTGCCAGGTTCAAATCCTACTGGTTCCAAAATTTGTTGTGACTTGTATTCAATTACAAGATTGAGCATGCGATCTTTGTTTGCTGGGTGCAAGCCAAATATTTCTTTACAATAATTCAAATTACTCCCAGCGGGGTATTTCACAAAGATTCTAAGTCAAACTTAACTCTAAGTTGGACTTACAAATTTTGCAGAGCCATTTGATAATTGACAATCTGAATGATTTGAATCAACAGTTTATGCCTTTTAAAATATCTTGTACAAAATATTTTCAAAGGTGCTAACGGCTTTCCATAATTGTTAAGTTCAACTTAGAGATAAGTTCAACTTATGATCTTTGTGAAACACCCCCCAGGAAGCCTAACATTCAATAACAATTTTGCTTGTTTTCACCGACAGCTAAACCACCCATTATGCATGTCAAGCGAGGGCGTATCATGGTGAGCGATAGCGAGGAGGAGAGCGACTATGATGACGGGGACGGCTTTATTGATGATACTCCGATGGAGCAGAGCGGGGGATCTGATGTCTCGAGTTATATCAAGGAAATCTTTGGATATGATAAATCAAAGTAAGTCTTCCATTTTTCGGTATAGTGCTCATTTCCATGGCGATTAAGGCTTGTATACATACTTGTCAGAACCATCTACATGTATACACAGAGGTTGGCCAACCCGGTTCGAGTCGGACCCAACATGGCGAATACTGCTTTGTTGGGCAAGCACAAAACAAAAGAATATACGCCATGTTGTGACCCAGTGAAACCAAGTTGGCCAAACTCTGTGTATAGATGGCTCTGATACATGTATACTGCAGCTGTTTAACTGCCAGGCTATTTAATGCAAATGCAAGTATACTGCACTTCACATTTTTTGATCGACACGCAGATACGGTACAGATAACAACTAAATTATTTGTAGCCCTTGTAAATGTTTTTTTTTTTTTTGTTGTTGTTGTAAAGATGAAAGGCGGACTTAATGAATACTTTGAGATGTAAGCATTGATATGTTATATTCTCATGAAAGATAAATAGTGACAAATTAATTTTTCACTTACTTCAAAATTCACAAAGCTTTGGTAAGGGTATGAATAATTTAGTTGTTCACTGTAATTGAGTATGTAAAGGACCATTGTTGCGCACAGTCACCATGTCATCCCCCACTTGCCATATATTTACTACACGTAATATTGGGTGCAAAATAAAACCTGAATCTCGCCCATCGTGTACATGGAAAATATAAGGGTCCGTCCAGAAAGTTGAGGCACTTTTTGTGACATACATGTACCAGAAGTGAGAAACTATGTCTCCTATCAACTGTAACAATGTTTGCTCGAATTGAAATTTGCATAAAAAGCATTGCCAACTATCTTTAGAAGTACCAACTACCAAGTATCATGGTTAAAGGTAAAGACCAGTATTGGAAACGCCCCAATTTCAAAAAATGAAATGGAAGCTCTCATTACCAATCATGTGAAAGAATATGTTTTGACTAATACATGATGATAAAAAATTTGCCGGGAAACCGCTTACTAATTCATATATTTGGTAAATTTGTTTCTCTCATGGTCTGTGAGAGATATAGGGTAGTCCCATATACATCTTTCTGTGTATAGTGCTTGTAACTTTACGAAGAAAGGGCAAAATTTCTTATCATTTTGATGATTCCAGAACCTTGCAGATGCTAGATGCTACATGTAGATGATCAACCTTTTCTGATCGATTCCACAACGTTTCTTTCACAATGCAATCGCATGACCATAACTGGTCTTTACCTTTAATCGATATTATGGACCCAAAGTTTATCTTATGTTGGATGAATATGGTGTCCATGTAACATTGGTAATAAGAAAAATGTGTTTTAAGCAAAGATTTTGAAGAAAAGCAACTGAATCAGGAACAACTCTGGCAGGGCACTACTATATTCATTGCATAAAAATGTTCCACAGATAATTTCATATTCCATGCATAGTAGAAGATCTCATACTTACGTTACATGGACACCATCATATTTTTTGCCGTCATAATTTTATGGAATGACCCATAAATATAATCTGTCTTTCTCTGCAGATTTGACTTTATTTCTATTCTTGTATTGATTTCTAACAGGTATGGTTATGAGAGCGATTTTGCTTTACGTGCTATGGATACCAGCTACAGAGATATTCAGAGGGAAGAAGCAAGAAGGTAATTATTATGATATCATCATTATCTTTTCAAAACATATTTTACGATGTGTGCATGGGTAGATCCTTCCATATAAAGGAGGTATCTCGCTGAGCGACAAATGCTTACGAACGTAGCGAATTTGGGGTTTCGCCATGGTTTGTAAAAGGTTGCACGAAAGTTAGCAAAGAAGTTTCATCGTTGCAAACAGTTGCAAGCATTTGCAAAACAGTCGGTTGTAAGACGGTGTCGCTGAAGTTTGCAAATCCAAAATTCGTAACGTTCGTAAGCATGCGGCGCTCAGTGAGATACCCCCTTTAACATCATAAGGAAAAGACAACTTCAGTTTGTTAGGTATATTATGAGGAGAGAAGGCACAGGAAACAGGAAACTGACAGGAAGAATTGAGGGAAAGCTGAGAAGCAGAGGGAGACAGCCATATTAAATACATAGATTAGCTCATTTGGCTGACTGGTAACAGAAGTAACGTCACATTACAAAGAAAATAGAGATCTAAGTAGATGGAAAGCCTTGATCGCAAATAAGAGTTGTGGTTTATATTGAAGACGATTTCTAGCAAGTTGTTTTTATTTTACTGGTTCAAACGATCAATCTACTGCAGGATAAACAACCCAGAATGAATTATAGCCATGTTCTCTTGACATACAATGTCCATACCAGAGCTCAATATAAGCTTCAAGTAAGGACTATTGAGTGATGGCCAACTTTAACTAATATCATCTTTTTTTTAACCATTTATAATTCAATGTAAGCAAAATTGTATGTAAGAATATTATGTAGCTCATTGTAAACGCCTTGAGCACCCTCTGGGTGGATATGTTGCGCGCTATAAATGTCTGTATTATTATTATTATTATTTTATTATTTCTTTCCCATTTTGCATCTTTCTTTCTTTAGTTCCCGTCTCGGTATGATGGAGGACTTGGAGGACATCAGGAGAGAGAAAGAAGAATTGAAGAGGAAAGCCGGGAAGAAGGCAAAGAGGAGGTAATGGAGGGAAGAAAAGACGATCAAACATTCAAATGAAAAAAACAGGTGGTAGAACGAGTTGTGAGACTGATTATTCACAAATAGATCATGCATAATGTGTGTGTTAAATATCCATTCAGTAGAATTGTAGCCTGGTCAGATCTCACTGATAATAGTACTTAACAATAACCATATTGATATTAAGTCATTATCAAATCACTCCCCTGTTGTTTAGTTGGAATGAACTGGAGGTTGTTGTCGTTCAGACCTCATCATCTTAAGCAAATGAACTTTCCTCAACGGCCACCAATTTTTATTGTAGGACAGACTTTAATGATAGTGTCTGTGAGCGAATAAATGCACTCCTTCGAGGTGACGCCACTGGTTAATGAAATAATATGGCCTGTTGGGCATAAACTGAAGGCTAACACTATAATAATATATTTGCAAAATCGCTTTAAAAGAGACATCGTTGATGTATTAAGCGCTATATAAAAGCGAAACATTATTATCACTACATGTATGTATATGATATTATCATTAAAAACATAAATTATCAGGTAAACACCCAAATGGTGTCCAATTCCCCATGAGAGCCCGCTATTAATTATGTATCTTTAAAAGCTGGCTACTCGGGTAAAGGGGATTGTGTTTGCAGGGCCAACATTCCATAGTCCGATGGCATCAAGAAAGAAGGTTTTCCAATTAGTGTACGTATTAGCACGTAGAGGTGTTGTGGTCGAGTGGATACGTCGCTGGACTGTAGATCACAAGGTCCGCGGTTCAAGTCCCGCCGCGGCACTAATGTCCTTTGGCAAGACATTGATCTACATTTGCCACTCTCCACCCAGGTGTTAAATGGGTACCCGGTAGGATGCGAAAGCCAATGTGGTATGGTTAGCAATTTGAGCCTAGTAGCTCTTGTTGGAATGCTCCCCAGGGAGTGGAGAAAGTGCATACATTGTGTGCCGGCAGCCAGAATCCAATGACCGGGGTGTTAATGTAAAGCGCTTAGAAACTTGGGACATTCCTGACGTATTTAAGCGCTATATAGGCAAAAATATTATTATTTATGATTAGCATATGAGACGTCTATCTTCTGCTGATAGCCACGGAGGGAAGTTGAGACTTGATTGAAATTATTATGCATATTGCCTCTCGGACTTGCTTTAAGATTACCATGCCAACAGTTCGGCTCTAAATCTAGCTTTTATGGAAAAAGAAAGTCGATACTCTACATGGTCTTTGCAATTTTATTATTAAATTATTTCATTCTTGACATTGTGATATAATGTGTTGATTATCTTGAACATATTCTGCAGAGTAATATATTTATCTTGCCAAAAAAAGAACTCTATTTTTCGTTTTGAATCGAACACAAGGTACATGTCACATTTCCATTAATTTGGACAAAAGTGTTTCTTCTTGCAATTGTAAGCATCCTTTATTTGAACAGAGGATGAGTGTTCTAGATTTTCTGTTGTTCTTTTTTGTTATTAATTCTGTTATTATTTCTTTAATTTAAAAAAAAAGTTTGACTATATGGCTGTCGACAGGAGTTCTACTTAACCTCGGGTCTTAGAGTAGGTATTGGAAGTAAATAAATGCAACTTTAGATTTTGCATGTTTATGAAAATATTCCATAATACTTTTCTATTTTTCACTTAGAACATTTAGGAAAAGATCAAATTGATTCATTTTGGTGCTATGTTCAATGAATTTTCTTAAACTTGTCAACTTTGACCTTTGAACAAACAGTGCCTTCTGCTCTGTGCTATTTTGTTCATGTGAGCATATTACAAACGTATACGCTACCTTTCAAATGAAAGGAAAGTGACTTGAGCATAATTCTTTTAGAAGAAGATTTCAACTTCTTTATCTTTATTGTGTCTGTACAACAACAACAACAAAAAAAAGTAAAAATATAGTTGCCTCTTGATTTTTAATCATACAGACTTTTTGGTGTATTTTCAATTATGGTGTCCACTTTGGATTGGTTTTGCATCAAAGCTATTGTGTTATATATATATATATATATATAAAGAAGGAAGGAAAGAAAGACTGACAGATAAAAAGAAGAAAGAAGGATGAAAAATTAAAAACTCGGAACCCCATTTTCTCTGTTCATGTGCCTATACAGATGCCTATATTTGGTTATTCTCTTTGTACAACAGTATATAACCTTTCATTTACCCATTTGTATTCATTTTTTTAAGTCGATTCATTTCACCCATAAGCAGCATTTTTACTTAATAACATTGAGTTAATAGTAATTACTTAAGATTTTTTTATTTCACTTGGGTCATGTTATATATTCCCTTTGGTGTTCCTTTTTCTTCTTTTCCATGTGAAATTGATTTTGGAAAATGTTTTTAAGGAAGCAGGTTTTTGGACTTTTTCTTTTCCAAAATAGATGCGTACAATCAAACTTTAAAAAAAAAAGAAAAAAAGTCATTATTAGTTTTTATCATTGTGAAGTACTCTAGCAGTTATTGTACATGGCTGTTATTAAAGTGTTGGGCTGAAGGATTTAATGCTTTTGGGGGGGATTTAGTCCCAGCCAGAGGTGTACATGTGTGTATTCAAGGTCAGTTTACCTAGTTCATTATGATTTAAATTAAGACTTTGGATTATAGAGTTGCATGTGTCAGCTCTCCTCTTTTTTAATTTCTATGCAGTTAAGTGCAAACGTGTAAAAAAAAAAATGAATGAGGACAAACAAAATCATTCTCCTTTAGCTCTGTATCCGTTGTGAGAGGGTTTCTTGTTTGAATAGTTGCACCCATAGTGTATTAATGGAGATAGGTGTGACAACCGCAGCTTCGTGTACGCGTGATGGGTCATAGGTTAGACCATGTTTATCCAAATAGTTCCATCCCATAGGGATTTTACATGGAAGGGAACTATTTTGGAGCATCATAAAATAACGCAACTTCCGGTGACGTAACTATATCTCTAAAGTAGTTATGGTTGTACCCATTCAGGGCTTAAACCTCGGCCTGTAAAATGATAATTCCCTGTTCTACATAATGAGCTCAGTGTGTGCTACTAAATTTGATTCCATTAAACAATTAAACAATGTGTGTCTATAAGTATAAAGCTGCCATTCCATTCTGAAATGATTTCTATAATTCTCCTAATTCTTCTAAATCACTTTACTTCCCACTTTACTTTGGACCTATTTTTATTAATTGATATTGTGACAGGGTCCCATTTTATATATTTCCCTCTATTATAGTTGCTAAACAAGTATAATAGCTACTGGTGGAGGATAATGATTTTAAATTGCAAATGTTTGAAAACTGATGGTACAGTTATCATTGTGTTATTTATATTGAAATTATTAAATAAATAAATATTATATTATTGCATATCTTATATCTCACTCTATGAACCAAATGAATGCCATAAATTCTTTACCATCTTGTGTCTCCACATAATTAATTTTACCCTTCCTTTTTTTTCTTCAAATAATTAGAATGAGATTTTCTGAAGATGTTTTTCATTTTTACTGATACCTTTTTGTGTGTGCAAAAGCAATGCATTGAGTAAAAAATAATAGTTGTCGTAAACAATGCAGTGTGTCGCATAATGATAATGTTTTTTTTTCTCTCTTCATGATTTTCTTTTTACTGTAATTTCGTCATTTAAAAGGCAATATCGGTGAGAGTACAAACATTTTCTTCGCCAATTTTTCTTCTGTTGTCTGTTTGCCTTAGCTTTAGCCAATTATTATTTGTTGCTTTTGCCAACTATCATTTGTGCAATTAAATTGATTTAACAAATATCTAATTGGTGAATTATGGATATAGTTTTATTTCTCTCTCTCTCTTTCTCTCTTTCTCTCTCTCGCTTTCTCTCTCTCGCTTGGTTTGTTGTGAATGTATGTACCTGCTTTAGCGACCACCTGTGTATAAAGACCATATTTTTCAATTCCCTTAAATATTGTTTCTCATTGAAACCTGTACTAGAAAAGGAACCTGTACGCAAAAAACACCTGCCTATAAAGATCACTTTTCATGTTTCCCTTGAGCGGTCTCTATATACAGATTTCACTGTACGTGTGTGTGAATTGTTTTTCCCTTACATAACAATTAGAGAGTGGAGAGAGAGAGAGAGAGAGAGTGGAGATCATGGGTACAGTGGAAACGAGGAAGGGATAGAAAGAAGGGAGGGAAGGAGGAAGATTAAAAGAAGGAAAGGAGGATGATGGAGGGAAGGAGGAGGATCACGAGAAGGAAGCGAAGGAGAATGGAAAGAATGGTAGGGAAGGAGGAAGAGGATGGAGAGAAGAAAGGGACAGAAGGCAATATGGAACGAGAGAAGGAAGGAAGGTGAGAGAGAGAGAGAGAGAGAAAGAGGGGGGGGGGAATAGGGGAAAGACGGAGAGAAAAGTAGTAGAAAGGAATACAAGATGAATGGTGGGAAGAGAGAAGTAAAGAGTGAGAGAAGGAATAAGATGAAGAAGCTAGGGAGGTGGGGGGGGGGGGGGGGGGGGGGGTTAGAAAATAACCCAACCAAACTTAGTGATATATTGGATGTAAAAATGATTTATTGCCTCTTAGTCATTAATTGATTATCTCAAGGAGAGATTGTAATTACAACAATGCATGAATAAATGAAATAAAGAACACTGTACAAAGTTGTTCTCACTAATAACAATTGATTTATTTGAAATATTTCCCCATTTATTGTATGTTGCATAGAAATTAATACAGTTACGTGATACACGACAAAAAGGACAATATTTTGGGAGCACAATATATTTGTGAGTATGTCCACAAATTCCAGCCCACATCAGAATCGATTAAGACGATTTTGCTTGCCTACACGACTCATTTTTATCAGATGATGAAACCAAATAACGAAGCATGAAAGACAAAACTTCGATAATGATATTGTAAAGGTTGGTTGCAATTGTCCATTTTTGTAAGCTTTTTCTGTAGATGTCAACCCAAAGCATTACCACAAAAAAAGGGAAAGATTGGTCACTCTTTGCCTATCTTGAAAATCGTTAATAGACACAATGAAACCTTATTACAATACTTATTGTACGTTATCAATCTTTTTAAGCTAGTCCTGTAGATTTTAACCCATAACAGTCGCTGATCTTCATGATAACAGTATGCAGACAGAGTTTGCTTGCCAAGATAACCTCTTTTAATCGACTCTGAACCCAGAGAAGAGCATGACAGATACAATATTCGATCTCTACCAGTGGCGGATCCAGGGGGGGGGGGGGGCCCGGGCCCCCCCCCCCTTGAGAAAAAAAATCATGCAAAATCACGCGATTTTTACCTTTTTGGGGGGTTGGCCCCCCCCCCCTGGCGCTCAAGGGGGGGGGGTGCAAATTTTAAAATTTTCGAGGACCCCCCCCCCCCCCCAAAAAAAAAAAAAAAAAAAAATGTGCTCACTACCCCAAAAAAAAAAAAAAAAGTGTCCGCTTACGAAATTGCCAGAAATGTACTGGGATTATTAAGTGTATATTATTTTTCGGATAAATGAATTGTTTTCCCCAAAATTAATCACCCTCCTTTTCACCGGATTGGCTCCTGCAGTGACGTCATATGCTATTGCGCAATACAGCTCCGAAACTGGGCTTTTTTCCGAGCGTTCTGAATAGTCATTTTTATAGCTAGATTCCAGAATTATTGATGATTTCTAAGAAAAATCATTGTCATGTTCGGAATCTCCCTCAAAAATTATTCTACATGTCCTTTTTTCCATTTTTTTTTTAGCCCGTTTTGGTTAAAGTGGCCCTTTAGGCAGCATTAATATAAACAGATTGCTTGCTAAGATGACACACTTTTAACCGATTCTGAATCCCGAGAACGTGGTGAATCTGTAGTGGCTGCTGTACAGCTCGCGTCCATCGTAGAGCTGAAGCCAAACCTCGTCTCCGTAGTTGAGACTGAGGATGATGCTGTTCGTCGCCGAGTCCTCCGTGTCGGTGCTTCCGTAGTCAATCACCGCTGCCTGGTGATCACCTATCAAAATAAACAATAGTAATAATATTCAGCTCTTGTATAGCGCATATCATATTAGTTAACGTACCTATATATGCGCTTCCAAAGAGCTTTAGAAATTATTACCCTAGCGTTAGCCCCGGCACTCGTTGATTGATTTATATCACACGATCGCAAAGACTTTCGAAAAAATCAGCCTCAGGAAGTTTCAAAAAGCCTTAATTGCCCGTTACCTTTTGGAAATTGCCTACATAATGCTACTTTCACAAAGGTTTGTACGAACGATAATTTCGTACGAATCTCCCTATTTTGCCATAGTCTTTCCGAATTTCCATTGTCTAAAAATCGTTCGTACGGCGTTCGTAGCAGTTCGTAATGGCATTTGTGACCGAGGCTTAACAAAAATATATTTGACATAATCAGGGCATAATTTCTGCTTGCAGTAAAAATGGGCTCTTAAATTGCCCATTGTCTAAATATCGTTCGTACGGCGTTCGTAGCAGTTCGTAATGGCATTTGTGACCGAGGCTTAACACAAATATATTTTACATAATCAGGGCATAATTTCTGCTTGCATAAGAAATGGGCTCTTAAATTGCCCTTGAATTGATTTCATGAAAGGGTTTGCGATCATGTTGACTGGTTGATTGATATATTTATTGATCAATTGATTGATATTTTGGCAGACGGTTCGATAGATTGGTACTTTGATTGACCAAGCGTTGGTTGATTGTTCACTGTCTAAGAAAGCAAGTACACGCTTGTAGATACCCAGTACGTAAAGCCTCGGTCACAAATGCCTTTACGAACAGCTACGAACGCCGTACGAACGATTTTCAGACAATGGCAATTCGGGAAGACAATGGAAAACAGGGAGATTCGTACACAATTATCGTTCGTACGAACCATTGTGACCGTAGAATAACCAGTGTCCCTACGGCAATAAATCACATTCCAGTAAATGCATTTACTGAGGACAACGTACGTCTTACCAAAGAGCCTTTATTCAGTTTTGAATCTAGGACCTTATTCCAAGACCGCCAGACCACTTCTCTATTTACCACTATTTACAATCGCGAATTTATTTGAAGTGATTGATCCGAACTGGAATTATCTTCTTGCGATTTAAATTGTACCGTAAACAACGCCGGACTTTATAAAGTGTCGTCACGATAATCACAAGCCTGTAACAATGAGGTTTTGAAAAAGTAGCTTAAAACTTTTCTTTTAATGATAAACAGGGAATCGTATCTTAGAAAAACTACAGAATCGAAGCAAAATTGAGAAAGATTGTACAAAATAAAAAAATTCTCACAGTCATGATAGAAACATTTGTGACTCACCATTAAGCAGTATTTGTACCAGAGGGAAGTTTGTTGTCGATGACTTGTAGACGTTAATAGTGAAGAAGTAGAGACCTGTAAGTATTACAACACAAAGACAAACGGCAGCTCGTTATCTACCATTTCGAAAATGCTGTCACTCCTTAGCCCTGTTATAAATGCTGACATTAATATTTAGAGTGTAGGCTGTTTCTCTGAAGTTACTCGATTCCTTCCAAGCCAACCGTATACACTATATAGGTTAAATGTTCTATAGTCTTGTAAGTCTAAATCATAGCTAGTTGATCATATAGAAAGTTACGTCAGCGGAAGCAGTTGTTGATTGGTCAATCATTGCATGCAGCCTCAAAAAGTTCCCTTATATATAAAGAGAGAGATAATTCATACTGCTCCTCATGAAGTTGGAGTAATTTTTCCCTTACCTCTTTTCATGAAATGATTGTGACAATGTGATTTCATTCTTGATCATATTGGTAAATGAAGATATACCTTCTCAGAGCTATATTGGTGAATCTACTTGACTCTTTAGATTGATCAATAGCGTTCTGACAAGATATACAATTATATCCAGAATAAATCACACTATCTCAATCATTAAATGAAAAAGCGGCAAGGAAAAATTATCCAACTGTATGGGCAACAGTGTAGTCCCATCATGCAGACACTAGGTCGCTTTCGCAAACACGACGGTAACGCGAGCGAAAAAACAATCTGCGCATGCGCGAACTAGAATTTTGCTCCGTCTTGTTAATTTCCCCGCCCATACGCGGCCATGATAGCTTCCTAAACACGACGGAAGAGCCGTATCGCCATAATTCCCCCGTCGTCTTTGCTTCTGTCGTGTTTCCGAAAGCGCCCTAATGTTCGTTGGAGAGAACAATTTGGAGCTCATTATGTCCACGATTTAACCTATGACCGCGCTCGCTTACGCGTGTCACAACTATATCTGTCAATAATATCAATACGCTATGGTCTAACCTGGTAAGGAACAGTTGAATTTCCCGGTGTTGATATCAAAATCATCATGGACGTTGACGAAGACATGCTGGAATGTGACGGTTACCGGCCCGTCTGTCGCGGTCAGACCCGACGTCCGAGCGACGGAGAATGCCGACGTTCCCGACGCGGGTGTGTTCCGTTGCTGCGGTTGAGGGTCGCAGTTGCAAACCCCATCAACACCTGGTTCTCCGTCGTCACCTTTGTATCCACGGGACCCTTTCTGACCTGCGGTAGAACAATAATTTAGTCATTATGCATGTAGTAGCGATTCTTCAAGCCCCCGCCTCTGTATTTTTGCGAGGCACATGTAAAAATTATAAATGCAAGAACTCGAAGCCCACACCGTATACAAACCACTGAGGGCCTGAGGAGAATTGGAATGACGATCTTTTAAAACACATTTCATTATTGGGGGTGGGGGGGGGGGGGCTTAGCAAATTAGGAAAATTAAATGCAAGTTTACATGGCTACCGACTAAAAGGTGGATGCGGCATAGTTTGCATTCACAAACCTTGTCAGTGATCGATGTGCGTAGCAGTGTCTGCACTCTGAGACAAGACATAAAGCAACAAGCATATAATTATAGGCTCTTTTTTAACTTCTGACTTAGCTGTTCCGGATACAGCCGGAGACTGAAAGAGCTAGGCTCTGCTCAAGGCTTTAGGAATTGTGGTTAAATTGTCAAATTAGAGTCAGTGCCTGCATACTAGGTACGAGAGGTCGTCCATGCATTTTCTTCCATCGCCATTTTCCATTCTTTCCCATTTTGTCGCCTTTTTCTTTATTTTTTCGCTGCTTGATGGGGGGGGGGGGTAATTTTTGTGTGTGTGTGTGTGTGGGGAGGGGGGGGGGGCTTCGCCTTTACTCACCTTCAACCCCAGGGAAGCCTTGATCTCCTTGGGGCCCAATTCTGCCTGGTGTGCCATTTTTTCCTACCGCTCCGGCCCTGCCATTGCTCCCGTCACTTCCTTGGGGCCCTCGAGGGCCCTCGTCTCCCCGCAGCCCGGGCATCCCCGGGGTACCTGTAGGAAAATGCATCGAGATGATATTGATAATGAGAATGACCCGACACGGTTGGTGTTCTACTGACGCTACTTCAGCTTTGTGGATACCGCTACCTGCTGCTCACAATATCCCGATGTGTCGACAGCGATTACCCACAATTCATCACCAACTGTTGCGATGTTGGTAACATTCCCTGCCTTTAAGAAAAAAGATTGAGATTGATTTTGAATTTGAATATTTTTAATATGAATAGTTTGCATACTGACAATTACTGTCATATTTATTTTTCCTCGCTGAAACTTAAGACTGTAAAAAGTATTATGAAAAATGGTAATTCATCATCATCTCGGTATTATATACTCCTGAAAAGGTATGTATTTTTTGTGTTATTTCTGTTTATTGTAATTTTGACATTTGCACTGAATTATTATCTTTGATTTTTGTTATCCTTTGTTAAAAAAAAACATACATCATACAACATATAATTAACATACAACTAAACTCACCGGAAAGACCAGGATATCCTTGCTCGCCCTTGGCTCCCCTTTCACCGGGTAACCCATCGCGCCCACTGAGTCCATTAATCCCGTTGTTCCCGTAACTACCGGGCATTCCCGCGGGACCACTGACACCTGTCGGGCCCGGATACCCTGGCGGGCCCGGCGGTCCCGGAATATGCGTCGGCTCCGAGGCTTTCTGGCAGTTGTCACGGAGATAGTTCTGCAGATAGTCCCTGTAGACCTGCTGAGGATCCGGTTGGGCGTCCGGAGTGACATTGTCGGGAACTGGTTGCACTTCGGGAACCGACGGATTGACGATGCTCGGGTTCGGATTTACCTCGGGGATCGGGTTGCTTCCGGTGGTCGTGTTAACGTCGGGGATCGGGTTGACTTCGGGTTTAATGACCGGGCGTTCGGATTCGGGCTGTTCGTTATAGTTCGGAGAAGAAACCGATGGCACATCTTGTTCGGCTATGATATGCTGCGATGCCAAAATCAAGAAAGCTGCTAGCAGTCGAAACTCCTTTGAAGTTCCCATGGTTAAACCTCTTTTCGAGCTATAATAAGGCAGTTAGATAAAAAATAAATAACTTTAAAAACATGCTGCATGCGTATGCAAGGTATGTAAACATATCATATTCTGTCAAGATTCAAGATTCAAGATTTGTTTATTTCTTTCCACTTGCATAAAAAAAACATTTTTATTCAGTAACAGTAGTAACAAGTTCATCGTAAACTAGCATAAAAACATTAACAATGAAACAGTTATAAAGACTTTAACAAATGTGGAAAAAGAGGTGGTCTGTTAAAAAAGCACAGCTTGTTAAAACACAGATCACCTTTACAGAAACAACATATTTTTTAAAAGAAGTAGGTTATATTACAGGGGGAGGGGGACTAATACTAATCTAGTTACCTATACAGACTATAAATAAATATCAGATATACCACTAATTTACAAAATATGGTAGACTAAAAAAGAAAACAGAATAAAGATAATGGAAAAGTAAAGAAATAGGGGAAGGAGGATAATGTACAACACGGGGGGGGGGGGGGGACAATGCTATTCCAGTTACCTATATTGAATACTAATAAAAATCAGATCTATTCACTGTAGGTGTACAGTAGATGAAATTTCAGCTTACGTTTGAAAACAGAAGAGCTTACAGACTGCCTAATAGAACAGTCTAAAGAGTTCCAATACTTTGGTCCAGTATGTGCAAGTGTATTAATCCTAAGCTGAGTTCTAGCTGATGATACATGGTATAAGGCAGCCTGCCTAGTAGAGTATTTGTGTATTTGGTTATTCTTTACAAAAATAGATGCTATTGACATGGGAGCTTCACCCTTCTCCAACTGATACATAAGATATCCCAGATATAGAAAATATATATCTTTTACCTTCAGCATTTTATTTTCGTAAAATAGCTTGTCAGTGTGAGCACGCCAATCAGCTGCCGAAATAATTCTCACTGCTCTCTTTTGAATGAGCAGAATTTTATTTAAGTAGGATTTGGCTGAGGCACCCCAGGCTAGCACACCATAATTTAAGTATGGCAAAATTAAGGAACAGTACAACATGCTTAGTACTTTTCTTGGGAATACAAACTTCAATTTGTTGATCATACCAACATTTCTAGAGAGCACTTTACTTAAATGAGTAGTATGCATCTTCCAAGTCAATTTATCATCAATGTGGAGACCTAAAAATTTAATAAATGAGACCTTTTCAATATTTACCTGATCAAAGACTACATTACCAGGCATTACTGTTTCACTATTACTGAATAACATATGTTTAGTTTTTAATAAGTTTAGTGACAGTTTATTTGCATGAATCCATTTAGTCAATACACAAAGCTCTCTATTTACAGTTTCTAAAAGAGTATTTAAGAGAACAGAATACACTTGTATCGTCTGCAAATAGCAAAAAAGAAAACGTCTCTGAGGATTTTGGAAAATCATTTACATATAAAATAAAAAGCAGGGGACCCAAAAGGGAACCTTGAGGTACTCCACACGTGACGGGTAACATATCTGAACAAATTTCGCCGAACTGCACAAATTGCTGTCTGTTACTAAGATAACTTCTAAACCATTCGAGTGCAGGTCCTCTTACCCCATAATAAGAGAGCTTGTGCAACAAAATATTATGGTTCACCGTATCAAAAGCTTTGGAATAATCCAAAAATATACCAACCGTATGGAGGTGTTTATCAAGTGCCGAAGATATTTTGTCTAAAAGACATAAAACAGCATGAGAAGTTGTGTGTTTCTCGCAAAAACCAAACTGAGAATTTGAGAAAACTTGACACGACTTCAAAAACTTTATCAATCTAATATATACAAGCTTTTCCAAAATCTTGGAGAAGACAGTAAGTAGAGAAATTGGTCTATAATTACCAGTTTCTACAGGGTTCCCTTTTTTATATATAGGCACAACTTTAGCTATTTTCATTTTTTTAGGAACAATTCCATGCATTAAAGACAAGTTATAAATGTGAGTGAGAGGTACGACTACAAATGAAATTACTTCTTTTATCAAATCATTAGTTATACCATCGTATCCAGGGCTCTTCTTCCTTTTCAAGCCACTTACAACATCTATAACCTCAGAATTCACTACAGGAACAAAAAATAAAGACTTTTCATTTGGACTGGTTAAATAATTTCCATAGGTTTCCTGTATATCAGGTATGGAGCTAGACAGAGTAGCACCAATGTTAGAAAAATATTCATTAAATGCTTCACACATAAGTTTCTTGTCTTCAATAAGACCATCCTTCCAGGTGAGTTTTGTAATACTCTGTAGTTTAGGATTGGTTTTCAAGACATTTCGAATAACTTTCCATGTACCTTTAACATTATTACACGTAGACTGGAATTGAAATTGATAATAGTCTTTCTTTGCTTGGCGCAGAGCAGAAGTCAATATATTTCTATAGTTAGTATACTTAAGCTTGGCTACACCAGTCTGCTTTGCTTTGTATCTACAAAACAAACGATTCTTTTATTTATTGACCTGAGTAAAGACTTACTGACCCATGGCATACGAGGTACTCTTTTATATTCTTGCTTACTTCTTTGCACCAAGGGAAAGCATCTGTCATAAGATAACACCATTATATCCATGAATTTATCAAAAGACTTATCAACTTCTGTTTCACATAAAACTTCGTTCCATTCAACAGTTTCCAATTCTCTCTTAAATTTTGTTATATTTCCCTGAGTGAATTTCCGTGTTAACTTATCACAGGATTCAGTACAAGAACTCCTTAATGCTAAAGATGTTCTAGCAAATATAGGGAAATGATCGCATGTCACTAACATGCGATCATGTTCTTTACAGGTTCAAATAAAAGAGGGCACCAGAATGGCAGAAGATTGAAATGGAGAGATGTTGCAATCAACCTCCGAACCGGGAGAAGATACTCAAAAAGATAGAACATGTGGTTCAGTACCACAGTTATTTTTGTTTGAACTTTTTGCCAAGCAGGTTGCACAAAGCGGGTAGTTAGGTAAGGTTTGGCATATCTATTAATAATTTAGCGAAAACATCTTGAAAACGATCGCGACTACTTTCGAAGAATCTACCTATAAATAAGGCAATTCCAATAGTCTCGTATTTTACCCGCTAAAATCATGAATCCAATCATGAATTCTATATGAGATAAACAATATGATGTTTAACTTGACCTTGAGTTGATTTCACGAAAATAGATGCGATCGTGTTTTTTATAACTATGTTCAAATGGAAATGACGGATGTGAAGTTAATGAAAATATGAAAACCTATAATGAATAACTTTCTATAATAACATCTTGAAACATTCAATGCACTGAAAAAGATAGCATCATATAGACTTCAAATAGACCATACCAATATGAACATATTCATCATGTGTATGCCTATCGTAATTTAAACTCTCTCATAAACAAAATTAAATAGGCGAAATGTTATCTTTCTTACCTGATAGCTGACTCAGCGACCAGCAATCAAAGAGCTTCTGCTTGGTAAAACAATGTCTTGCTATACGTCTACGAAAACAATTGGATATCACATCAAGATAGGCGTCGCTCGGGAGAGAGAGAGGGGGGGGGGGCGGTTTATTGCCCCTTTGCAAACTATGATCGGCACACTTACAATATCGGAGTATGTTTTGCAGGCAAGTTTTGTACGTTAAAAGACTATTTCATCATTGTCGACACATTTAGTATTACAGGCCTGTTATTCGGTTTAAAGATAAACTTGAGTTCTGGTAATGCGATTGCATTGTGAAAGAAAAGGTGTGGAATGGATCAGAAAAGTTGATCATATAGCATGTAAGTAATGGTGTGTAATGCAAGGTCCTGGAGTCATCAAAATCATCATAAATTTGGCAGAGTCTTGGTAAAGTAACAATCACTTACACAGAAAGATGTATATGGGACAACACACATGGTGTCGGGGCTAGTACTACCCTGATTTCCTTATCTTTCTATGCTCATTACTCAGCCAGTATACATTTTCTTCCAAAATTGTTTGGCACATGACATTTATTTGTAATCTTGAACATTCAGTGTAAGTTTCGTTAGATTCTGTGAGAATTCTTTTTCTTTTTTTTTTACCATAACTCAAGTTTATCTTTAACTTTATTGAAATTGTTCATAAGGAGGATAGCTTGTGAATAGGCCTCGGATTATGCAGTTGATAATACCGGACGGGTATAAAGATAGGTGTAGAGAGAAAAAAGGAATAAGAAAGAATTGAATTAGGAACAAAGAAAGAAAATATGTTATCAAATGAAGGAGAGAAATCAGATATAAGAAAATAATAAAATACCATTAAAAGAGATTTCACGAGAATGGGAAGCTCATCAACAAAATGTTTCCACCAGTCCTCAAAATTTCCTTCTAACGCCTCTTTCGTTTCGAAAGGAATGTTTACAGGAACCCCATCTTATCCACCCCCACCATCAGAAATTCTAGAGACGCCCATTTAGACTATTCTTGGTTTCTACCGGATATGATCCCATCTCGAGGAAGTCTCCCCCATCGAACCCACATCCTGCCAGACGCCGTCCTTCACCGGGTGAAATTAGGTCTATGATCTTAGATCAACTCAATGACAACCTAGTTTCAAGGCAAAGTTGAAGTTTATACAATTCTCTGTTAGGGATGTAAAGAGTTCTGGGTCTTAAAATATATACGTTTGTTGTGTATGTACATGTATGCGCGTGGTTGGGTAGTGTGCGAGAGAATGATATGGAGGAGGAGGGGGCAGACAGACAGATATTGAGAGAGAGAGAGAGAGAGAGAGAGAGAGAGAGAGAGAGAGAGAAAGGGGAATACAATAGGAGGATAGTGCAGTAAAAGCATAAGGGACAGGAGAAAAAAACTAATTAGTGAAAATGGTTTGAAAGTAAAATGCATAAGCATCTTATGACCAACAATTTCTTATTGAATTCGTTTGCCCGTTTGATGAACAAAGAGGGCGTTACTCTCAATCTGCCGTTCTGTGTAATTGGGGGTGTCGATTTGTATCCGTGGTTGGGGGGGATGATAGGTGCCAAAATATTTTCGGCAATGGATCAAAGCAATCAAGAGGTAGAAGCGTGTGGCAAGTTGCACCCCCCCCCCCCCAAGCGCGTAGCCAGGATTTCATTCTAGGAGTCCCCCCCCCCCCCGCAAAGCGCGGAAGCTCTGATGTTTCATTAGATGATTAAAGAAAGAAGACGATCACCATTCTCGACTCTTAATCCTTGTTTGAATCAAGTTCCCCTTCCTCCGCGCGTAGCGCGGAAGCTCTGACGTTACATCAGATTATTATAGAAAGAAGACGATTCGATGTACCATTTTCGACTCTTAATTCTTAATGTTTGAATCAAGTTCCCCTTCCCCTTCTGACGTTTCATTAGATTATTAAAGAAAGAAGACGATCCTATGTACCATTCTCGTTTCTTAATCCTTGTCTGAATTCATTTTCGCCCATTCCTGCGCGAAGCGCGGAAGTTTTCACATTAGAGAAAGAAGACGATTTGTTGTATCGTGTCCTTCATGAATTCAGTTTCTCCCCTACCGCGCGAAGCGCGGAAGCTTTGACGTTTCACTAAATTATAAGAGAAAGAAGACGATTCGTTGGACCGTTCTCGACTCTTAATCCTTGTTTGAATCGAGTTCTCCTTCCTCCGCGCGTAGCGCGGAAGCTCTGACGTTTCATCAGATTATTAAAGAAAGAAGACGATTCGATGTACCATTCTCGACTCTTAATCCTTAATGTTTGAATCAAATTTCCCCTTCCCCGCGCGTAGCGCGGAAGCTCTGATGTTTCATTAGATGATTAAAGAAAGAAGACGATCCTATGTATCATTCTCGACTCTTAATCCGTGTCTGAATTCATTTTCGCCCATTCTTGCGCGAAGCGCGGAAGCTTTAACGTTTCAATAAATTATTACTCTTAATCCTTGTCTGTATTCATTTTCGCTCATTCCGCGCTTAGCGCGGAAGCTTTCACGTTTCATTAAATTATTCGTAAAAGAAGACGCTTCGTTGTATCGTGTACCCTGACGTTACATTTGATTATTACGCTTAATCCACGTCTGAATTCAGTTTCCCCACTGAAAATAATTTGTGTGACAAATAAGTTGTGACATAATAATATTTCTCCAAAAATGAAAAATCTTTTAGGAAATATCAGGAAATGAAATGAGTGAAAAAAACAAAAATAAAGATACAATGACGTGAATTTTAAAAAGGGTGAACGGAAACAACATAACAACTAGAGAACTATTTTATAAGTCATACTAATGTCCGAAAATCTTTCTCCTTGTCTCTGATCTCATCACGAAATCGTCACAGAGTTCATCTATGTTTACACTGTCCAGGATTGTGTGATGTGCATTGCAGATTGCTTTTTTTGCGCTTTGCGCTTAACATTTAGCTCGTTGCTTTTTGACGCTGCGTCTTTGCATTTGGCGCACTGCATTTCTATGATGGTGTTGATTGAACAAATTGAATTAATTCATCAATTCCTGATGAAACCGTAATAACTATGAGCGAAAATTCAATTTATTCTTGTCTCATATACGGTTGTCTTATTTACTTCGTATACAAAGAGATAGCATAATGTGCATATTGATGGTCATCTTGCGAGTAATAACCATTAACTACTCTCATCGGGCTCTTATCCTTAATTTTTCTCTTCATTTTTTTTTTTTTTTTTTTTTTTTTGATGGTGAATTATTGGGGGGGATAATTGTACAGGCCATCCCCCCACCTGAAATATTGGGGGGGGGGGATATATCCCTCCCATCCCCCCCCCCCCGGGATCGACACCCATGGTCTTAAGCAAATTTGTATTGAATCCAATGAATTCGAAACATTGGTGTTTAATGTCTTTAGTATATATACGAAACGGAAAAGTTGTGCTATTAAGATTTGGTAATGGCAACATAAACACAGAGGATGGCGGGATGGGGGAAGAGAGAGAGAGAGAGTCTTTATCCCTAGAGACACAGTATTAGTCCGAATAAAGAAAGTGTGACAACAACAATCTCAGATCTATGATTTTATTATTTTTAGTCACTAAATTCCTCAAGTCAGATATAATTGTTCTCTTATCTATATCAGAAGCAACGACAGAAAACAAAATGCGTGAAATATTCAATTTTGACTAATTATTAGCCATATACATGTAGGTTTAAAGGCAGGGTTTACTACTGACGCTACTTCAAATTGACATATATTGCCATCTGCTCCTCACAATGTCCCGATGTGTCGACAGCCATGTCCCACAATGCATCACCAACTGCATGACGCGCGTGTGATGATGCTTGGATAATGCAGGAACCGGAAATCGCTCCATGTATACATTCACCAAAAGTTTACGCAATTCGAAAAAGACATTACTGCAGTGGTATATAGAGATGTTGGTAAAACACCCTTCCTTTAAAAATTCCCATCATACATTATTTACGACGGTGGATGAACGACCGTTTTAAAAAGAAAAAAAAGAAGAAAACCCTGGCCAATTTTGTCCAAGAATCAATCTAACTAAAAAAAATTGTAATATAAGAAAGATAATTTGCATCAAGCACAATTCACTTTCAGCCAATCAATGACATTGACAGTACCGTTCCTATGCAAACAAACGGTATGGGAAAGGAAACAAAAATCAAGATTCGCCTAAAATCTACAAAGGTAGGTCCTCCCAAGTCTAAAGGCTTGTATAGATATGGCGAGGTAAACCGCCGCAGAAAAAGAAAAAAGAAAGGAAGAAAAAAGAGCAGCGTTTTTTTTTTACGCGAAAATTAAAGGCAATTTCGCGCAATAAATTATTTGCTCGTATTCTCTGAGCTCTGTGTTAAAAAATACATAAATGTGAACTTGTGAAGAGTAGTACACTTCACGTCATCTTTAAAAATTAAAAAATCTCGCCGCGGTTTTGGCGCGTCATATCTGACCGAGCATTAACACGTTATTTACTGAAACAACAGCACACCAATCAGTACATAATATCATCATATCTATAATACAGTAGCGTAATACAAAATTTAATTAGAAAATGGAAGACTCTGATAATTGTTTGATATAAGCGGAGATCACTTTCACCTACCAAACGTACACCTGCCCCCAATCAAAAAAGTTACTCGGATTTCCCATGACTGAACATAATTTTGATTTATCAATCATGTTTGTGGTATAGGTTAACATGATCCATCAATATGTCTTTGTAGTACCAAATAAATTAACTACACAATCGGCCCGACATTGCCGACCAATGTCTTTGTACTAAATAATACATATAATAAGATGGATACAGTTTCAAACGTTCATCATATATATCGCTACGCGATTCCTTTCCAGCGATTAATAATAATAATAATAACGTTTTATTTACCCAGAGTAGCCACTTCAGTTATGAAACTGCTCTTTCAGCGGGCCCTGCAAAAACATTACCTTAGATAATTAAGAGGGGGTAAGAGGGCATTTTAAATTTTTTTTTTTTTTTTTTTGGGGGGGGGGGGGTGGGGGGGGGGGGGGGGTTCGAAATTTGAAAAATTGACATTTTGCTCCGTAGGGGGGGGGGGGTAAGGTCACTTTTTTAAGGTCAGCCATTGGCATAATCTTGCTTGTTTGTTTTTGTTTTTTTGTTATTTAAAAAAAAAATCAACAAAAGGGGTTGGGGGGGGGGGGGGTCGTCAAAAATACACACATAATACACACATAAACAAACTTAAGGGGGGAGGGTTAACCCCAACCTTTCTGATCGATTCCACATCGTTTCTTCTACAATGCAATCACATGACCAGAACTGGCCTTTACCTTTAATAGATGCGCTGTGAACTGCATAACGATAATTTTACCCTACACCTTGTTCAAGAGATATAGAGAAATGCCTCAAGTTACACAATCGAAATAGATCATTTTAAAAGAAGGGGAGGCTGTACAAGGCTTCTACAATTTTGTAAAATAAATTTTCTATTCGCTAATCGCTATCAAACATTATCATATTTAATACATATGTTTTCTAGGAAGGCGGAACGCGAAAGAATGGAAATAACTTACGAGCAATTAAGCTCTATGCGAATAGGTTATTCTAATCCGTGAAATATGCGGGCGGCATCATGTTTCGTAGTCAGTGTCTAGGCACGTAACTACATTAGTGCACACTTATCCAACTTCATGTTATGTAAACTGTAAAGGCAGACACAAGAGCGTATGATACTTATAACGTACATGTAAGCTACACATAATGACTCTTTTAGGGAAGTTAACAGTCAATTTTCCCTATTCGAAAGAGTGACGGTGTTAATAAATAAAACCACGAACGTGGATGAGATAGCAAGGTGAATAAATTGCACTTTTCTATATATTTCATTCTTAAAAACAGCTAGTTGTGTCACTATTTTCCAGATAACCATAGTATTACCCAACATGAAGAACGTTAGCTTACATTGGAACTACAATAATTTGACTGTTGCTGCGGCGACAAACATTTAGTTCCATGCTTTATATAAACTCATCGATTGGGATAGGAAATTGATAAACATGAGTAAAATATCAAGATGGATCCTGAGGTGAAAATAGATTTTCGGAAGAATTAAATTTGGTATTGTAGTATTTTCTCAAGAGCACCAAAATAACTTACCCAGGGGATATTAAACATGTAACCATCGACAGTAACATCAGTGACAATATGACACCTATCAGGATATCATATAAGTATAATAACGTAGGAGAAAGGTAAAATAAACGTAAACGTTTCTGAGCTAAAAGTATGTACTATACTGGCCATATTCACAGTAGAATAAATAAAACGTGATGAAGAGAACAATTGAATAAGCGTTCTAAATTAATTAGGCATGGCCCATTAGTTAGTGATAGCGACGGTTTATCATGTTTTCTGCATCCGGGTCACATTACAGATACCGACGACGGTTTTCGGTGGCGGTAACCAACCGCTAATGGGACAGTCATGGTCATATTGACGATGTATTTTGGCATGAAAAAACTTCACGTCTTTCACGTGCATTGTCCAAGTTATCTTGAGCACAGTCCCCATTTGGATGAATGCCCGTTGCTCCAGCTCTGTAATTTCGCTTGCGTCAATATTTCGTACTCATCAAGCCTATGAAGATAATCAGCGCATGCGCCATTAATTCGACGCAATGTTTCTACAGTTCATTTGGTATTCACTTTTTTGCACCATGCCACTATCACAAAGAACGCTTCAGTTGGTAACGCAGACGTGCGTCAGTAGAATGGTGCGTTGTGTGCAGGAAGCATGAACAACAGGCGTCAAACACATAAAGTGTATGAACACTTGGGAAAACTTACGTAGTGTATCTCAAAAAGAAAGATATTTACTCCAATCCAGGGGCCGTCTTGTAAAGAGCTGATATCAAGAGCTATGTACATATCTGATAGGAGACTGCAAACTTGCGATTGGTTGTAATATTTGCGATTTATTTGGATCGATCGCGAGGCTTGCGTCAGCGAGTCAAGACGCAACGTCAATAAATTACCGCAACACATTTCTTGAAACCCCTACCATGTCTCCCCAAGCTTGCTCTCTTTCTTCTTAGAATCTAGACGTTTCTTTCTCATCAAGGTTTCCTTCACACTCTTCTTTGGCATCATCAGCTTCTCATCATCGTCAAGATCATCGTCGCTATCGTCGGAGATCATATTCATGCTCATATCATCGACCTCGGCCCGCTTCCTCATCGCTTTCGGAATCTTGGGCGATTTCTGCATCTTATCGGCGACGTTCTGCCCTGCCCGGGTTATGCCGGAGCCGATGCCCGAAGCGGCTCGCTTGACGCTGTCGAGGCCGTAACCGAGGGTCTCCGATGCGGTAAGGTACATGCCGGTTGAGACTCGGCGAACGGTGTCCAGTTTAGTCTGCTCGCCCGGGATCGTCAACTCTGAACAAATAAAGGCAAAGAGGGAGAGAGATTTTTTGTTCAATCCTCGATATCAGTCAGTTTTGTATGTTTATGGTCTCCATATATTTCAATCATTCAATGTATTCTTTTCTAGTTTGTCGTAATAAAAATGTATTCATTACATTTAGGAACATAATTTCCAGCACATACTTGTTAGTAAATGGTACTCAGCCTTGCTTTTCTAAACAGCCCACCTACTTCATGACCAACAATTGAGAAGTACCTTGAGCCCTTTTCTCTACAAATGGAGTTCCATTGTCAGATTAAACAAAACTGTATCAAAGTAATGCCTGTTGCACACAAGCTGTCATATTACATCATTAGCTTTCCCCAGTCAAGCTTATAAAAGCAATGAGCTCATTTACAGGAAATTCACGGTTATGCCAACATTTAATTTTAAAATTATGCATTCACTTTTTTCGATGCCGCCGCAAACATCAACACAGTCCTACGTCAGCCAATAGGGACTTTTAGATTGAGCGGACGAGAACGGCGTGAACGTCCACTGATCATGCGTGTCCATGGCAAGCCGTTATAACATTTATTCCTATTCATTGATATCAAGAAATGATTTTCTGTTGTAAAGCAATGGTAATTCTTGATATCGAAAAATACGAATAAATGTTAAAACGGCTTGCCACAGCCACGCATGATCAGTGGACGTTCACGCCGTTCTCGTCCACTCAATCTAAAAGTCCCTAATAACGCCCCGTGTGCATTGAGCATAGGCCTAAAGATACCGTAAGTCTGTTGTTACCTGGTCCATCTGAACTCTCGAACTGACTACTGATATCTTTGTCTTCTTCCGTGTCTTTGTCCATTTCGTTCTAGAACAATGGGAAATAAAAGCAAACAGACAAATCAAAACTATGAATACATAGTGGGAAAAACATAATCAATATGCTATATATACATAATCAATATGATATCTTCGTCTTTGCCCGTGTATTTGTCCATTTTGTTCTAGAACAACGGGAAATAAAAGCAAACAGACAAATAAAAACTATGAATACATAGTGGAAAAAACATAATCAATATGCTATAAGCACAAAAATGTTCTGTCTACCACTGGCCAGTAGTTTGTTTACTGTAATCGTGGATTTACGTAAAAACTGTGTGCATTGATTCTGTGGATGTAAATACGTATATCACTCAACATAATTATAGGCCTACCAAGAAATATGATTGTAATTTCTAGTACGAAAAAAGAGAAAAATCGAAGAATGACGGCATGTTTAAAACAAGAAAGATTATTAACCCTTTCTTGTATCAATCGGCTATTAGAAGTCTATAGCAAAGAGAACGCGCTATGTTAATTTTCAAAAGGATGAGTATTTTGTTTAGCGTAGAAATCATGCTATTGTTGGTACGATTACCGTAGAATGCACGATTGCATAATCTTTACATGTCTTTTTGGTATACATAAAAGGTTCTCGTTATCTATTTTCATTAAAAAGGTAAATTCCTGGCTATTGGAAATGTCCAATTGTGAGTGAAGGGTGAACATATTAGAATGATGCAACTTCATAATCTGCTTTTGTGGAAAAGAGAGTCTAAATAAGGGATAATCATGAGTATAAGAGGGTAATCTATTATTAAACAGTATGCATTAATGACCTATTAAACCAGCTTTCTTCGTTCCATAATGCATTCAGGGCCATGAAACAATTATTGACGAGCGATGGAGTGCGAGCAAAACCATGGCGCGAATGATAGGCACTTATGTTCAGCCGAGTGTCCCATTTAAGAATTTTCTCATTAAAGGTATTACAAAGTTTTGGGAAATTTTGAAAAATGGGTGGATAGTGATTCTTTACAATTTTGATATATTTGGATGCCCCTGTGGATGTATTAAAAGCACTAGAAATTTTAGCCCCTAAAACACTTCTGCTTTCGAGAAAAATTGAATATAAAGATTTACCGGTGCTCCCGGTAAATTTTGATAAATTTCAATATAGCTCCTACGGCCGTACTATGGTAGCTGCGACCATGAAAATCTCAGAATATGTAGTTTTGGTATATAATTTGCGAACGGGAATAGCAAATCGGTCGATATTAGTCAAGAAACATTGTTTTATAGCTTAATTAAAATCTTGACCTTGAGAGGGAGCTATACAACATAAAGTGATTATTATTTATAATTTCATAACTTAAGACTCGATTTCGACCGTGACGACGATCACTGAATATTGTAGGATCGCATATGCTTCCAATATGTTCATTTGAACCAAATTCATGACCCCATACCAAAACTTTGTATTACCTTTAATATTGTCCCTGAGAAAAAAAGGAAAATAATTGTAACTATCTCTCTCTCTCTCTCTCTCTCTCTCTCTCTCTCTCTCTCTGTTTGTCTCATGCATTATTATTTGGAGTTATATTTGTCGTGTTCATGTGTATTAAATATTTCATATATAATTGCATATGATACACGGCCCTTTGTAAAAAAAAAAGAGAAGAAATAAAGCATAGCAGCTGAATGCGCTTTTTTACCATGTTTTATGAGGAAATGAATTAGTGAATGGATGTCTATCTCCCTCTCTCTCTCTCTCTCTCTCTCTCTCTCTCTCTCTCTCTCTATATATATATATTTCTCTCTTTTTTCCCCTTCAATTTGTGGGACCCTCCGACAGGCCATTTTATTGAAAATAAATCTCTGAATAACATATTTGAATACATGTAGAAATGAATATCATATAAAACTTCATAATAAGATACATAATGAATATTAAAACAAATAAATAAATAAATAAATAAATAACCCCCCCCCCCCCCGAAAAAAAAATATTTCTCTCTTTCACCCATTTTTGTTTCTCTCTCTCTCTCTCTCTCTCTCTCCCTCTCTCTCTCCTCTCTTTCTATTTCACCCTCTCCTTCTCTCTCCTTCCCTCCGGCGTTCTCTTTCATTCTTGGAAACCGAAACAGGGCATACTATTCTAGTACACTCGGTAATGTAGTATGCCAAATATCCCATTACATATACATATATCATACAGAACACAATCACAAAATGTTTTTGAAAATCAATATTTAAATGCAATTGACATAGCCTTCCGCGTTGCTTACACCGTAGTAGGCTAACATGAGCGAAAATTACCATACTACGTAATTCAACCAAGTTTTCTATTGACAATGCTATCATGACATCAGCGTATTGAAATTGTCCTTGAGTCTGATTTTCGAAAGTCTCTGCGATCATGTCATAAACACTTGACATCTCTATGATATATACCAGTACTCACGTATGCATATGATGTTGTGTACCCGGCAGAGAAATGCATATTTGTCAAGAGATTTCCCAACCCCAATCGGTTGTTTGATCAGAAAAATAAACATTGAATCCTTCAGATCCGTTGTCTGTAAATGCCAAGTGTATTTAGTTATGAGTAATGCTAATCACACCGCTGTCGTCCAAAAGGCCCCATGGAGTACCACCAACATGTGTTATAGTGAACACCCATATATAACGACCAGGACCCCGCAACACAGAGGTTCGCCATTGATAATGCACATTTTAGATTACGAATAATTTGATAAGCTCATTAAAGACTAAAATTGAAAGGGTATCCTTGTTCAACATACTGTCTGACCACCTGCAACTTTTGCGCAAGGAGATATTAGAATTGACACAGTTCAATGACTTTTGGTTTTGATGTCAAAACCCCGGCGTTTGGGAAACCAGGACTTAACACGAATGGATTATGGACGAGGAAATTTTGCGAGATATATCCTAAAACAAATATTAATTATAAATTTTGTTCAGTTTGCAATATGAAAACAACTGTTCACTAATGATATAAACAAACTTGTCTGTATAATTATTGTCCTAAAGAAGATGTGTACTTAATGACTCACTTTTTGCACTCTAAATGTCCGTCTAAAGACGCCTTACGTAAAATTGTATATATAGAGAGAGATATATATAGAAATAGGCCTTCAATGAGAAATAACTCGTACAAACGTTAAGAGGACAAAGCACTGTCCTCCAAATGACCATGTCTACCTAATGACTCATTTTCACTATCATGTCCGCCTAATGACGCTGTAAGATGTATAAACATGTATATTTACATATATATTATGGTGCTCGTTGGTATGGGATTGGCTAATGAAAGGCAAGTTTAATATTATGTCCGACAGGTAACATTATCTACAAAATTTACTCATGACTATTTTATGACGTAAATGACGTGACCGTGTATTGAATATATGAAATAATAGTTTTTTTTTTTTTTTTTTTTTTTTAAAGATTAATCAATAAACGGTTAGTACAAGGTGTGTATACCTATTATATTGCGTGATTAATATTCATCGTTGGCTCGGCTATATAGAGTATAAAAGAACAGGTGTACATTTTTTATACTAAATATAGCCTGTCGTGCTACGAATGGAGTCATATGGTGATTTCCCACCCGAATGGTCACGTGACATATGGACCATGTATTCACATCGAAGTGTAATAACAAGGTTAAGGTTTCACGAAACCGTCGGTAGACAACTCCCCCAGACAGCCCATTGAAACAGTGTATCAAAATTAATGTGCCATCAGTGGGATGTCGGTGAACTTATTCTTATTACGGTTCCGTGAAACCACCCCCAGGGTCTGCCAAAACCAATGCATGTCTACCGTAGCAGTTATCCTCATGGTAGCTCTGTAAAAATGTATGTCTACATCCATGTTTTTGAGGAGCCTATTACATCTTACGCTATATAACACGCTTGATTAGATAAGTAGTCGGGCCTCTGGATGACGTCACAATGCAGATTATGGTGTACGATGCATTATTGTCGAGAAATTGAAAAAGATGAAGGATTTCACCGTATTATTGCCTAAAGCATGCCGCTGATTTTGGGATTTTAGAATGAATGTGCTTAAGAGTCGGAAAAATTATCTCTTGATTTAGAATATGGGGAGATGATGAGAAATAGACAAGGAAAAATTGGTATATATGAGAGTTATACAGTATATATATATATATGCGACCTAATCAATATTTCCCTATTGGCATTACAGTTTAATTAGGTTAATGATATATGACTATTTTCGAAACGAGACAGTATTTGTTTGTACCACGTCTAGTATTGCTGTGTAATATCTTTCTGAATATGTTTGATGGAATTTTGAAATTTATGCTTTTAGATGTCAATGTCTTCATAATTATTCAGGGCCCCATGTAGACCACTATAATATGGGCGAATAGGCTACCCTGACAAAAGAATAGAAATACATAAATAAATAAATAAATATCAATGATTTAACGATTCAGCAAAATAATTGCGTACATGTTAACACTAAAGAATAGTAATTGAGAAATGGTAAGGTTGATAAAACAGGAGAGAAGAGAGAGGTAGGGATAGAAAGAGAGAGAAAGGGAGAAGAAAGAGAGAGAGAGAGAGAGAGAGAGAGAGACAGGAAAGAGACAGGGGAGATTAGAAAGATATAATATATATAGAGAGAGAGAGATAGAGAGAGAGAGAGAGAGAGAGAGAGAGAGAGAGAGAGAGAAATATAGAGAAGAGAAGAGTCAGGATGGCAGAATGAGTACAATAAACGAATGGATTAAATTGGACATGGCATTACTGACAATATAAAGACGATCGCAAGGACTTTCGAGAAATCAACCGAAGGGCAACTTCTATACCCTTTTGTGTTAGCTTTAGAAACCATGTTTGGATTACATAATAATTGTCATTGTAATGTTTTTGTGCTTTTTTGTTAGGCGATTCACAAGGTTATTAAAATTGCCTTCAAGTTGTTCTTATGATATAAACATGCATCATATTCCGCTTATTTTTTTTCTCCTTATTTCATTTGTAAGTTCAACATATTTATACTGTAGATCAAGTTATTTGTTTAAAATTTATCATCGCTCCAGTTGACAATAATAGGTCTTACAACATTTGCGCATGCACAAAATATGTACCGCGTCAAATTTATACATCAACCAAATTCTCAACAATCTTTGCCAACATTATACCTAACACTAAACCTAAAGCTAATCTAACAACCAATTCCAACCCTAAAGAACCCTTATACTTTAGACGACATGAATCCTGGAGCAATATACCCGGAGTAAAGTCGGATCACCACCAATAATTTTCTCTATCTCAGTCGAACGTATAACACAATAGCAAAACAATGTGCACCATCTCCACTATTCCTTAGACAAATATCTTATCTGCCAACTCACCAGAACAACGCCGTTTCTTTCCATAGCGGTCGTCATTTTTGCATCCCGTTTCCTACGTCGCCAGTCAGGAATTCCTCTTTCTCAAGTTTCCCTTTCTCATCAATATTTTAGTAAAAAAAAACTTCAAATCACCGGCGACATTTTAGATGGTAGTATCAGCTCCTATCAACTCGTAATGGTTATTGTAAATGGCAAATTGTGTCAAAATCGTCTCCTTATCTCGGTCGGTCGTAGAATTCTACACAAAATAGATCAAAATACTACTATGTAGAACAGAGCATTGTCAAAGCAGCTTACACCTGTTTTACAAGTAGAATTGTCAGTTATGCGTGTGTAATATGCCCGCACGAAATGTCGCAGGCATGATATAATACGAGTACGTATAATATTATTGACTATTTTCCTCACATGGCACGATGGCATAAGTGTATCGCGAGCTGTACGGTCTAATTATTATATATCCAACATCCATGAAATAAGCGTTCAGGTGTAGTCTTATTTAACAGACTTAGGCGCATCTCCCGTTTAAAGAGATTTCGTGTGTGTGGGAGGGTGTAGGTTTGGGAAGGGGAAGGGTAATTTGACTCTTTTGGATTTTGATAGTTGTATATTTATTTATCTATTTTCTTTTATTTTATTTTCAGGCAAGATGATAACATTGCATAGAAAACATCACATGGTTGACAACACGATATAACATTAACAGTATGATATTTAGCCTGGGGATCACCTAAAATAATTTAAACAAATCTGTCTAGAGGCTCTCCACATTGGCTGGTGCATACAATAGACAAAATATAAAATACAAGAAAAAATATGACAGAACAGACTATGTATACGAACAGTGAAATAATTGCGTTTAATGTCTTGGTGTGTTTCATTTTATTTGTTTTTTAATTTTGTTTTGCATGCGTTTTTTTAAATTTCCTCAGTAATCTGCCGTCTTTCTTTTTATTCAGCTCTTCAATGATGAGTAAGTGTATTCAATCATGCTGGTATTTATCGCCGGGTAGATTTTATGGTTGTGCAGCCATAAGCTTTTCCACGCACACCTTCTTAACCTGATATTTACTTTTAATGAGTCAACGTCGAAGCATGAATTGATAGCCATCTCATGAATATTCATCAAGCCTGCCATCTGTTGATGTTAACCATACAAACTAGTACATTGCCTTTATTTTAGTTGGATTCGCTTTTTTTATGCATAGTATGTATCCTACAAGCTCGCAGTTTCAATGTTGAATTCAAAACAATTATTATTCCATAAACGTGTTAATTTCTTGAACAGTTCCGACTATTCAGCACGTCCTATTAAAAAACGATACACATAATACATGTAAAAAAAAATATAGTTAGATTGAATATTGATTTCATATGCAAAACTGTAATGAAATAAGAATTCAAAAAATATATAAAAAAGTTCCAATTGAGGTGGTCGGGTTTTTCTTTTACTCTTTTTTTTCTTCTTCATAAATCAGGTCGCGTATGAAAAGGCATTTTTTTTCCTAAATGGTTGAGATGTACTATTCAAGAAGTATATGACATCAGAAAGGGGGAAGGGGTTCAATCGTGACTGAGCCCGTAACTTGACATAGCGCCACCTCGTGGTTGTATAGCGTTAAACAGGTGGTTTAGACTCGTTCAATGACCAAGAGAGAGTTTAAGCGAACTAACCACTTCGGAAATAGCGCTTATACAAATGCCCCCCCCCCCCCCCCCACTGATTTAAAAAAAATCTTTAACACATGGAGACGCTCCTTAATTTCCTTAATCTATTATGAATATATAAAACTCAGTTAAAATGTTTCTGTCACGCACTAACACTTTTATCTATTCCCCCCCCCCCTTTTTTACTGCAAATGTTTGAAAGATTACCAGTGCCCAGTCTAATTTACGCGCTATACTTCCGATATCGCCCCTACCACCAAAAGCGCGCTGTCAATTTCTTACCTGTTTTAGATGTACGTCTCTCTGATTTTGATTTTGATTTTTTTCTTTTAAGACCAATGGGGTTAATCCGGCATAGGTGAGGGCATAACACGGATTTTCAATGCACGGCCTACATTAAATAATGATAATATAAATAAGCGGTTATATCCATATTCAACGTTGATTAGGTGGCATGCCCTGTGACCTTTAACCCCTCTTCCTTTTCCTCACGTGAACAAAATGTACTTCTGAATTTAATATTTAAATTTATTATTTGCTGAATATGTTGCCATGCAATGTATTCATATCGTAGTATTGGGTAATCAACCTGAATATGTGAAGTGGGTTGAATTTATGTTTTGGGCTGGTAAAAATGTAGGTTATATGAAAGCAAGAATCAGGTGTTAACGCTACGGATTTCGCTTAAACATGGTAACTGCATCATCCTGTCACCTCCCCGGCCTACGTAAGGTGGTTGAATTGAGTGAGCCGCGCCGGGATCGTTGAACTGTCTTGACCGTGGCGCCCGCTAAGAATGAACGTTGGTATGTTAGAACGGTATTGCAATTTCGATTGGGTTTTGATCTTGTTAGAGTCAAGATCCATCTAGATTTTAGGCTTTCGGGGAGAAGTTTCAATTGCTGTAAAGATATTTTTGGCTTGCACCCAGTAAATAAAGATCACGTGCTCGATCTTCTTGAAAAGGTTGTTGTTCAGGAATCGTTACACATCTAATTGTCATGAAAATATTGACTAAATAATGTTGAACTGTTTTTGTAATAGCCATTAATCTCTCTCTCTCTCTCTCTTCTTCTTAATCAGTATTGATATAATGGATCATGGCCGTCTATGAGTGTTGCTATTAAAGGAGAATCAACCAACCACAGGATGTATGAGTTGGTCTAGTGGTAAGTTCACCGTTGTCAGCTCTCTGTCTTCGCCTACAAACTGGCTCTGGCGGGGTCCCGGTTCGAAATGAGCCACGTCTTTCGGATAGTGACATGAAAGGCTCGTCTCCAGACGTAAATAATCATATATGATTGTTACACGTATGTAAAAACCCGAATACACACACATACGCACACACAAACACTCACAAACGCACACACACGTACGCACACGGGCGCCCACACACTCCTTTAGTGGAGTCTAAAGGAAAACATTTGGTGGAGGATGCTAGATACCTGTACAGAATGAACCTGGGAATCGGAACTAAAAACACATGGGAGCTGCAGCCCGCCCCCTTTTCCCTGGTCGAAGAATGCCCCGATCCTGATTGAATAAGGTCTACAACATTCGAAGGTGAATGCTATTTCTCCTGTGTAAATTAAAGGATATTGCCATAAGTTTATCGCTTTATCGCTATATTTGTTGCTCGAAGACGAACGTTTTATTTAGATATTCAAACCTAACTCCCGCAGTAGTTAGAAATATTCAATATTAATATTATTATATTCCATTGGTATAGGACGCTAATTGAGTCTTCTGTATATCGTAGGAGGATCATTCTTATTAGCCTAAATCCCTTATCGTAAGATTGTTGCATTTGGAGTGTACGCAACAAGAAAAGATTAGTTTTACTAGAAAGGACGTTGCCAGGCAAATAGTTAATTTGTTAGTGCTGACGTTACAAATAGTTCACCTTTTCCCTAGGGAAAAAGTGAAACATTCCCCCCCCCCCCCAAAAAAAAAGCAAAATTCAGCGAGCGTACGGGATTTCAAATGCCTCTAGTGGGCAACTCCCGCTGTGACACGGCGCTTACGCCGTGTAATTTACGCTGAGCCGCAGTAACTGCACTACACCACTGTAATACCTATGGCCCTTGGGAGAATAGTATTATTTGATGTTCCTTTGATGCGAATAGTTTTAGCTAGATCCTCGAGTGTCATTGTATATTTGTATATTAACGTCCTCTTTGATATAAAATATTTGGATATCATCATCCCACGTCCACACACCCACACTATAACTCTTTCAGGACAGGATGTATCTCTACGGTTAAATTAATCACACATTTTTATTCAAATTGGCAACAATAATATGTTTCTCTTATTGCTACATTATTAATAAATAAATGTAATGCCTCTGGAAACAATACACATGGGTAAAGGAATGTTGTCGAAAAAATTGATTATTTTCCTTTTCAACATCCCTGGCATCAAACGCGAAATAGCCATGAAACAAAAAATGGACGCAGTGTGTGCAAAAGTTCTGCTCTTTCTATAATTTCCAGGACTCTGAATCAAAATCATGAGCGCAACCACAAAAATGTGTAATATAATGATTTTCGCGAAAGGGCTTGCAGAGAAATGTGTAATGGTTTGGGACGTTCCAACCATCATATACTATTATTTGCATTATGACAACTTCATCATACTCATAACAAGATCAGGTTTCAAACTGTTAAGGCCAAGTCTCTTTAATTCTACTTACTTCATACCTCCTCTCTCTCTCTCTCTCTCTCTCTCTCTCCCTCCCTTTCTCGCTCTCTCTTTCTCTTTCTCTCTCTCTCTCCCTCTTTCCCTCTCTCTCGCTCACTCTCTCTTTTATTCTTTAGTGCACTATTCTTATGCTTGGACACGATAAGATCAAGTATCAAACTGTTCTGGCCACGTCTCTTTTATTATACCCACTTCATATCTCATCTCTATCTCTCTCTCTCCCTTGCTCTCTCTCCTTTTCTCTCTCCCTCCCCTACCCCTCTCTCTGTCTCTCTTTCTCGCTCACTCTCTCTTTCTTTCGTTAGTGCATTATTTTATGTTTGAACACGATACTCTTAAAGCATGTTAAGTGTTTACCCCTTCTGTCACAACTTAGCTATGACTGATAGTCGAGGTTCTTTCCTTCATTAGAGTTCCGTTTTCCGCCAATCGATTCCTTTTTCTTTCTTTCTTTCTTTTTTAGTAATTGGTTTTCCTTTAAAACAGATGTCGTTTCATTTCCCAGAATCTTTACCGTGTCAAGAGCTTTTGCTACTTCTGGATATTTCCTGGGATTGTCTCATTTTTTTAACATGTTTACTAAAACTCCCATTATGGCTATTCTCTTTTCCCCTTTTAATTCCATTCTTATTTGTAATACTTCTGTTTTATTCATTTTCTTTTGGAAGCTTTCTCATTTTATTTCTAGGATTGAATATTTTGTTGCAATGTTTACTAAAACTCCCAATATGGCTATTCTCTCTTTCGCCTTTAATTCCATTCTTATCTGTAATACTTCCGTTTCTTTCATTTTCTTTGGGAGGGTTGCTTAAATTATTTTCAGGATTTAATTATACAATTCAATGTTTATTTAACCATCTCACAATTTGTCATTCAGCTTTGTCGTTTCATCACTTCATATTGAACTATTAATTACTTTGAACTCATGTCCCTTAACTTGCCACTTAAAAAAATTGAATTCATTGTTAGTTTTTACGAGGATTATTATATTAGAAGGAGGTGGTGTGGCGCATTTAAATCACCTGACTGCAAAAAAAGA